TTAAGGAAATAACTTTACTTTAATAGAAGATTTTCCATTGAATGCATTACATTAATTATCTGAATTAGCTGGCATAGATAGAAAAACATTTATTGAACTTAAACAATTTGCAGAACAATATCAAAGCATTCAGTGGAGATTTGTGTACAGCGAGACTAATGATATAACAGAAGATTTAGTTATTGTTATTTGTTATAACAATAATTCATTACTAATGAGTAATGGTCTAGATGTAAAAATGTCTTTGAAAACATGTGACTATGATACATTTTTTTTTTTTAAATCAAAAAACTAATAAATTTACATACATACATTTTAAGTTCTTATATGATAATTCATTAAAAACTACTATCATACTAATATTAACATTATAATAACTAATATGATATAAAAAAACAATTAAAAGCATATTTGATTAATTTTCTCCTTTAAGCAATGCTTGTGGCAAGATAAACGAGTTTCAAGTTACAACATGAAATTTCTGGTATTAATTTGAAATTCTAATTCTAAAAGAAATAAACTTTTATATAAACTAACAGAATTAATTATTTTAAAAATAACATTACATATCTATACTTTTAAATATATTGAATAGATTTAAATATAGGTTTTAATATAGTAGTTTAAAATTTGTCTAAAAGATAAACAAATACAATTTTTGTATTATAAACACAACCATTTTTTAAACTTACATTACAGAAAATACATTTTTTTATCTAAAGACAATATTTTGAACATAAATAGACCTAAATAATCAATAAAATGTTTTCCAAAAATTTTTTTGGTATACCAATTCAATACCTCATATGCTCTTAATAACGCTTGATTTAATTTTTAAACTAATATTTTTTGATGAAAATTGTTTGTATAGAGATTTTATTGGAAGTAACATAAGTTCTCTATAGTTGTGCATGTTAGATCCTTGAACTATGTTTCTATTTATCAGTACTTTCATGCAGAATGACAGGCAGCCGGAGTTCCATTTCAGGCTGATGAGTGGAGGATGTGGAATTAAAGTATTTAAATTTTGTTATAAATGTTAATTAAAATTGTTTACAATATGGTAAAAGTATACCGGACAATTTCTAAATTAAGTATTTTATATATTAAGACATTAAATGTACAAATGTAAAATGCATTGTTAAAAATATATAAAAATTACACTATTTTTTATGATTTAAATTGTTATAATTATGCCAAAAAAGTTAAAAATAATTATTTTTAGATAATAGTCACTGAACTTTTATAAGCAAGTCAAAATTAAGTCTGTGGGGGCCCAATCATAAGCCAGACCAATATTGCACAGGACACAGTTGTAATAGTACCTTAACAATATGCAGTAATAAACTAATAATCAATCTTAACTATTGGTTACACTTTACACTGTTCTAACTTAATATATTTTAGATAATATTGATAAATGTCAAATAATAAATAAATATATATTTTTTATGGTGGCTAGTGTTTTACAGATTGTTAGATTAGGTAAAACGCAAATACTCATAATTTTTTTAAATTTTAAGGTAGGTACATTATCTATTTGTATAGGGTATATGCCACACCAAAATATGGTAAATAAGTACACTCTCCAAAACACCACTGCTCATAATTTTTAAAAGCTTTGACACCCTGGGGCGAACACCCCCTCTTAACACGACCCTGTCAATCTGTATAGTTTTAGAAGTTTAGTTATAAGTATTATAGTTTAAAATTATTGTAGTGTTGTACCTATTAAATTTAAGGTAAATAGACAAACCAGCAGAATATATTAGATACGATTATATCTCATATTGTAATGTAATAATTGTTTTTAATATATTTAGTAAGTGCAACTATATAATAATATATTATGATGATAAGATATTATAAAATGTAAGTAAACATTTGTTGAGATATGAATGATGAATTCTATATAACATAGGTACCTATGATTATAAACTATGGCATAATACTTTTGAAGTGGCTCTTAGATTATTTTACTTTCAGTATAATGCGTTTACCTAGACTGTTAGTAATAAAATACATACCTCGAGATGTAGGTAGTAGGTAGTACCTGTAGTGTGTATAAGTAAATAAGTTTTATATGTAATTCTAATTTCCTGTTGTATATCATATTTAATGCTTTTAATTAAAAATGGTGTACAATAATATATTAAAAAAAAGTAAAAATGAAAAACCAATATAATAGGTCCATAGTATTATTATTATTATTTTTTGTAGAAAGCGTTTGGATTTATTGTACTTTGAGTTTGTTATTGGTTTTCATAATATTGATTGTCGCGATAGCCGTGATTGGTCCAAGTAACTTAATTGATGTCTATCAAGAAATTTTCTATGGCAGTAGAAAAAATTGGGTATTTTTGGTGGCCGGCTCCCACGGATGGTCCAATTATAGACACCAGGTAGGTATACTAAAGCTTCCTATGTACCAAGGACTTTGTGTTTATAATTGCCAGTATATATATGTTTAGGCTGACGTATCGCACGCATACCAAATTTTATTGAACAACGGCATTTCTGCCGATCATATAATTGTAATGATGGTGGACGATATCGCATATAACACTCAGTATGTTAATATTTTTTAAAAATAATTTCAACCTTAGATTAAATTAGAATCATAACAGATGTATATCATATGCTTTAGGTATTATAATATACACAACGTATAGTTATATTATAGTGCTTATCGACTCGTTAAGCATTGTCTGTCTTTCTGTATAATTGTATACCCTATAGGTAGGTAAGTTTAAATCATGAGATTAATTAATGACCCGGAGATGTAGGGATTTTGTTTGGTAAAAAAGTCAGCTCTATCTCCTGAAAATTTAAATGGATTTCGCTACAAAAACGACTATAGTGCAGTGATTTAGTACCTATATAAACATTGTGTGAATAACATTTATTTATAAGTATATATCTTTTTTATTAATACAATATTTTAGCATCATATAATTTGTTGTCATTCAAATATGTAGAGGTAAGTATTATGGGCATAGCAGTTTCCGTCCAAGGTGTAATTTTTTCTTTTTCTCCAAATGAAAATAATTTAGTCTAATATTCGAATATAAATGGGCAATTATATATAATTATTAATTACATAAATATATACATTTTTTAAAAAAGAGCTGATACTGGAGATGGGAGCGACCATTGTTGTAAATGAGAAGTTAGGAAGGTAGGATACATGTGGTTATTTCATTTATATCTGTAAGCAACGATTTATGGTCAATCATTGCTTGACGAAAGACGATTCCGAGCGCAGATCTGGTAATACATAATTTGAAATGCCATAATATTTGTTTCGATTTTCGTTTAAATTTGAATTCAAAACTTTTTTTTTAATATGCGTTTTGAAAAAAAAAACGTCCGATGATTTTGAAAATTGTATCACTTCTAGGTAAGTTCTATATAAATATTATTACCAAGTTTCGAGTCTCTACGTGTATTTATAACCGAATTATAGCAAAAAACTCCCAAAAATTAAAATTCCTTAAAAGCTCAAAAGTGGTTCAAAAGTTTTGGTGATGATACCATAAGAAAGTAAATAAAAATAATGTTTCTTGAGATTTTTCAATTAAATCATTTTTTCTGGCAGAAAACGTCGTCTGTATTTTTATAAAAAAATAAAATCGTGAAATTGTACGTTTTTTCCCACTTAAGTGATTTTATTTAAATCATGATGTCGAAAATAAAATTACGTCTTTGAAATACCATCTAGACAACTTGAACTTTCAGAAAAGTTGCTACATGTAAAAATCAGAGTAAGTTGACTGACTAGAAAAAAACGTGTCCACAGACTAGAAGATAGAAGAAAAAAAAATATTAGTAAAATCTAGAGCTCCCTCGCTATGCTCGGAATTTAAAATCTAGAAATTAACTAGGAGAAACTAAAAAAAAAAGAAAACATAAGAGTTTTTTCAAATTATTACACAATGATATCATTATTTTCAATTTATACTGCTTAGATTCTCTATCATAAATATTGTTCTAATAGAAAAACAACAAGAGAAATGTTTTGTTTAATTTTTAATCTTGTTCATCTGAAAGTAATTTAATTTTTGATTTTAAAAACATGTATAACTGAACTCAGCTCAGAGTCGTTTTAGTTTGCTATGGTTTTTCGGTGTTTACAGATAATAACTTTGTAAATCTTATTTTATCAACTTTCCATCAGCAGAATCAGTTTTTTTTTTTTAAACTACTTATTGATAGGCATATAGTTTTTAAAAGCATTAGTTAAGAAGTTTGTAATTAGGTTGTATAATAAATTTAAAGTCAGAATGATACGAGTTGTACCCACATTTTATCTAAAGTGCTTTTAATTTCTCTATGTTTGCCTAACGGCAAGACTAGTATTATACCACAATATAATGTTCAATTAAAATTTTAAAATTGGGTATTTAATTTATAAGTTTTTTTTGATATCAAAAAATGTGTTAATTTTAGAACATGAAATAAAGTACCTATTATTTTATGTACAGAAATCCGTTTCCAGGAGAATTGTTTAATAAGCCAAACGGTACAGATGTTTACCAGGGGATAAAAATCGACTACAGTGGCGAAGTAAGATAGAAAAACTAAAAAATTTAAAATAAGTTCACTATAAGATATTATATGAATGTAACTAAATAGGTAACCATTTTTTGTTCAATAATTATATTATACTTAAATTAATAAATATATATGTATACCTATACATATATATTAATAACTAATAATCTAATGATCTAATCTATCAGTTATTTTAACATCCTATGTATAGATACACATTAATATTATAGTATGTTGCATTGTAAAATATTGTTTAAATTTCAAAGGATGTCACTAAAGAAAATTTTTTGAACATATTACAAGGAAATAAGGAATCTATGAAAACCGTGGGCTCACATCGTGTAATCGAAAGGTAATACAAGCTTATTGATAATAGGGTCTCTAGTTAGTAGCACCAGGAGTCCTCGCGGACAGTAAACTACATGACCCTCAAACAGGACACTGCATGTAGTTCCTGGATTCCAATTCTATAGCTAAGAATTTAGCTATAGAATCCCAATAATATAACGAATGGAATATCGTCAGAAATTAAATAGAGTCCAGTAATTGTAATTTCCTACGTTAGACAGTTAGCCTACGTTAACAGAATATAAGTCCTCTTTACAGTCCATTTAGCTATCCCTCCTGGGACTTTTGAAAAGTTTACTAAGAATAAGGATGAGATAACCGAAATTAGTCTATTTACATATTTTTTCACCCTATGAATATTCAGCGAGAAACTTCCGAATGGGTTTCCTTGTGACATGCATTCAAACACTGTAAGGATAATACAAGGTGTCCGTGGGGAGTCTACACCGCTCAGATCAGACTGCTTATACTAATTTCCGGTAGTCAAATTGAAAAAATAAAATGATGCAGTGACTATACGACTTAAATAAAAAAATAGCTTCCCTTGATATTGAATATTGATATTATTATATATATTATATTGATATTATTGAATTCGACGTAAACCGTGAGAAACTTCGCCTTCTACACTCTCTCCTTATAACAACTTTTAAACATAATCCGGTAATTAATAATTTTAAAAAAAGAACCAAATTAGGCTGTTTTTGCTAATATGTCTATAGGTACAATTATTTTAGATTCCACCATAATAGATTAACACTATAAAGCGTGTTTTTTTATTATGGATTCTGATAGAAAATAAATATTCTCTAGTTGAGGTAATTAAGAAATCATTGTTGTGTTTTTATTAATGGTAAAAAACCGAAAAAAACGTCAGGAATAATATAATATTTATAGAATAACGATTTCTGTTCGATTTTGTTTTGTTTAAATAGTCGAGTTTTTTTAAGTTTTTTATTATTTCAGTCTTGCAAAAATGTTCGAAAATTGAATATAAGTTTTAACAAAAAAATTTGAATGTAATATAAGTAGTCATTTTTTTATAAGCGTTTAAATTAAATTTTAATGAAAATACAAAAATATGTACCATCTCGTGCATTCCACTTTAAAATACATATTGAGGTACGGAGTCTCCCTGTGTCCCTCCCACTTCAAACACTGGTTATTACGCACTAGACCACTAGTAATATGTTTAGGTATAAGGTACGTAGTTAGATATTTTAGAAACTACTGGAAATATTTGCCAGTAAAATATAGAATTATAATTCTATAATTTGAAATAAATAAAATAATTTTATATAATTTTTTAATGTAGTGACCGCAGTGATAATATTTTCGTTAACTTCGTTGGGCATGGTACGTCCGGAATGTTAAGTTTTCCTAGTGGACATCTATATGCTGACGAACTGAACAATGCATTTTTATCCATGTATTCAAACCGTACATTCAATAACGTATGATTTTATAATAATATTATATTCCCTGTACTAGTAAAAAAAAAAAAACTAGTTTATTTTAATTGTACTTTTAAATTTTTAGATGCTTTTGTACATAGAAGCGTGTAATTCGGGATCCTTATTTGACGGCATATTGAGTGAATTCAACAATAGTAAGTTTCAATCCATAGTAGTTAATAATAATTTATAATATAATAAAATGATTATTCATAATTATTACCGGGTTTAATTAAATTAGGATGTTTTATAAAAAAATATTCTCTACATACTAGGTAGTAATATAAATTACAAATGTATTGTATTTATTTAAATAACTGTCCAAGTAAAATGGATAGGCCAATCGTGTTGGGCCAAAATATATTTAGACTAGACGATTTAGCTCGTCCAGATGACTACAAACCCCATTTTTTGTTTACAGTTTACAAATTATTTTTTAATGGAATATAATACATTTTATTTTTGTATCTATATTACTTTAGTATTCGCATTAACAGCAGCCAGTCCTAGGGAAAGTTCTTATGGAGTATATTTGATCGAATTTACAGCAACCAAGACTCTAACATTTTTGGGAGACGAATTTAGTGTCTCGTGGATGGAAGATCAAGCTAATGTAATTTTAATTAAATTTCTAATAAAACATTGGTATCAATAAATGTAATTTTAATATTAATATGCACTTACTTGCATTGATTTTACGAAGTTTGGTTTGTTATATCCGTCTCAAGTTAAAGAAATCGTTAAAAAAAGAACAGTTTTAAATCATTTCAACACGATTAGAGCTTTAGTTAAACAGAGCAACGTGATGCCGTATGGAGATTTTAGTGTTGGTCAGGATAAATTATCATCGTACATCGGTAAACCGCCTGAAGTCTTTTCAAAACCCAGTAATAGTAGCCAATATTCATATTCTTCAAAAAATAAAGTAGGTTTACATAAATAAGACATAGATTTATTATATCATCAAATTAAAATTTTAAGTAGAAATAGTAACTGGGTATGGTACGTGTATTTTATTTTAACAGATTAGAGTTTTTTCCGATTCCATAATTTCAGCAAAATCGGATAAAATATATCAAATGAGCGAGGAAAAAAATAGCGAACAATGGAAACAACGCGTAGAACACAATAATATCGTATGTTATTACATTAATGATATATTGATATAAATCGCTAACTATAGGCTTGTAAAAAATACTTAAATCAATTGTACGTAACAATTATTATTTAGATGAGAAAAATTATGGATCGAGTATTTAATGGCATTCTTCAAGGTGTAGTAAGAAAATTCCCAAACTTTAATAATATCAATTTAACGGAACTCCGTGAATATCCTAGTCGTTTACCATTGGACGTGTTTCCGTGTTACAGGCAAACGTTGGATCAAATCACTAAAAATTGTTTTTCATTACCAAAGGTAAAAAACGTTTTCATATTGAAAAAAATAATATCATTCGATTTGATTTACTTTAAGAAAATTTAAATACAATATACTAGGTGGTCCATTTAAGTGGGTACACTTATTATCTCGGAAAGTATTAACTTTTTTCGGAATTTATTTTCTAGAGCATTTACGAAACAAGCTGTTACTCTCCTCCAGCCTAAAATTAAAAGTGGTATATCTCGTCAACGGCTTGGCAAAATAAAAAAATTCAACACTTAAATTTATTTTAACTAATATTCAATCTATTTATAGACTTTTTAATATAGATTGCTATTTGAAAATCAAAATTAGGTAGTTGTTTTACCCCAAAAATAAAGGTGACAAAAAATAACACAAATATAAAATTGTGGAGCAGCTTGTTTCTTAAATGGTCTAGAAAATAAATTCCGGAAAAAGTTAATACTTCCCGAGATAATGAGTGTACCCATTTAAATGAATCACCTGGTACATAACTAGGCATTTAACCTTTTCCATTTTGCATTCAATAATATTATGCCTATATAGGTAAGTACCTAATTATTTTGTTTAAAATGTTTAGAATACATACTCGCTTAAATTAGTGCATATATTTTTCAACCTATGCGCAAGAGCTATAAACAGCAAGACGTGGAAGTCTGAAGAATTTGATTTTGTGATTCAAAATACGGTGCTTGATGTTTGTATAGGGAATTTGTCAACGTTTCCAAATTTAAAAAAAATTATTGATACTTATTGAAATTTTGATAATAATTATTATAGTTTAAAATGATTATCTATTGTCTTTTGGTAATTATATGCTTAGGCACAATGTACTTGAAGTGCATAATATTTTAATAAGTATATGTTGTTTTTCACAAAATAGAAGAACTGGTAAAAAAAAAAACAAAACAAAAATAATTATGTTTTGAGTTAAATGTATAATTAGCCAAATAAGAAATAACCTACCTTCTTAATTTTTTTTTTTAAATTTCCATAAATAATATTTCTGTTTTAAATTTCTTTTTACATATATCTCAATTTTTAATGCACCTAAATTTTAGGGATTTTATCTAAGACTTTGGCAATTTAGTGACTATTTAGAGTAAGAAGTACTCTATCCTAGACATTCATGTCTTGAGTATTTTACTCAAATAGAAAAATAATTGTATACAAATCATTCATTACTTACACTTAATAATATTATTTCATAAGGCAGTACATTAATATTAAGATCTTGTTTTATGAAAAAAAAGAATACATGTGTAATAACTAATAAAATATTGTAATCATTAAATAATTTTAAATATTCATTGTATAAATATAAATCCGTTTATACTGTGGCGTATTTAGGATTTTACTGTTTTGAGTACATATTTATTTTAATATCCCATTCACCCGACCAGTTTTTTTATAGTGCAATTTTTCTAACCCATTAAAATAAATTAACAAGATATGTGATATGGTAATAGTATTATACAGTAAACAAATTTATAGAGTGCCCCAGAATTTTGAATATAGTAGTATTATACTTTCAGTACTTAGTAAATACAGTAATCAAAAAATAATCCAAGTAAATTATAACAAAACAGATGTCTTAGGATAATGGAGATGGGCGCAGCCACTGTTATAGGTAATTTAATGTATATATGTATGCAACGATAAATCATTGTTTTCGAAAAAACGATTCTGAGCGCAGTTCAGTTGATAGTGATGCTTTGTCAACAATATATGTCATATTATGGTAAAATAGGTACCTAGGCATTATGTATTTTCTTTAGTAATATTTGTTTAATATTGTACCAATTTTCCCAGTTTTCCCCCGGTTTTTCACATGTGCTAGTGAAACTCTTGGGAAAGTCGACAAATTTTTTTTCGACACAGTGGTTTGAACTCAAAACCTCCAGGATGATAATAGGCTTAAATAACCATTAGATAATGAGAAATACGCTTTAAGGATAATATAGAGTTATTTAACATAATATTTAATATCTGCATATCAAAACTTCAAAAGCTATAATTTCAAAACTTAAGCAGTCCGCTTAGTTCTAACTTCACCATTGTTCTTAAATCGGCAATATACAAATATTCAGAAAAAAAATTTAAAACTTAAATTTGTTCCACATAATTTTTTACTCAAACGATTTTCGCCTGGTATCCGACGTGGTTTTGCAAAAAAAAATGTATAGGTAATACTATTGTATTAGTGAAAAAGTGTAAATATTTTAATTTGTGTATATAAAATAGGTACCATCTTACAAAAAAAAATGATGAGTTTAAAAAAATCCACAAAGAGAATGAATTTGTTTTTAGGACCCCCTTTAAATTACAAAAAAATAACGACAAATAAAAGGTTTCGTATACTCAATTGTAAAACTCTAATTCCACCTATTGTGATATGGGGGTGGGGGAGGGGGGTTTGGAACAAGTCAAATTGCAAAGGACGCGAACTTTTTAGATTCGAAGTGTAGTTAGGAATGTATTGGTTCTACAATTGAATTATTCTATATAAATAAAGAAATATTCTATTTTATGATATTTTTTTTTAATACTGAGTACAAAATTTCTATCATAAACTGGCTCCGGTGTAACAAGTATAACGTTTTTCTGAAAGGAAATTTTACCCATTTGATACATTAGAAAGGTCATTTTTTTGATTTTCCCAGCGATTTTCATAATAATTGGGAAAAACGAACAAATATTGACGACGCAACGATTTCATGATTTAACGTTTTTGTAACTTATGTCTTCTACCAGATATATTGATTCACTAAAAAGACGAAAATAGTCTTTATTAATTGAATTTTGGTTCTAGTTACTTACGAAGAATATAGTTTTTTGATTTTCTCTGTAACTTTATTAATAGTTAAGAAGAAAACGTAATAATGAAAACTGACAAATTTACAGCATTACGATTTCATTATTTTAAATGTTTACACTTTCCGTTTTCTACCAGATAGAAGCCAATATAAAACAAGTAACAAGCAACAACAATACATCTTTTTTGTTGTATTTTTGATTTATTTGGTGAGTAAGAAAGTCGTTTTTCGATTTTCTTAGTTTTGATAATAATTAAAAAGTAAGTACCGGAAAAAACGTAAAATGAACATTTTAATTGTATGATAAAAAAAAATAATAATCTATGAAAACAAAAATTTTTGGACGATTTTGTTAAAATTTGAATGAAATCACAAGTATTTTCTGTTCTTGTCAATTCGGAAGAAGCTTCTGCCCAGATTGTAGGTGGAATGCATAATACATAATAATTTTTATAAGGTAATTTACGTAAGTGTAATTCGGTAACAAAAAAGTTTTAGGAGAATTTACATATGTGTAATTCGGTAGTATAATATTTGTTAAGGGAATTTACTACAGTTTAGTGGTGTTTACATGTGTCCATTTAGAAAGACGGTAATATTTACGATTTTTGTTAAAATTGTACTTTAAAACACATTTAAAAAAAAAATTACACAACACTGTTGGTTGGTTGGTCACTAAGTACGGATTAAGATGAACCTTCTATCAAATTTTCAAGCATCTCTGTTCAATCTAATAGTTTTATCCACAGAGTACCAAACAAATGACGTAAAAAAGTTCACAAAATTAAAATGTTTTGAAATTTGATCACGCTTAGAAAAAGGAAATATAAGTTTTCTATCAATATTTCAAGTCTTTACAAATTTTTTTAACTGAATAACATTAAAAAACAAAATTTAAAATAATAAAATAAATGTTTTGTAAACTTTTCCATTTTTACTACGTATTTCTCGTTTATGCTCATTAATTAAAAAAACTAAGAAGTTAACTATAAAACGACTTTCTTGGTCATGAACTAGATTAATAAAATTTTAAATAATAGAATCGTTATACCTTAATTTTAAAAAATAAATTGTATTTATCGTCCTCTTTGGTTTTTCCTAATAATGATGAAAACTTCATTAAATAACAAAAATACGTCCTAGGATAATGGAGACAATTGCAGGCACTATTATAGGAAATTTAATGTATATCTGTTAGCAAAGATTAACCATTGCTAACGAAAAAACTATTATGAGCGGAGTTCTGTTGATAGTGATGCTTTTTCTACAATATGTATGACATATTATGGTAAAATAAATAGTCATTATATATTTTCTTAAATATTTGTTTAGTGTACCGATTTTCCCAGTTATTCCTCCGTTTTTCCCATTTGTTGAGAAAAATCCTGGGAAAATCGAAAAATAACCTCTCTAAAGTACCTCCCCATCCCAGTTGGATTTTCTTTTAGAAAAATTGCACAGAAAAAAAATAGTGTAATACATTTCGTACATTTTCCGTTATTTTTTCGATTTTTCATATTTGATGAGAGAACTCTTGAGAAAATCAAAAAATGACTTCCACAAAGTACCACCTCATACCGATTTCCTTTCAGAAAAAGTGCTACACTTAATAATCTGAGCAAGTCTTATGGTAGAAAATTTGCACACAATAAACATCTTTGTAAAACCACAAGCTTCTTTATTTTAGTCAGAATCTAAAAAAGAAAGACCATTCGATCCCCAAGACTCCCAACTAGGCACGTACCATACTCAGCTCTCTCCCATTAATATGTCCCTGTTCTCAACTATAGTTGATTATTTGTTTACTATGTATATCATGCAAACTTTTTCCACTTTTGTTAACATATGTATGAGTTATTCGAATATAAATAATCCCAACTTGACTTTATATAATACTTTCAATGAACTTTACGCTGAAAAAAAAAATTTTGAAATACATTTTTTTCAACCTCGTTAGTTAAAATAATAAAAAAAAGTTTTGTGTACGAGTCTTATCATAGATTACTCATAGATGTTCGCCTTTTCATAATGATATGTATGTTATACTAAAGCCCGTAATGGCTCTATAGAATCGGTCAATGTTGGTAGCCGGCCCAAAGCTAATATAAAATCTAGGTTCGGGCAAATTCATACTCCTGTCCCCCCCCCCTTCCCAAATGACGTACCTATTTCCAACAAATTGTTTGTAGTCAGTAAGTTGATTTTGTAAGAAGTTTCACTGCTAATTCTACAGAATCTGGAATCAGATTACTAAAAGTAAGATTCACTCTTTTTTTGAAGATAATTTATAATTCTTACAAAATCAAAAATTAGACTTAGTTAAATTAAAATTAATTAAATATGCATTTCTCCAAAAAAGTTAATTAATTTTGTTAATAAAGAATTGTACACAATTTTGAATTAATATGTTAACTCGAACCTTTTTTGCCTTTTTAAAGTTATTTCCTTATATTTCACAGGATCCATCCAAGAAATATCTAATAACAAATCCTTATTTGGTACAAATCTGTCACTAATGGACATTTTGATTGTATCTATAATTTGGAAAATTGTTTTTTGTCTTTTGAACAGGAGTACATTTTCTTGTTTCGTGTGATAATTCTCCAGATTTTTTTCTTCTTAATCGATACTCCTTTTAATTCAAAATCTTCTTGTAATTCCACTAATGAATTATCAATAAAATATTGTTAACTTTTTTTGAAAAAATCTTAAATTTCTGATAGAGTTTATCATAATGGTCTTTATTTCTTTTATCAGAAATAAGTTGAAATAGATTTTCAACACATTTTCATGCTCTTAAATAATCCAATGCATTCAACTGTAAGAACTTAGATATAGAGCAAGTAATAGAAAATAAATCTAAAATTATCATGGCTGCAAACAATGTTTGAAATTGATTCTACTTTTATGAGTATATATTAAAGGTGGATTATCTTTAGTCATATGAACTTTAAGGCCATTGTAAGTCACATTCATGTTAGCAACACCATTAAAAGAACAAGCAACTTTTTTAGACAGGTATTCCACATTTATCAAAACTTGATTTCAGTAGTTCATGTAATGCTTTAACACTTGAATCGTTGCCAACAAGTTTTAAAAGCAGTTCACACACTATTCCTCCAACAATATACCTAATAACTATAGCTAACTCGTCCATAACTGCAAAATTTGAGTGCTGTCTACCGTTACACTTAAAATAGAACTTTCTTCAATCACATTCAAAATAATATTTTAAAGACTAGCTCCAATAATTATTTATTTATTAATAATTGATTTTGATAAAAGGTAACTAATGAACTCAGTTTTGTTTATTTTTATTACTTTTTAAAATATATTGATTAAAATGTTCACTATGTACACTGTAATGGTTGGCAACTAATTTTAAAAAATGTCCATGTTTTTCTTTTTTATTCAATGAGTAGCAACCTTCTTTTTTACCTATAAATAGTAGACTTTGACACCCAATAATAAAAATTATATCTATAAGTTTTTTAATAACCAACCTCCTTTGCTCCACTTCCTTTAAATGTTTAAATGCCATATTGTGGTTTATTAATGTGCCAACTCCTTGTTCATTAGACATTGAAGAGTAGCTGATATTGCTTGTTGATGAATTTTTGAATTTACAGTATCTTTAGCAGCTTTATAAATATGTAACCTTTTAAAAATGCTGATTAATTTGACATTGAATCAGAAAATATCATACACTTATGTCACATTATAATGTTAATATTAGTATTAAAGTAGTTTTTAATGAATGTAAGAACTAGATATGTATGTATGTAAATTTATTAGTTTTTTGATTTAAAAAAAAAAAAAAAAATGCACCAGTCACATGTTTTCAAATACATTTTCAAATCTAAGCCATTACTAATTAGTAATGAATTATTGTTATTTGTTATAACATCTTAATCACCTGTTTCTGAGCATATTCCTATTAAACAACTCTAATATTAACATTAGGAGTATTGCATTTAAGAATATTCAAAACCTAATATAACTCACTATAAATAAAAATAGCTAACCTACAATACCATTATCTTATTTAACATGATTTGAATTACAAAAAAAAAAAATATTTATATAATTCTAATAGGTCTTAAAAATATACTGCAATATGAATAAATTTGATCATCATTTAAAATTTATAGTACAAAATAAATTATTACTAAACAACAATATTGTAGTAATATAAAATAATGTTTACTCTAATTAATGATAAAAAAAATTGTTTTTTTACTTTTTGTAAAAGGTAACTCTTCATATACTTCAACCCAATATTCCATTAATTCCGTCATTGTATTGTATCGCAGTTGATGATCAATCCCTTTGAACAAACATAACTATGGTGAATTTGGTTTGCAAATCTATTTACATATCCAATTATGGAAACACCATAGTCACGTGTTTTCAAAGACAATTTCACATCTTGGCCATTATTCATTAATAATGAATTATTGTTATTTGTTAAAACATCTCAATCACCTGTTTCTGTGCATATTCCTATTAAACAATTTCAATATTAACATTAGGAATATTGCATTTAAAAATATTCAAAACTTCATTTCACATAAAATAATTTACTGTTTACAAAAATATCCAAACTAATATAATATTCTTAATCCACATTATTTTACATAAAAAAAAAATTCAGAATTTATAATTTAGCATATATTGGTTTTATGAAGACATTGTCAGATGAATAAATTTGATAAGCATTTAAAAGTTATAATACAGAACAAATCATTACTAAATAACAATATATAATAATAATAATCTTTATTACAGAGAAAAATAATACCAATTACAACATGTAATGTGATAGTACATTTAACATTAATTCAAATTTTAAGTTAAAACTAAAAAAAACAATTAAACATATCAAAATATATAAACACATAACTAAATAAAAAAAAATAATAAAACAAAACTGAATGATAAAATATACTTTACATTATTTACAATGCATTTTTAATATAAAGAATGACTTATGAAATCAATCAATATTACAGAGTTACCAACTAGCATAAGTTTATTTGTAGAAAAGTACATACTGTATGTATTAGACGAAATTGAGAGTTAAGTAGATTTATTTCTAGAATTCAATGAATTCATTGATTTTAAAATTTAAATGATCAATAGGTCTAAGGCAATCAATTTGATTAATGAGTAACACACAGAAAATATATAAATTAATTAATGTTTACACCAATTAATGACAAATAAAATGTATGTGAGGAATTAAACAAAAAAAAAAAATTGTCCTATGATAATGGTGACAGGTGCAACCATTGTTATGGGTGAGAAGTTGGGAAAGTAGTAGAGAGGAAATTTAATGTATATCTGTAAGCAACTATAAACCATTGGTAAAGAAAAAACAATTCTGAGCTGAATTCAGTTGATAGTGTTGCTTTGTCAACAATATATAATATATAATAATATGTCATATTATGGTAAAATAATTACCCACGCATTAAACATTTACTTAAATAATATTGTACCTAATTTCCCATTTTTTCACAACTTTAGAGGATACTCCAGGGAAAATCAAAAAATAACTTCCCTAAAGTACCTAAAATACCAGCCGATTTCCTTTCAGAAAACATGCTATCATTGAAGATTAGAGAAAATTGATGGGATCAAAGTAGTCCATAGAAAAAAAAAAATAAACTTTATAAAGTAAAAAAATATATAAATACAACATTTTTATAAAAAAAAATTCAAAAATTAATGAGTTGGAGTATTATTATAAGTGTATTAAACAGTTTTAAATTAAACATTTATCATCAGGTATATCACAGTAAATATGAATGAATATAAAAAAATTAAATGATGGGATACATAGAAAAAAAATTATACAATTTCTTCATTTTACATAGACTATAGAAATAATTTATTTTAATATAAAAGGTTATTTAATATCTAAATTGTATTGATATAAGATATTATTTTGAAATCAGTTAGTACATTTAAAATATTATAAAATTGTTTTCTTTATTTCATTGTATATATGTAATTTTTTTAAAACTGAATCAATGTAAATATTATTGTTATTTTCTAAAACATGTTTAGCGAAATTTGAATTAGGGACAGTCTTTTTAAAATTTTATTTCAAAAATGTGTTCTTTATATCTTAATTTAAAGTTTCTATTTGTCTTACCTACATAAAATGTATTGCATTTACATTTAATTTTATATATACTAGCATTTTCAAAAGGGAAATTTGTGAAGTTTTGAGTTCTATTGTTTATATATTCAGCTTGTGCCTCTGCAGCAATAAGTACTAGCGTCCCATGTTAGGAAACACTGATTTGATATTATTTGTTTTTATTACTATCATTTTTAAAAAAAAATTCCAAAAATATAAATGTTGTTTTGTCAACAATATATGTACCATAGTATGGTAAAATAATAATATCGGCATTATACAATCTCTTTAATATTATTTGTTTAATATTGTACCTATTTTCACATTTGTCCTATGCGGTTTTGCATGTATTTTCCCGTTGTTGGGAAAATTCCTGGGAAAATCGAAAAATTATTTCCATAAAGTATCCCCCCAATTAGATTTCCTTCCATTTAGAAAAAATGCTACACTTAAAAATCGGATCAAGATTTCTGATAGAAAAGTTGTCCACAGAAAAATAAATAAATAAACATCTGTGTAAAACTATAAGCTTCTTCTCTCCACTCAGAATCTAAATAATAATAATTTATAAAGTTTTTTCAACTAAAAATTTAAATATTCAAAATAACAAAATAGAATACTTTATTAGTCCTTTTGAGGTATTTTCGTACTTTAAAATTCTCTTGAAATTCAAAATTTTATTTTGATCATTGTAAATTGTATCAAATATCCAATTTCCTGAATTGTAGGTTTATACAAAATGCATTGGGCGATGAATACGCATCTCTCTTTATGCTGGAAATATTCAATATTTCCGTTTCTTCCCAATTTTTTTCGGGGATTTCCCATTTATTGGGAAATTTCTGGAAAAATCAAAATATGACCTCCCTAAAGTACCACCTCAGTCAGATTTTCTTTCAAAAAAAAAAAGTGCTACCATTTTATAAAACGGAGCAAAATAGATAACAGAAAGGTTACGCATAGGAAAAAAAAATTGTAATAATTTAGTAATATATTTCATACATTTTCCCGTTTCAAATTTGATAAGAAAACTCTTGAGAAAATCTAAAAAAAACCCCTCAAAAGTACCTCCAAGTGAAATTTTCTTTTAGAAACACTGCTATCATTTAAAGTTGAAGCAAAATTTTAGGTAGAAAAGTTGTCTACAGAAAAGTAAAAAATAAATATCTTTGTAAAACCATAAGCTTCTTCACTAGACTCAGAAAAGGAAAAATGATTAAAGTTAGTTGAAACATAACAACTGTGAAGTTGATATGTATATAATACTTATGTTATTATTAGGAAAAAGTAGAGGAATATTATTGTATGTGTTTAAAATAATAAATGTAAAATTAATATTATTGATATCTATAAAATTATATATAAGAAAAAGAAAAAAATTGAAGTATATCAAAAATTAGTGTTATTGGTAAAATGTATGTTATAAGGAAAAAAAGGGAATATTGTCTATTTTAAAATAATATAATTATTATAAAAAAATTGTTGATTATTATAAAATGAAGGGTAATTGAGTATAATTGTGAATGTATCTAATCAAAAAAGTAGGTTTTTTTTTTTTAACAAAGTCCTCTAAAAACAGAGTTATGAACCCAACAGAGGTTTTCAAAATCAGTACCTTGCCTAAGTATAATATCTTGTGTGAGTAGTCAATATTAATTACAGTTAGAGTAAGTCATAAAATGTCAATTACATTAAAAGTTATAATACTTTGTCAACAAGCAAACAGGCTAAAACTCGCTAAAATCTATTCAAAACTTAATGACCTAGTCCAGCTGTTGTAGTGGCAGTCAAAGGTGGTTAGATTAGTCTTTACTTTTATTAAGTGAACATTTGAATACATTTACCAGCACCTACAATATTTTAACAAATACGGTGGTCATCACTGTACAACCTAGGTCTAGGATTCAAATATAATATTGCATATTATCTCACTGGTGTGAGGTTAACATACTTAGTGCACGTCATAATATAGGCAAGATAGAATGAAAAGCGAAATACTGAGTAAGAACTTTTGGCACGCGCCCAGAGAATGGCGATAATAACGCAGATAGATAGGACAAAGGTAGTGGTGTGTGCGAACAAATCATGTGACTCCTCATACAACCTACACAAGTGTGTACCACAGAAAGAACATCAGTCGCGTTTAAACTTAAAACTGGTTACAAATATTCCATAAACGTTACTAATTTTAGTGTAAATGACATTGTATACTTTAATTAAAATACTGTTGTTTTAAAATACCTATTTAAGACTTATTAATATTAACAAAGATGCAATAATCAATAATATTATAAAATTATACAGAAATTGTTTACTTATCTTTCCACGTGCTCATGAGACTTGAACTTGGATTTGATTATGAACCCATGATGTGAACTCGACGTTGATAAGTAAACGAACTCATGACGTAGACGTGAATATATTTGACGGTCGGAAACTTGTTTTTTATTTGTATTTAGTAAATGAACACGTAGACGGAATGTGGTCATGCGGAATGCATCACTGTCAGTTATCAGCATCATACACTCATGCAGATGAAGGTACCGAACATAGAAAACTCGAACGTACTTATCAGATCCAAATACTATAATATACGACGTTTTATATAGTATTTGCCAGATCTGTGATCAATAATATAAGACCGTCCACCAAACACCTGCAGATGATGCGATATTTAAACTTAAGGTTATGTATTATCATTACTTACTTATCAGTTATCAGTTATCAGTGGTTAGTCTTATCACAGTGGATGATTTTATACATTTTGTAAAGTGTTTGTCGGGTCATACTGTACGACACCACAACATTTATCATAATATTTTATCAATTATCATAGAACTATGGACTGTTATATTTTATTATTTTATCTTTTGTTTCTGCCAAATTCTCTTTTTGTCGGTATTTCAATATAATAAAATACCAAATAATTATGCAATATGCAGTTTAATGTTATTTCCAACCTCGAACACGGTGGACAGTTCATAAATTAAACATTATTGTTTTGTTTTGTTTTTTTTTTTTTAATAATAATAATAATAATAATAATAATAATAATAATAATGATAATTTTAACAACATAATAACAATCAATATCAGTGAGGGAACGTCGTAAGTTCCTTTATTATATACCTAATAATTGGGCCAATTTAATCGTATCGCTTCTTCCATGAGTGCGCTACATCAACGACTACGATCATTCGTCCATAACAGTTTAATAAAACACATTAATAATATGTAATCTAATAACATTAATGAGTACATGTATACATCATATGTGTATACACTCGAGTGTAAACTCATCTCGGATCTGTGATTTTTTCATCGGTTTTTTCGTTATCCGCAAATATCTGTACTCGGCGTAGTTATTACCATTCTGGTTGATGCGTAAATCTTATTGTGCTAGTATTGTAAGACGTATACTAGTACCTATCAACATATTCAACCACATTGATATTGATATTTATTATTGTTTAACATATTAACACAAACAAAAAAAAAACCATACGTTTGTGACAAGTGTTTTTTTTTTTTGCTATTATTATTTTTTTTTTTTCTAATTTTGTTACCTAATATACACTAATTTATAAACTTTGAAGACATGTCATGATAATTGAACTTAATAAAATAATCAAAATGTTCAGGATATGACATATATTAACAACACAAATAATATGCTAGTTGATGAAGTAGTCGCTGGTAATAATATGTCTAATAAACACAAGAGTAAGATTCAAGATAAAAAAATATGGAAATCATTGAGGACACATATTATGTCGCGCCGCGAGAAAAACAAACAAGGTGCATTTTCAATCTTTATAATATCTAACTAAGGTTTTTATTACTTACCTGTGTAAAAAAAAAAACAAATATTTGATCATTGAAATGTTTAAACTGTTTATTTAAAATGAAATTTTGAAAGTGATTATTATACAAAATCAACTTTATATATATATATATATATACTCACGTAGGTATATAATTTAAGGTATTTTTTGATTTAACATATAGGTAATTATATGCTAAATCAACAATCGTCACGAGTTATTATTTTTATTTCTATCACAATTGGTATTTCTAGAAAAAAAAAAAAACATACTTAATATAGTATTCAATATTTACAAGTTAAAGATTCAAAAGACAATTTTTATTAAAATTGATAAATATTACACAATATAAAGTTAAATCTAAATCTACACACAAGATACCTACTTAAATTTATTATTTTATATAATAGAGTTTATTTTAATTTTAAATGCTTTTCAAGAGACTTAATATATTTGATTTGTTGATTTTATAGTTTTATTGATTGTGCTTCTACGATTTTGCTGAAGACTTAATTCTTAAAGCAACTAATAATAATTATTTTTGATTTGATACTGTTAATGCATGATACTATCCAAAACATTTTATCTTATGAAATAAACCCAATATAAGTTTTATGAACTAATTCTAGATTATAATTAGTGCTAAATTTAAAATAATAATTATATTAAAATGGCAACTTGAATGATTTGTCTTTATCGGTGTACTGCATTTTATAATTAATTGGTGAATTTGAGTCGTAATTAGATGCAAAAAATGGAACTCAAAAAGTGTAAGAGGAAAGGCCAAATGATATTATTGGTAAGAAATTTTGTGAGGAACGATGTATAAGTCTTACATCGACAGTTTTTGATAGTTTCAATTAAACTGATTATATAGTTCTTTTATACTAATGAATTTAAATTTTAGCATGAGAAAAATAAATTTTGAGCTTAGCTTAATCTAAAACCCAATCAAATTGTTTTGGATGCAGTCCAGTAGTAATTTTGTTTTTTCAATTTCCAATTTCTATTCAAAGTAGTTTTATTATTCACAGCTGAAGTTAATGCAGAAATACTAAGGAAAAAAAAATGTGTTGAATATCAAAAAATGCAAGAGAATAAATTGTCTTTAGCACAGATTAATGGTCGTTTATCTCAATTACAAGACAAGCGTGTTGAGCTAGAGGAAGAAAAACGTGCACTTCTGGACCAGACACAGGCTGATGAAATGGTTACATCTTTAGTAATGCCCAAAATTGAATTAAAATGGTATTAAATATTTTTATTATTTATTTATTTAGACAATTCACAATCCGTATAACAATTTTTACATTACGCAATATTAAATATTTACTTCATTATTTTACATTACCAAATCCATATTTTTATGCATATCTTCATAATGTGTGTACTTTTATGTTTTACAGTGAACTTGGCACCAATAAATTAATGATGACTAATAATTTAAATAATACTATAATTTCAAATCATCGTTCACATAATTTAACTTATCAACAAATATTTAGACAACAGAATTCCATGAATGTACAATCTGGCATGGAAGGATTATCTGGTGCTAGTGGTGGTTTAAGCCCGTGTGCACCAAAGTCTTATATGATGCAAAGTCCTAATACAATATGTTATAACAATGGATATAGTAACCAAACATTAATGGTTTGCTCGCCATCTACAGTTAATGCTGCAAATATTCAAAACAACGTGGCTCGGTCAATGCCATTAGGAGCTAACTTATCTAATACGATGGCTTTAACAAAATTTCCGTCGATGAATAGTAACAGTACCCTAAGTGCTGTATCCCCGGTAAATAAAAAAAAAAAAATAAATTGAATTAATGAAATAATTAATGCTTACTTATTAAATCATTTATTATTTACATTATATATTTATTTTAAATTTAGGTATACATTGGTTTTATCATAGTGTTTACTTTTTACTTTTTTTTCTATCTAGACAATTTTTTTAATAGAATTATTGCTTAAATCATCTATAGTAGACAATGTTGTGTAATTGGTGAAATATTATTTTTTTAGGTTTCTTAATAATTTGAAAAATATGCACAACAGCTAATAATAATTTCTGTTATTTAGTTAGAAATACTTATAGAAATCTGACATTATTATCTAATACTTATAAATTAGCCATTTCTAGAAGTGGTATAATTTTCAAAACATTTTGATAGTGCTTTAGTTACCTACAGCTATTTTGTAGACAGTTTTTCTACCAGAAATCTTGATCCGATTTTTAAGTGTAGCATTTTTTCTAAAAGGAAATCTGACTGGGGAGGTACTTAATACAGATCATTTTTCAATTTCCCTAGGATTTTTTCCAACTAACAGGATAATACATGCAAAAACCGTAGGACTAATGAAAAAATAGGTACAATGTTAAACAAATATTATTAAAAAAAATGTATGATGCCTATGTTATTATTTTACCATAGTATTACTTATATATTGTTGCCAAAACAACACTTATTAACTGAACTCTGTTTAGCTCTCAAAAAACTTCTGGATTTTTTTTTCTAAAATTTGTGTTTTTGCATGCTTAATTTAGCGGTACTTTCAAAAAAAGTCCGCTCAAAGTCCATTTGGAAGTTATGGTCAAAAAACTTCAAATTGCTTGATTTTTCAAAAAGTTTTTATTTGATATTTTGTGTATACAATTTTTTAACTAAAATTACTTGGAACATTTTGAAATAAAAAACTATTAATTGCTATTTATTTGTTGGTTACAAATCAATACAATTATCAAATATATCCTGCCTTTCCAAATTTTAATAATTCAAGTTTGTACTGATAGTAATAATTCTAATATTTACCTGATAAATATTTTATTTTATGCCTTTTAGGATCTATTATCCAGTATCAAACAAAATAGAAGTCCATCACCGCAACAAATGAATAATAATAGTTCCAATAATCCAAATACTTCAACGACATCCACAGCTCTTATCAATAATATAAATCAAACGTTATTTACTACTGCCAATAATAATTATCATGGTAAGTTTTAGTTATTTAGACTTATTAGACTAGTTTATGTTTGTATATGGTTGTCCTTAGTGATGTTACGAACACTGATTTTTAAGGTTCAACCAAACCTACACACTTGTATTCAAACCCGAATGGAACTTTTAAATTATTTTATTAAACTTGAACTCTGACATAAAAAAAGGAAAAAGGTTAGGTTAAGTTGGATAAAAAAATTTTAAAATTATAATATTAAATGCAAAAAAAATATAATTTTTTTTCCTACCTAGGCCGCTCTGTCCCACTATAGACTATCGTATTGGTTACCGCACAGAATTGGCATCAAATGATTTTCAATGATTATTTGCAATTTTCAGTTTGAAAGTTGAACAGTTCGTTACATATCTAGTTGTCCTACAATTGTTAAAACTTCAATGGGGCACTAATTTTTCCAAAGGGTAAATCATTAATGGAAATCAGAATACAAATGTTAAGTAATCTTACAGAGACTCTTTGATAATCTTGTAGGAATTCTTGATAATAGTTTGAAAATCATGGTATTCTGGAATCTGGTGTACATACTATTCATACCTAAGCCTACCTATGTGCATTTTGAAGAATGTTTTGCTTTTATGTTTTTTTTATTTATTATTTTTTTTCTGTGAACAACTTTTCTATTGGAAATTTTGCTTCAATTTTTTAGTATAGCACTTTTTGAAAGAAAATTAGAATGGAGTGGTTGTTTAAGAAGGTTACTTTTAGTTCTTTGGGGTTTTCATAATAAATAGGAAAAATGTACGAAATGTATTATTTTAAAATCATAAATATTATGGCCTTTCAAAACATGTATAACTGAACTCCCCTCAAAATTGTTTTTCGTTAGAAATTACATATTGTTGTTTAGAGATATACATTCAATTTTCCCTCTACCTTCCCAAGGTTAGGTTTCACCTACAACAGTGGCCCATTCATTGTGCAAAATATGTCTGTTTGTCTTTTGATTGTGATTCAGTTAAAAATATTCATAGAGACTTAAAATTTGAACAGAACCCTTATATTTGTCTTTTCTAGATGTGGTAAAATTTTCAAAATATTTTATTATTTTTGAGACATTTTAATTTCGCCAGTTTTTTTTACATAATGTTTATTTATGTAATTATTAATTACATTATTTAATAATATTAATAAATATTATTAAAAAAAATATATGATGCATATTATGTAATTATTTTACCATAGTATAACATACATATATTGTTGAAAAAGCAACATTATTAAGTGAATTTCGCACAGAATTTTTTAGTTATATCCTCTCTGAAAATATTGTTTGTTACATAGAATAGGATAGATAATTTGAATAATTAATAACTTAATTCAGTCTATAATTTGTTAAACATTGAACAATTGAGGTATTGAGCAATTATAATTTATTATTTTTGAATACATTTTATGTACCCAGTCTTATCCATCATGTTTCTGTATTTCTAGTTCTATTATAATATAAGTAGTTTAAAAAATAATTTATAATCAAATGTGTTGTGCTGATAAAAAAAATTCTAAGAATTATACAAAATAAGAGTAGTTAAACTTCACTATTATTACTGGTTTATTTGAAATATTTGAATAAGTGTATCCACTGTTAAATATCATATATTACTTATAATATATGATAAAAACATAGGTATTGACCAAGACTTATTAACTTAGTTTGGTAAATTTATTTATTTCCTTCAATATGCGACACTTATGTCTAATTTTCAATTTTTGTATGTAATTCAGTGCTGGTGCTAGGGTAAGACAAATGGGAAAGAAATTCAGCCCCCCTCCCTTGTTTTGGTTTTAATAGGCCCTGTGGTATATTATTATATAGGTATACAGTCATTAGTTATACTAAAGCACTGTCCAGAGCCCTGCAAAACCTAGCGCTGCCACTGTATGTATTTATATAATATTCATTATTCATATTTTATTTTAACAATATTATTTATATTTTAATTTAGTTGAAAATTCTAATAGACATGGCCGTCAAGATACTTCACAAACAATTGGTAGAAATATGTGGATTAATAATTCTAACAGTAAGGAATTTTATATATTTATATTGTGTACTGCCTATTTAACTAAATGAGTTTCACGTGCTATTTCTAATAATTTAATATTTTAATCCAAGAATCTTGAACTATTTTAAATGATTTATATATCAATTTAATTCTATTATTTGTTAATTAGGTAAAATTGCAAAATGTTGATGGTATTGTTTTAAATTTATTCTATTTTAAATTATTAATTTAGAAAATGCTCAATCAAATGTTGGCAACTATGGACCCTACTATCAAACTTCATCTACAGCTTCAATAAATTACTGTGTTAACAATGGCATGCCATCATCTTCATCTTTGTCTTCAGTTAATACTGTGTATAGCTATTCCGGGCCTCCCCCTTTACCTATATCTCGTACAGAAACTTGCAATACTAGTAACACTGGAAATTTAATTGCGAGTTCAAGTGGTGAACATGCTATACAACAAATATCGCAGTCTGTGAATTCTCAACATCAGACTCATTACCTTACACCATCCCATCCACCCATGTATATGAGTCCGACCATTCGAAATCAAACTCCCAATCATGCATGTATGTATAATAAAAGTATTGGCGATTGAATAAATAAAAAGTAATTTTAAATAATATGTCATTGTTCTTGTAAGATCATTTTAAACCGCTTGTCTATCCAGATGAAAAATTGGTTTCTCCCGGTCCAAATTATTATCAGCACCCAGGCAACAGGAATGTTCATTTATCAAATACTATGGCAGGCCTACCCCATACCTATCAAATGGTATTTAATTTTAATTTTATCCATTTTTAAATGAATAGTATATTTCAATTTGTATTGTTATGTTATTTGTTAGCAGAGTCAAAAATCGCATATAAGTTATCCTATAAGACACCCTACAGTACCACCTCCAATTTTGCAACATATGCCAGGAATTATCCAATCATCTCAACATGTGAGTTAATGAGTAATTTAAATTTAAAATATAATTATTCATTTTGCTTTTTATATTTCATAGGGGTCGTATAATAATGTACCATGTTCTATAACAGGATATTTGAACAAATCACCTGCTTCTGCTGCATCGACTGGTGACATTCCCAGATATCAAATACCATCACAAACACCAATGTCCAGGCATGAATAATTTGTACTAATATTAAGTGTCTATTATTATCTAGATATTTGTAAATTTTTTTTTCTTTTGTGATCATACATTGATTATAATTTAATGATCCTTTAATAAATAATACATATAAATAATTCTTCAGTGTTTACATTTTTTTTACAATATATACATATATATGTGTATACATATTGAATATATCATATATATATATATATATTAAAAATATTATATCTTTTTTTGTACTAAAATACATTTAATAACATCTTTTTTTTAAGAAAACTGTTTTGTATACGTGGGGGTAATCAATTATAAATATTTTTATGTAATGAAAGTAATTCATTTGAATAAATAATTTCTAAAAGATTCATGAAATGATTATAGTTATTTAATAATGCTTCTATACTTATTGTGATCAATGTATTAGTTGTCTTCACTCTAGCTTCTTAATGAAAGCAAAATTTTAAGTTCTGATTTTTTGCAATAGCTTATACATCAACAAAGATTATTCAAGTTTGAAGATGAACACAACCATTTAACAGAAAAAGGTAACAATAACATATGGTGAATCTTTTTTTTGTTATATTTATTTATTTATCAATATAGCTTTAGTATAGTGATAAAGTTTTTTATAATAATTATGATGATACTATATCTATTATATTATATTTTATGTATAATCAGGCACTACTTAATTGCTTTTAAATAATAGTTTCATTTCAGTTGTTTATTGAATGTATAAATTACTCAATACTTTTACACTAATTATTATTGATATAAATCAGAAATTGGAGGTAAAAAGTAAACTAACTATAATATACAATTAATAATACTAATGTAACTAATACTTATAAAAGTAAAACAAATTTATAAAAAAAATAATTAATTCACATATATTTGTTACATGGTAAGTTCTCAACCATTTTTTACATGACACCTTTACTTAACTCTAAATAAATAGAAAAGATAACACACTTAAATAATTATAGATTATAAATTATTGATAATATAAAAAAAAAATCACAATGGGTTATAGCAAAACATCAGTTAAAGAACCATGGTTTAAAAAGCAGACAATTTTTTTATTTTTATTTTTATTTTAAATGAAATCTTCAATCTATACCACTTAGACACAATAAGTAAACATGATACAAGTTAATGATACATACAAAGTATTAAGAGCAAGCTACCCTTAATGACATTGACATAATATGTAATACTTTTGAGGAAAGCAGCCACACATTAGTGACACTTTCGTATGACTATTTTTTTTATTTTTTTTTATTTTACAGTATTTATTTAATTTATGTTAGATTAGGGTGAGAACAGGTCGCGACACCATTTCCTTGGGGATTACTGGGAATTGTAGGCTTTGCAAGATTTCTGACTAGAGAATTGGTATGAGATAGAGTGTAAGCATGGAAACGTTTATAGTATACATAAGGTTCCTTATAAACTGAAACTTTTAAGGTCTGTATATATAGTGTGCTTAGAGATGTAATAAGGGGCATTTAATAATTTCTGAAGTGCGATGTTCTGGAAAGATTGAATTCTATTTATATCAGATTTGTTTGCGTTTCCCCAGAGCTGGATGCCATAAGTTCAGATAGGTTTAAGGAGTGACTTGTCAATAAGTAGTTAAGTATTGATGTGGGTGTATTTATTATTGTTGATGAGTGGTTTTTTAGTATGCGTTAAAAAAATAAAATTAGGTTCCACAATAATTAATTGTTTTATAATAGTTTTATACCTTTTTTTTTCCACATAGACACTCAACTCTAAATAAATGGAATAAATAGTACACTTAAGTAATAGATAAAATAAAACTGGTTGAATTAAAATTATCAAAAATACACTATACTCCGTACCATGAGAGAACACATACAGCGGTGGACCAAAACTTGTATATTTTCGTGCATCCTTACTACAAAACATGTATAACCAACTCCCACTACGTGGTCAACAACGGAGCGCATCATTTGGATGCACAAGTCGTATGCGTTCTCTCATTGTACAGAGTATAGTAGACCCGCCAATTAAGAACTACGATATTATAAAATATATACATTACAATCGATAATTTTTCAAATCAAATCAAACTTAATTTCCATCACTCGTCATGCCTCATTTGCATGAAATTAGAATTTCCATGTTCTGTAATAAATCCCATTGAAGAGTACCAATTGACATTAGTATCTTTACATTCCAATGAAATCTTGTAACAATTTAGAATACGAGATAGAGCGATCAAATTTTGAACAATACTGTAACATAAAAAGTAATTAAAACTATCAATCAAACATTGAAAGTTAGTTACAAACTATAAACAAAAATCATCATATTTTTTTTAATACCTAAATACATCAATTTAACAAATGTATCCACATCAATAAATTGTTGAAGGAAAAAAATTATCTTTGAAATATGAAATTGATTTAATGATTTACAATTCAAAACAATTTAGTTAAGGGTTTACAATAAACTTTTTTTACAACACTGTTGTAATACACGAATGAAATATAATTGATATTGTTAAAGACTTAAATTTTTTTTATAAAATTTAAAGTATTAGGTACTTATGAATTTATAATAAATGATAATATATCACTAGGTACTTACAGTTTACCAAATCCTTTTCCTCTGTATAAGTCGTCCACAATGACATCTTCAATTCTACCTCGCTTTAACCAATAATTCATCAATTAATATAATTTGAAAGTAAGAACAAATTTTTAAAATAACAATATTGTTACACTTACTTGGCCACAAGAATGTATGAATTTTTTTTCCAAAACTAAAGAACCAGATGCCACTATTACATTGATCTGAGTGTCTTCAATGACAGTAATATAATATGTACCAACATTATTTTTCATCTCATAAAATTTATCTGAAACAATAATACATAATGTCCAACCATAATTAAATTTAAAAAAAAAAAAAAAAACATACTCAAAAACATTTGTTCAGTAATGTGTCCTGTTGAGGTGAGTTGAGACAATAGTTCCACATATCCTATAAAAAAAATTTTAAATGGTATTTATAAAAGGGTATACCAAACATATACATCTACCCATTGTAATAATTGTTACAAATTCTCACTTTTATTCATGTCAGTTGCACACAGAGGTCTCAATTTAAATTTATAAAAATCTTTCATTCCCATGATTAATTCGTCGGTGTAGGAATTTTTCAATAATTCTGGATCAAATATACTATTTTCAAGGGCCATTTCTGCCATTACGATTGTTGCTATAATATGGAGAAACAAAACGAAAGTGAGTATCTATACAAACGAGTTAATGGGGTACAAAAACAGAGTTAATCATTTTAAAAATTTTGGTATTTTGTTTTTTTAATTTAAAAGAATAAAGCAAGGTAGTACTCACATATGGGTAAACAAAAATGAAAATAGTCTGGACAGTAAATGAATTGAAGTCCAGTTAAACGTAATATGGTTAACAACTGTACAATCGGAATGGAATTATGATATGAGAAATAAAACAAAGCAATGCACGATTATATGATATTATCGAAAAATATGATCTAATTAAACGAACTGTAATGCCCGCGGCGGTAAATATGTTCAGTCCACCAACTACCGGTAGCCAATATCCCGTAAACAATAAACACAGACTAATAGTAAAACCTTCACTTTCACATTACCGTGCGTGTCAGTGTGAGTGACGCACACTTATAACAAAATATATTTAGGTATGTCAGCTACAATGTAATACGCATGTCCTCACGAAATACCGTCATTGTTTATCATGTAGATATCGAGTGCCCCGTCCATGGATAAATAAACCAAAGCTTATTTAGTCATTCATTTAATTGGTTCTCGGAGAACCTAATATAATACTTATAGGAAAATAGGTATGGGAATACGAATATCAGATTCAAATTCGTATTTGTTTTATTTATTTATTTTCCTATTCATTAATAACGAGCATTGTTGCTACACCTTTACATTTTTGTTATGACGTCACTATCGTGCAAATATTCGTCTAAAATAACCGTGGAAATAATCGATAACCGTGGACCGTGATGGTAACCTAGCGACCACAATATTATCGATTCCGGTGTTCTGCCAACGGGGGCGGAGCACATATTTAGATAATAACCTAGATTGCTAACTAGTAAAAATTCACAGGGAAGCCGGGCGTCGCCGCCTACGCGCCATGTTGGTTGAGAGCTATGGTATTTTATCAATTTTATTGTTGTGATTATACACAAATACATTTTGTTATAATTCATAAACTTAGGAATATTTTCAATAATAATTAACGTTACACTGCAGTAAAATTGTATGTATAGATGACCACGTTGAAAACTACTGATACATACTTGAAAAAAACCTCTTTATCACGACCATAACGATTAGCACATCCAAGCACACAGCAAGTTAGTGGTATTTTACTTACACTACTTATACTTTTGCAAATAAAAATCAAGACATAAAGTTAAAATATAGTAACATTTAAAACGCATATCCTCATTTGTTTATTGTTTTTTTTTTTATTTAAATGTTACCATCAAATATTATTTGTTATTGATAAATAATTATAAATAATCTTATATTATAATATATATTTTTATGCAATCATTTTGATTAATGATTTACGTACATAATTTATTTTTAATTATAATATGTTTTTATGTATGTAGGAATAATTTAGTTTATTATCTATATCTATGGTAATATGTACAATTTGATTTGAAATACCTCTGCCAGGCGCCAAATGATAATTTAGATATCACATAGTTATGATAATACTGCAAAGCCTTACAACCAACATGGCTTTTTAAGCATCCGCTGTTATTACTAGTTTGTAATTTAGTTTATTATCTATATCTGTGAGGCCGAGTAAGAATAAAAAAAATTATCTACCCATAGAGTAATTGTATATATCTATGTATCTACCAGACGTCAATCACGAAAGATAATATATATATGTCTGTGATTACAACTGAGATTCATAACTCACGTACATAAAATACTGTTTATGTTGGAAGAAAAAGAACTGATACTGGAGATGGACGCAGCCACTGTTGAAGAAGTTGAGAAGGTAGAATACATAAGGTTATTTCATTTATATCTGTAAGCAACGTTAACTCTTTGCTTGATGAAACACGATTCCGAGCGCAGTTCGGTATTATATAATTTGAAGTGCAGTAACTTTTTTTTTTTGTGATTTTTGTTTAAATTTAATTTCAAAATGGTTATTAAAAAAAAAAAATCGTCTGATGATTTTGAAAATTTTACCACGTCTAGGTAAATCCAATATAATTATTATAACCAAGTTCAAATCTCTACGTATATTTATAATCGAATCGCAGCAAAAACACTCCCAAACATTAAAATTCCTTAAAAACTCAAATTGGCTCAAAAGTTTTAGCGATGATACCGTAAGAAAGTATATCAAAAAGGCAATAAAAAAAGATGTCTTGTGATTTTTCGATTTAATTTTTTTTTTTTGTTAGAAAACGTCGTTGTGATTGTATAAAATAATGAAATCGTGAAATTGTACGTTTTTCTACTTTATCCCCACTCAGATGCTTTTATTTAAAAAATGGCGTTGAAAATTAAAAAATGATCTCTCTAAAATACAATCTAGATAATTTGAGCTTTTAGAAAACGTACTACACTTATCATCGGAGCAAGTATATTAGGAAAAAACATGTCCACAGACTAGAACAAAAAAAGAAAAAAGAAACTTAGTAAAACCAATAGCTCCCATCACTATGCTCGGAATCTAAAAGTATAAAAGTTGTAAACAGAGTAAAAAAAAGGACGGGCATAATTCGCACGTAGGTGCAGCAACTGTTGTAGGTGGGAAGTTGGGAAGGTAGGCTACAGACGAGAATTTAATGTATATCAGTAAGCAAAGATAAACTATTGGTAAAGAAAAAACAATTCTGAGCTTAGTTCAGTTGATAGTGTTGCTTTTTCAGCAATAAAATATATATGGTATTTTCATATTTGGTAAAATAATTAAAACGGTGTGCGTTTCCATGACAACAATGATTGTTTGAAAAAGATTAAAGTAATAAAAACTTGAAAATAACAAAAAATAAATAAAAACGGTTGCCAATAACAACCTTATTTTTAATCTGTCAATCTTTTTTAACCTGAAGACCGAGGTTTTCCTTATTATCTCGAATATTAATGAGAATTTCAAAGAAGTACCACCCAGGGAAAATTTTGTTTCAGAAAAGGTGCTATACTTGATAATTAGAGTATGCTTTCTGGTAGAAAAAGTGTTCACATGAAAAGAAAAGCTCCACTCGGAACCTAAAATAAAAAATAAATTAATGCGTCACCTAAAGTATTATAATAAGTGTATTACACAACCGGTTTCGAATTAAAAATTCATCGGCAGGTAAAATCACAAAATCAAAAAGTAAACAGCACAAATATGAAACAATAAACGATGCACTTCATATTACTTATTAGTCTTAATTTAAAGAGGATTCTATTTTATTTATAAATACTATTAAATATATAAATAAATAAATGAATGCATCACTTGAAGTATTATGATATGTGTATTGTATGGTTTCGAATTAAAAATTCATTAGTATGTAAAATCACAAAATCAGAAAGTAAACAGGACAAATATGAAAGAATACATAGAGAAAAAATTATACAAATTGGTCAGTTTACATAGAAATAATTTATTTTAATAGAACTGATTATTTAAAATTAGTTATTATTAGACATAGAATTGTAAGAAATATAAATTATTTTGTTATTATTTATTATCTGAAATGTATTTAAATAAACAAAAAAAAAAATCTGTCCTAGGATAATGGGGACAGGTGCAACCATTGTTATGGGTGAGAAGTTGGGAAAGTAGTAGAGAGGAAATTTAATGTATATCTGTAAGCAACTATAAACCATTGGTAAAGAAAAAACAATTCTGAGCTGAGTTCAGTTGATAGTGTTGCTTTGTCAACAATATATAATATATAATAATATGTCATATTATGGTAAAATAATTACCCACGCATTAAACATTTACTTAAATAATATTGTACCTACTTTCCCATTTTTTCGCAACTTTAGAGAAAACTCCAGGGAAAATCAAAAAATAACTTCCTTAAAGTACCTAGTATTTGTAGTTCTTTGTTTACATGTTTGATTAAATAACTATTAGTCTTAAAAATGATTTTTACATTATATTTTGTGTTATTGTTCAGAATTTTAGCAAATTTGTTAGACATATTATTTTTATATTTCATTCTACAATAGTTAACAAGATTATTTGGCGATCAGTGTATCATTTTTTCTTTAATATGTGTATGCATTTTTTTTCAGTAGTATTTAAATTACAATTATTTCTATGTGCTGTATTATATATAGTATTGAGCTCGTGATGATAATTATGTTTATTTAATGGAATACGTTTAAGCCTACAGAATATTGAATTAAAAAATTATATTTTTTGAGAATAAGTGTGATTAGAATCATATGGTATCAGTTTATGTAATGTTTATTTATTTTGTTTAAGTAGTTAACTAAATTTTCTGCTCGTTTATTTGAACCTCTAAATAAAATGAACGTGTCATCAATACATCTATAATATGCTCTTATATATGGACTGTATAATGTGTTGTTAATTGGTTTTGTATTGGTACCTATTGGTTTTGTAATTTTGTATGTAAATTTCAAATAAAAGAGCATTTAAATGATCACCTATAACTAACCCATCTTTTTGCGATTATAATTTATTATATTGGAAATAGTTTTGATAAATAATTACATTTATTGATTGAATAATTTCTTGTATTTCCTTTGTATCAGATTTATTACTATGTATAAGTTTATTTTTTTATAAATATTCGGTTTCGTGTTTAGGAATGGATGTATATACATTTTTGACATCAAGAGAAATCATTTTGTAACCCGGCTCAATATTAATTTTTTAAATTTTTTCAATAAAATCTTAAGTGTTTTTTTATAGAAGTATCAGTATTCATGTTTAATTTTTTTTTTTATGAAAGAATCTAAATAATTATCAAGGTTATATGCTGAAACAGTTTTAAATTTAATTAATAGACAAATTGAATTATCCTATTCATGTAATTTTGTGAATGGTTGTAAGTGTGGAGCCTCTTTTTTGTAATTATGCTTTTAAGGAATTTTAATGTTTGGTAGTTTTTATGCTGTAATTCGATTATAAATATACTTAGAGACCTGAACTTGGTAATAATAATTATATTGGATTTATCTAGAAGTGGTAAAATTTCCAAAATCATCGGACGACTTTTTTTTTTTAATAAGCGTTTTGAAATCAAAATTAATAATATACATATTATTTTAAAATGAGAAACAAGTTAGTCAGATGCCCCAAGTACCTTACCTACTTGGCCTCTTCTATGTTATTTGAATTTTAGATTCTGAGTGGAGCAAAGAAGCTTATAGTTTTACTAAGATGTTTTTTTTTTTTTTATTTGTGCGCAAATTTTCTACCAGAAGACTTGCTCGGATATCTATGTGTAGCTCCTTTTCTGAAAGGAAATCGGCGTGGGGAGGTACTTAAGGGAATTTCTTAAGAGTTTTCTCATCAAATGCAAAGAATTTATAAAATATTTGAAGTATAATAAATATAATCTTACGATTTTTTTTGTGGACAACTTATCTACTAACTATTTTGCTCTAAATTTTAATTATAGCAATGTTTCTAAAAGAAAATTTCACTAGGGAGGTACTTGTGCGAATAATGTTCTCTTTTTTAGAAGAGAATTTAAAAAAAATCATCTCGTTTTCCAGAATTTAAATATTTTTTAATTATTTAAAAAAGAATTTATTACAAAATATAAAAATTACTATTCTTAAATATAGTTCTTAAAAAAAGAACTAAATATAAGTATAAAATAAAATAGCCTATCAGTTGAAATAATATGAGAAAAACTTCAAACATTTTAATTAAATACAATATGACAAAATCATCTTAACAAAAAAAATTACAATATTTGCATTATAGAGTAGGTGTTTTATATTCACATTAAATCCAAACCCGATGCATTTTCAATTGTTATATCTTTTGATAAGAAGTATACTGTATGTCTATACCTAAATAAATATAAATAGTTTTATTTTTTTTTTTTTTTCAAAAGCATCGTTGAGACTATTTGCATGACCCACTTACTTATTTTATAAGGCAGTTCAAATGAACTACCACTGAGAGTGCTCAAACAGGTCATCGAAAACGCGGTCAAATAGTCTGAAAAAACGTTTATTAAAATTGTCGTTTAAATGAAAAATTAAAACGAGTTTTAACAACATTCTATAGTTTTATGGCGATGGCCTATAAATGAGGTATATAACAGCTGTTGAGATATAATTAACGATCCACTTGCATCACGTGTTTAATGAGGTCCAAAACCCTGTTCGCGTATCCCATTTCGTTATCATACCAGGCGCTGATCGTAACGAATTTGTCTATGACCTGGATCTGTTTAAAGTCCACGATGGACGAATAATGAGACCCGAGGAAATCCGAACTCACGTACTTTTGGTCATCTATGTACGTTACCACACCTTTCATCGAACCCGCCGCCTGTGTTTTGATCTCGGATTTGATCGCTTCCACGGTCACCTCGTTTTTGACACTGCGACAAATTTTAAAACAATCGAATCATACAGTACAATTATCCATCTTGAGAATTTAAATTTAAGGAGCGAGGTATATTAGGTATCAAAAATAATATATGTGTAGAGATCCCTCAAAACTCGTTTTAATAAGTCTGCGTAACCTGTTAACGGAGAGCTGTCAAAATCTTGAACGGCAACACCTTGAATGGAAAAACTTTGAACTGACTAATTTTTATCCCATAGAAAATGATCTAATAGGTATTGCCGATGCAAGAGTTTACAGTTCAAGATTTTGTCAGATTTTTTTTCAAGATTCTGCTGGTTCAAGGATTTGCCGATCAAATGTTTGCTGTTTAAGATTTTGCCGTTCATGGTGTTACCATTTAAGATTTTGACGTAGACCCCTGTTAATTAATATCTGCACAAGGACACGAGGATGGTACACTGTATAATGATGTATGGCGACCAACAAGTTTTTTAAAACGATGGACATACACTTTGCGCCGTGAATAAGTCACTATTTTGTAGGTGAGATCGTTCGTGAATTATTTAATTTATATTAACTGAATAGAAAGATAAATCACTATAATCAAAACACAATTCTATGTGGACCTCGAATACTAGCATGGTAATATAAAAATATAGACATTATAATTTAATAATAAGTTTGTCTCGTATTTCCCTTTGCAGCCCAGGTAACTCATAAAATAGAAATCAAAGAAATGTTTGTATTGGCAGTGTCAGATTCGTAGCGTAGCAAGGGATTTATTTATTTCACATATGATAAACATATATGTTTGTGCGTCGTATGATATTGGGTCTTTGGGCAACTTTTTACCAGAAATTTTGTTCCAATAGAAAAACTACAAGTAACCTTTTTTGTTGCATTTTTAATTTTGTTGTTGAGTGAGAAAGTTCTTTTTTGATTTTCCTTCTAGTTTTTTTAATAATTAGAAAATACCGGAAAAAAGTGTAAAATGAAAACTATGATGGCGTTATGATTTCATTATTTTAAGTTTTTGAGCTTTATGTTTTCTACCAAAAATATTTTTCAAATGGAAAATCAATAAAACACCTTGTTTGTTGAATAGTTTTTTGACTTTTCCCTGAAGTTTTTTTTAATAATTAAGAAAAACTGAAAAAAATTAGAAAGAATGAGAATATTTTTGAAAATAATAATTTTATTATTTTCAATTCTGTTTTTTTATTGCAATTTAGTTAAAAAATATTTAAAGGGACTTGACATTTTGACAGAAAACTCATGTTTGTTTTTTCTTAAAGTGGGGACTTAAAGTTATGACTTCATTTCAATTTGTTTTTCATTAGTAATGGTTTATTTGTTTATACTGATATAAATTAAATAACTTTTTATATCCTACTTTCCAATTTTCTACCTACAACAGTGGCACAGCAGTGGTATAAACAGATCACAGTATAAGCTCTTTTTTGTTTTAGGTTTTAGAAAAATGTTTAGGAATATATCCGCATCATTTAAGGTACAACGTGAAAAGATCGAAGCATTTTTACTATACGGAAAAAAAACACATTTTAAAGGTACGGTTTCCTACTCACGACCACTGCAAAGCGACAAAAAACGTCGGTAGGTCGTGTGCCAATATGATAAAATTTTTACCTACAGAAAAAAAAATACTCATTGACGAGGTTAGACAAATCTCTTTTTATTAAAATTTCAAATTAACGTTTCAATTTTTCTATTTAGAAAATAATAATTTGTCTGCATTTTTTAAATTCTGAGTGTAGCGAAGAATATATTGGTTTTATAAAGATGTTTATATATATATATTTTTTTTTTTTATGTGAACACTTTTTCTACTAGAAAGCTTACTCCGATGAATATGATGTAGACCTTTTTCTGAAAAGAAATGTCTTTTTTGATTTTTTCAGGAGTTTTCTCATTAAATTTGAAAAACCAAAAAAAAAAAAAACTGAGTATGAACAGGAAAATGTACGAAATGCATAAACAAAATATTACGATTTTTTTTTCGTGAAAAACTTTTCTACCAGCAATTTTTCTCCGATTTACCAAAATAGAACTTTTTCTGAAAGGAAATCTGACTAGGATGGTATTTTAGGAAGGTCATTTTTTGATTTACCTTCCAGAAAATGTGAAAAACCGAGGAAAAATATGGTAAAATTAGTGTAATACTAAATAAATATTATTAAAGAAAATAATATATAATTCCGCATATGTAATCATGTTACCATAATATTGACATACATATTGTTGACAAAGTATGACTATCAACTGAACTCCACTCAGAATTATTTATTCGTTAGTAATGGTTTATCGTTGTTTACAGATATACAAATACATTCAATTTCGGTTTTACTACCTTCCCAACTTTCCACCTCAACAGTGGCTGCACCCGTCCCAATATCCTAGAACAGCTTTTTTTTATTATTATTATTTACTCAGTATCTGTGTACTGTGCATACTATGAGGACCTTTGTTTTTTCGATTGTTTATTTTTGTCTTCTGAGTTCAATATTAGTGTTACAAATAATAACAAAATTATTTTACTTTTATTAGAGGAAAGAGAGGATAAAGATGAATTAATAGTTTCAAATAATAATAAAAATAAATAAAAATTAGACACCTTATTTTTGAATAGAAATATAGAATGCTAATTCGAAATTTTAATGAAGAGACATTTATCTAACCTCTTTAATGAGATTATTTATTATAGAAAAATTGCTAACATTGTAAATTTGATAGCAAATTGATGGTAGAAAAGTTATGTACAGAAAAAAAGAAGGTCGCTATATATTTTAACTAACACCTACATTTTTCTGTTTTACTCAGTTTTTTTTTTTTTGGTTTTTTTAAATTTGATGAAAAAACGCCTTAAAAAATCGAAAAATGATTCTCTTAAGTACCTCCCTTAGTAAAATTTCCTTGTAGAAATATTGCTATAATTATAAGTTGGAGCAAAATTGCTGATAGAATAGTTGTGTACAGCAAAAAAAATCATAATTTTTTAGTAATATATTTCGTACTTATTCCCCTTTTTTTTCAGTGTTTCGCATTTGATAAGAAAACCCTTGAGAAAATCGAAAAACTTCCTTTTTGTATCTCCTCATACCGATTTTCTTTCAGAAAAGATGCTACACTTTAAAATCTGAGCAAGTCTTCTTCTGGTTTAAAAATTACATCTTTGTAAAACATTAAGCTTCTTCACTCCACTTGGAATCTAAAATTATAAATGTTTAACTACCAGGTGATCCATTTAAGTGAGTACACTCATTATCTTGCGATTTTAAAAATGTAGACGTGCCATTTAAAAGAAAACTTCTTAGCCCTGGTGATGAGTTATTAAATATTGGTAGGGGAATGTTGTTTGGGGCAAACCTCCCACGAGATTGTTATGGAAATTTATTTTGATATCCTCCTTAAAACATTCTCAATTACGCCACTGTAACTGATAAGCATATGTGACGGATAGGTAGGTATCTAAACGTGCATGTCGATTATTACTTCATGTATAGCTTCAAAAGCGACACGTCCAACGTCGGTACTCGGGCCGAATCACCGTCTACTTTGCCTTTGAGTTCGGGTATTACGAGACCCACGGCTTTCGCGGCGCCCGTCGCACTAGGTACGATGTTTCCATAGGCTGACCTCTGCGAATCAAAATTAATAATAATTTCGAAAATATGATTTACATAACATTATTATTATTTGTTGTGTACGCTTGCGGCGCGCTTACGTAGTTCAGTCCATCGTGTACTTGCTGGGTGCTAGTCACGGCGTGCGTCGTAGTCAACAGGCAGTTATTCACCCCGAACTTTTTGTTCATGAGGTGGATCAACGGTGCGGCGCAATTTGTGGTGCAGGAAGCATTGGACACCACGTTCAAGGTGTTCTTCAGTGTGTCAAAATTCACGCCCTTTACGAACATCGGGACATCTTTGCTCGGCGCAGTGAGTACGACTTTTTTGGCACCCGCCGTTAAGTGTTTCTATAAGAGTACGTGACAAAAGTCATACATGTATCACCATAGAGGCCCGGTAAAATTTCAGGGAAGGGGAAGATTAAAAATAAAAATGTTAGTTCATATTATTTTTCAGGATGTGACAAGTCCCCTATATTGCCCTCACTCCAACGGACGTCCAAATATACCAGAGATTTTGTTTTACACTGTAACAAATATTATGTAATATGTAACTATTGTCGATCAATAGCATTATTTTCATATAATCGGTAGACTTTGGAATATCTATGATATTTGATTAAACTTACTAAATTTATTGACCAATGATAATGAAAAAAATATTATTTACCGAAAAAAATTGTCTAATTCCGCTCAAATGTTTCCCATAATAACTATTTAATATTTTTCATAATTAAAAAGGAATAAGTACAAATCGGTCGAAAAATAAGAAAATCGAACATTTTACCATGTGTTAAACGTATAGCTATATACGCAAGTTAATCAATATAATGATACTCTTTATCTTGGAAAGTATTAAAATATTCAATAAATAAATAACTCTATAATCATAATAGTACATTATCAGTTTTTGTCACTCTTATTTTTGAGAATGAAGCCATTTTTGATTTTTAAACAGCAACCGATTTTAAAAATGTCAACACCAAATTGTGATTAATCTAAAACTTCATCTACTTATAAAATTGTTAATTTAGGTTATAATTTTAAAATCAAATATAATATTATCATTCATTGTCATTGTTAATAGATAGGTGTATATATTAATAGTTTAATTTGAAAAATGTAGGTACGTACACTGTAGAACAAATAAAGTCCTTAAAAAGAAGATTTAATACATTAATATTATATTTACCGAAAGTGCTTCTTGTACGGTGAATTTCCCTGTCGCGTCTATCACGTATTTGACCGAAGTATCTTTCCATGGGATTTTTTCAGGATTTTGTTCATGATATAGTCTCACGCATTTACCTATTCGGAAAATGGTTATATTACATGATATCTTTAACCCAGGGAAGAAAGACCTTCCCAGCTACGTAAATTTTTTTTATATTTTCTATATAGTTTTGTCTAATATAAATCTTTGATTCGCGTGTCCACAATTTTATTTCGAGGAGAGCTGATTAAAATGTATAAATATTGCCTTACAGTAAAACAAAAAAAGCTGTCATAGGATAATGGGAACGGGTGCAGCTACTGTTATAGGTAATTTAATGTATATATGTACGCAATCATTGCAGCTAACGAAAAAATAATTCTGAGCAAAATTCGATTGACAGTGTTGCTTTGTCAACAACATATATATTTCACGTGGTAAAATAATTACATATATATTATATATTTTCTATATTAATAATAAATTAAAGTTTAATATTGTACCTATTTTACCGTTTTTCCGGTTTTTTCCCATTTGTTGAGAAAACCCGTGGGAAAATTAAAAAATGACTACCCTTAAAGTACCTCCCCAAATTTCCTTTTAGAAATAGTGCTAAAAATAATAATAAACATTATTGTAAAACTAATACATTACTTGTTCCCAGAATCTAAAATTATATTTAATGTGTTATAAAATAACATTTATCACAATGTATATTATTAGATACAAAATGTCTGTGAGGCTAGGTTTAAAATCAATAATAAATAATTTAAGACTTTTAATACCTTTCATAGACTACATGTAGACTTCTACAAAAATGACCTTTTTGCTTATATTTAAAACACAGTATACCTAAACGTCTACATAGTCTCTTTTTACCTTTCAAAAATTAATGATGTAATCTCCTACACAGACCTTTTTTTATAGAACATAGTCTATGGAAATAATTTTTAGATTTTCTTAAATTTGGTTGGTACATTTGCGGTCACGACCTTTTTGGGGGCACTTGCAGTCATTTATTTTTTATTTTACCCGCTATCCTTTTTTACACGGACATTCGTGTTTGTGTATATTTTCATATTTTAGATTAGGAGCGGAGTACATTTAAATACATTTCTCAAATGTATTGTTTTTACTATCATGTGTATTCAAATTTCCCTTCCCACATTTAAGGGCTTTGGACTGACAATAAATATTAATTAAATAAATACTGGCGTGTTTAAAGTTATTTTATAAAATATTTAACTGTTATATTATCATTATTAATTTATTTTAATTTTATTAAGATATGTCAGATATTTTTTTTGGATGAAAGAAAGAGTTTTTAGACTACTTTTTAAGTCTTTGTTATTTTAGTATGATTTTATTGTTTTATCTATTCTATTGTCGATTTCCATGTAACAATTTGTCCGTTTCTTTCCCTTCATGTTCAAAAAAAAGTCGATAAAATAATAAGTCTCTGTGTTTAAATTCTAACATAAGACATTTGTACAAAGCTAAAAAAGTTGGTCGAGGTTTATTAATTATTAAGGTTTACTATGTCATCGTATCGAATTGTGTACCTTTAAATAATTAAATAACATAAAAAGTGAAAAGTTTAATTTCACTCTAACTATATAATATTAAAAATTTAAATTTAAATATGATTGCCTGTAAATATGAGGCTTAATTATGCTCTTTTTTAAATAAACATCATAAAAAAAACCAATACATTTTATTACTTTATCGAATCTTAAATATGAAAATATACACAAACACGAATGTCCGTATAAAAAAAGAAAACAGGTAAAAAAAAAAAACTGAGTAACCGTAAGTGCCACCAAAAAGGTCGTGAACGTAAATGTGCCGACCGCATCTGTGCCGACACCACAGGCTACTAACCTTCTCCCCATAAATCCGCCCTTACTTTGATTCCTATAACGTAACAAGGAATGTTTTGGTTTTATTATGATGTGTGATTTTTTAAATTTGTTTTTTTATCTATAAACAAATTTTTACCAAAAATCTTGCTTAAATTAGAAAATACCAACAGATTTTTTTTGGTGAATTCTATGCATATTTCATAATAATAAAATTGGAAAATCCCGGAAAAAAACTCTTAAAAGGAAACTAACAAAAATTTACTGCATACAATTTTTTTTTTAAAATAAAATAAAATTTCGGAATTTCGAAAAAAAGCAACTTATCTGAAAGAAAATGTTGTCTGACTTGTGGATTAGATACTTTATGATTTTTCAAACATTTTCATAATATTTGAGAAAAATGGTGAAAAAATGTAGGAAATCGAAAAGAAAAAAAGAGTTGATACTGTTGATTGATGCCACTGTTGATGTAGGTGGGAAGTTGGGAAACTAAGATACATACAGTTATTTAATTCATATCTTAAATAACGATAAACTATTGCTACTAAATACGAATCTGAGCAAAGTTCAGTTACATATGTTTTAAAATGCCGTAATTACGATTTTTTTCGTAATTTGATCTTAAAACGATTATAAAAAAGATTATAACATTATGCTCAATTCATTTTTTTTATCATTAAGTACAATTTATGAACTCCGTCTTTTTTTGGTTTTTTACAATTATTATGAAAATCTGCTTGGCAAATTACATAAAGACTTTCCTATTTACCAACAAGGTATCAAATGTAATATTTCGTCATTTTTCAATTAGAGCGATGTTTCTGGTTGAAAAGTTTTTTTTACAGACATACAATATACAAAAACAAAAAAACAAAAAAAACAGTAAAACTAATAGATTTTTCGGTATGTTTAGAATTTGAAATTCCGGTATGAATGGTTAATTCATTTTAATTTGGTTATGTGTTATAATTCTGTTAAAAATAAAGATCTGAAATTTTTACAGAATACGAATTGGCCACTTTTTAGACGTACTCGTTTTTAAGTTATTTATAAGCGTTTGATATTTTCGAGTTTATTTTTTAGTTTCTATTAACTTACTAAATAAAAAATAAGGTAGAATGTGTATTTTATTTACTGTTATAATTGTTCGACTAAACAGAAATGCTTGATAATTTAACACGAGATTTGAAGTAATATATTTATTTTTTTCATCATAATTTTTTATCTTACCGTTAATGCAGAGGTAACCGTCATTTGCGCACACTGATCCAGTATATTTTCCGTGTACCGTGTCATATTTGAGTGAGTGCGCGATCATTTCAGAGGTAGCGAAAGGTTGATTGACGGCGACAATCTGTGAGAAAATCGTGGTCTTTATTATCTGAGTACATATAAAATGATTTGCTCCGACTAACACAGTCTAAACCGCCGAAGTTAGAAACTCGAAATTTTGAATTAAGGTTCCTTTTTGATGTCGGCATTAAGAAAGGATTTTTGAAAATTCCACTTCTTTAGGATGGCTGACACAGTTTGGTGACATGGATTAAAAATTAATTCAGTTATCACGAGCAATAAAATGTATTTTTAACTAAGTTAATTGTAGTTGATAAGGGTGAGAATGAAAACGACGAGTCACGGGGAAATACAGAATATTATAGAGAACAACTCTGCAGAGTTATAACAAAAGCTATTATATTATGTTATTTGTGTCGATCTTTTGTTATAAAAACCTATTAAGCATGTATGCAATTTTTGCAATAGTTCGATAGTTACGATAGTTATACAGTAATAACTCCTTGAAGAAAAGGACATTGTTCATCGTCGAGCGTTTATTATGTACAGAGTAATTCTATTTGATCACGATCAATTATTTATATCCTAGTACCTAGTATAGGTAACTACTCTAAATTTTAAATATTGCTATAAGTAAATAACGAGTAAATGGCGTAAATCCAATATGAATGCATTATGCATATCAATATTTCTTTGAAATATGTTGTTTTTTTTTCAAATCTGCGTTGAGAAGAAGCGAGAAGTTAGGTTAAGGATGTTTCCTTTTGAAAATCACTAGGCAATATTCCTTTAAGATATCTATAATGATGGAAATTTGAAAATAGTGTTAAAATAAAGTTGAAATAATTCTGTAAAAACCCAAAAAAATTAAAATATAAATCAATTGTAGTCTGTAGGTATTTTATATCCTCTGAGAACATCGTCACATTCTGATAAAAGAATAACTTCATATATATATAGGTATTATATTTACATTAATGCCTCGGCTAAAGGCCAGACGCATTAAGCATTTCCCGATGCGACCCATCCCGTTTATAGCAACTGGTATCACTTCGTCAGACGACTCCGACTCCGGAGGACAACAGACCGGACTCGGTGACGCTGCTGGTGAATTGCATGCTGTTCTCATGCCGCACGGATAGATCGATCTCGGGGCACACGTTCTTTTCAACGCATTGACCATAATGGCCGAAACTTTTCTCAGCATGTCGTACGAAAATGAAAGATATCAATGAAATTAAATCAAAAAATCGAAGTTAAATACAGTACGCATACGATATTCAGTCGTCGGAGATGTTTTGATCGCAAAATTATAATGTATTTGTTTTTTTCGCTTTTTTCGACCTTTTCCGGAGTAACCAAATTTGTATTGTTTAGTTGTTTCAGTTCGGCCGTATGCTATATTATTGTAATGTTATCAATTATTTTATTTGTAAAACCATAAAATATATTTGTTACTCACATGCAACTGTATGTGTACAGTACGTGTACCTATATTGAATTCCGACGTGCCTATAATGCTGTAATAGTAATTAATAGTACCTATATCTACTGTAGTCTATAGAGTATAGACTAAAAAAAATTATGCATTGTTGGGTTAATATATATATATATATATAATAATAGATACTACATTAAATATTTCCTATCATGTTTAACATAGATAGTGGGCTATAAATATTCGTGAAGACTTGATTATTCTAGTATAAAAAAAATATTTATGAAATATACACATATTTCTATGTATATGCAGTGACATAACTAGGACCTATTTTTGATGGGTTATAAGAATATTTGTTAAAAATATCAAGAAAAAAATACGGAAGAAAAACGGGGAAATGTAAACAATTTAGGTATTAGTTAAAAATATTACGGTCTTATTTTTTTCCTGTTGACAACTTTTCTCCGAGTAATTTTGCTCCAATTTAAAATGATAGCAATGTTTCTAAAAGGAAATTTCACTGGGGAGAGGCCATTATTCAATTTTCTCAAGAGTTGTCTCAGAAAATGTAAAAATCCACGGGAAAAAATAAAAAATCCGGGAAAAACGTAGGAAAAACGGGAAAATCGGTACAGTAAACAAATATTATTAAATATAATGCCTATTTAATTATTTTACCATAATATGACATATATATTGTTGACAAAGCAATACTATCAACTGAACTCCGCTCAGAATGATTTTTTCGTTAGCAATGATTAATCGTTGCTAACAGATAAAAATTAAATTATCGATAACAGTAGCTGCACCCACCCACATTATCCTAAGACTTTTTTTTTCATTCTTTAGTGAAACCACATGTACGATCGTTATGTATTAACCATTTACACTTATTGACGACCTAGTAGTAAAGATAACGGATTGCAATTTGTTATTCAACATTAGACATTAATTCTGCTTTTTGGTCAATTGCGAATCGAAGATACTGCTTTTATAACACAAGAGGTACATTTTCAATGGACTTGCTTAACCTTTTGGCCTCAAGACCTCACCTGCAATTTTTCAGAGAATACTAAGTAACATATTGAGGAAGTACAAACTTATAGAGTTCACTGTTAATTATATAGTTGACATTCTTATATTTTCTAAATCTGCTTATGAGCACATTAATCATTTGACACAGTTGCTAGGGGCAATAAAAAATGAGAGTTTTAGATTAAAATTTACAAAATGTACTTTTGCAGCAGATTCTGTAAAATACTTTGACATATTATATAGAATAATTCTATTAAGTTGGTAAAAATAATTTAGTTTCTATAAAATATTTTCCTATTCCAGAAACACAAATAAATATAAGGCAATTTCTAGAAAAGATTTACTGCTAATATATACAGAATATTGTAAGGAGTTTAGATCCCCTGCATAATTTATTAAGGAAAAATACAAATTTTATTAAAGATTAATAAACATCTATTCTAGTATTAATTTATTTTATATTTCATTAACAACCGTTTACTGTTTAATTAATATTAAAGTATTTCAGAATTGAAGTATTAAAACATTTTATTTTTCAGTATTTTTCAGTTTTAATAATTATTGATAATTATTATTGTATAGCTTTATATTGTGTTTTTGGATTGCCCAATTTTAAATATAATTTTACATTCTTTATAAATATGTACTTATTTAAAAAATTTTATTATCAAAATATTATGTAAATATTTTATTGTATTTACTATTTAATGAATGTTTGTTTCAAATTATTATGGACGCTTGAGCCCCAACACAAAATGTTATCATCTTGGAGAATAATTTGAAATGTTTAAAACTTATCTATCTTTATGCAATTTTCCTATAAACAACATTTTACCAGCAATTTTGATCCAATTTACAATGATGGCACTTTTTTCGATAGGAAATTTAACTGGGAAGGTACTTTTTGGAGGTTATTTTTCGATTTTCCTAAGAGTTTTCCCAGCAAATGTGAAAAACTGGAAAAAATTAGTAAAATATTATACAAATAGTATTAAAGAAAATATTTTATGATTATTTAATTATTTTATCATAATACAGCATTTGATAAATTAAATTAATTAGTGGACTGGTACTTTTGTATTTTCCTGGACCGAAATCTCCTCCCAATCCGCCTCCGATACTACTCATAATATTTTGTAAAAAAAGTTATTATGTGTGTATGTCTATGCAATTTATTTGTTTTTTCGTTAATTCGGCTAATCGTGACGGTCGGATAATGGGAACAAATAGGTTACCGTCCGATATGTCCCCATTGACTGAGATAAACTCAGTCAGATTTCCTTTCAACAAAGTCCTATCATTATAATTTGGAGCAAAATTTCTATGCATTATTGTAAAACCAATACATTCCTCGCTTCACTTAGAATTTAAAATAAAATTGAAAATAATAAAAGCATTATTTTTGTAAATTTTCTCGTTCTTTCTATTTATTGAAAATAGTAAAAAGTTAAATGACAATTCCTAGAATTTTTGTTATTTTTTAAATTCCGAGCATAGCGAGGGGGAGCTATTGGTATTATTAAGATGTTTATTTTTTATTTTTTTTCTGTTTTTTGTTTTAGCCTGTGGACACATTTTTCCTAGTAAACTTGCTCCGATTTTTACGTGTAGCAACTTTTCTGAAAGATTAAATTGTTTAGAATATACTTTAAAGAGGTCATTTTTTGATTTTCGATGTCGCGGCGATTTCATTATTTTATAAAAACACGGACTACGTTTTTTACAAAAAAAATTATTTAATCGAAAAATCACAAGACACCTTTTTTGTGGACTTTTTGATTTACTTTTTTACGGTTTCATGGCAAAAACTTTTGAGCTTTTAAGAAATTTTAATTTTTGAGAATTTTTTGCTATAATTCGGTTATAAATACACGTAGAGACTTGAAACTTGGTAATAATACCTATATTAGACTTACCTAGACGTAGTAAAATTTCCAAAATCATCGGGCAACTTTTTTATTTTTTAATAAGCGTTTTGAAATAAAATTCAAACGAAAATCGCAAAGAAAACTACGGCACTTCAATTTATGTATTACCGAACTGCGCTCGGAATCTACTGATACGAACTGATACGACAAGAAATTCCCGCTACCAGCTGGCTGCTATAATGGTGCAGAAGGTGGTGGTGAATCACGCGTTGAACTGCACTAACCCTTATGTTCATTTACTCCTCACGCACTTAAACGACCCGTTCGAAAAAATATGTTATCAAAGTTCTTACTCTTTAGAATTGATCACGCTCGAGCCCTCGTAATATTCGTGAATTTTATTTTATTCGTTATTACATTAAATTTGTATTATTGTACAATCTATTTTTTGATTCCGACGTTGCGTGTTACTATTAGCCGCCTTGCCCGGTGCATTTGGCCCGCGGATCTTCTTTGATTTAATAGCCTTTTTACAATAAGCGTGAAACCGGCACGGAACGAATAACTTCCTGAGCATCGGCCTGTCGTCGTACTGGGCGACGGCCCACCGCAGCATTTTGCGATTGGCAGCTCGACGACGATCACGTTCGTCAACGGTGATCGGTATCGGTACAGCGGATTTCTTTGTCGCCACCTTACGTTCGTGCAGCGGCTTGTTGGCGGCTGTCGGTAGTAGCGGCGGCGACTTCTTCGCTTTCGCACCGACATCAGGTCGTGAACACGGATTGCTGGGCCCGCACGTGGCCACCGGATACGTCAGACACTGTGGCTGGCCCATGCATCCGGTTCGCCGACATTCGTGTTGCATGCCATCGTGCCTAGTGCACTTGCAACCCACTATCAGTTGACCGCCCCTGAATTCGAACTTGTCAAAATCGCGGTCAGCGCAAGTCACAGTCGTCGTCGGCTGCTGGTGGTGATTACAATTCGAATTTATCCACAGCGGTTCGCCACAAGTCCTCGTCAGGTATTCGGCCATTTTGCGGCGTGTTGTCTAATTACTTTAAGTATTACTTAAGTCTAGCTCTGTCTGATGTCGTGAACAACACGCAAAAAAAATAATAATGACAAAATTAATAAAAACAATTTGATAAAGTGCCAGATGTATGCCAATATTCAAGGTCGGATTTTGAGGGAGGAGCCAGTGGGCTCCGGGCCTCGACAAAATGAGAACCTCCACATAATGGAATTTTGGTTTACAATGTAAGTTTAAAAAGGAGCTGATATTGGGAACGGGTGCGGCAACTGTTGTAGGTGGGTAGTTGAGAAAGTGAGATACACAAAGTTATTTAAATCATACGTGTAACCATTGATAAATTATTACTAACAAAAAACGGCTCAAAGCGAAATTCATATGCGATAATGAGTTGATAGAACAATTTTTATTTTGTAAAGACCTTCCTGAAACTAGAAGAGGACAAGATATTTTTAATTTGGTTAACAATTATTTTACCACTGCCAATATATCATGGAAGTTTTGTTTGAGTGTTTGTACAGATGGGTGCCCTTCAATGATTGGTCATTTAACAGGTTTTTTGGCATTAGTTAAGAAAGAAAACCCGGATATTATTTTCACTCACTGCTTCATACATAGAGAAGCTCTTGTTGCTAAATCTTTGATGCCTGAGCTCAATGAAGTATTGAAAACTATTGTCAAAATGGTAAACTTCATTAAAAGTAAACCTTTGAAATCAAGATTATTTAATCATTTGTGTTCTGCTATGGATAGTGAGCACACCCAGCTTTTGTTTCACACAGAAGTAAGATGGCTATCTCGTTGACGTGTCCTACAAAGATTTTATGAACTTAGAGAAGAGTTATTATTGTTTTTTACTTGTGAAGAATCAAAATATGCTGATTTTCTCAGTGATGATTCCTGGTGTGCCAAAGTAGCCTTTCTAGCAGATATATTTGAAAAACTGAATTACTTAAACAAGAGCATGCAAGGAAAGCAAGAGAACATTTTAACATATACAGATAAAATCAGTTCTTTTCAAGAGAAGTTGTTACTATGGATTTCAAAAATTGAAAAACAGACAAATTGGGATATGTTCGATCTTGTCAAGAACTGTCACGTTAATTCAGATCTTACAAACTTAATTTTAAAAAGTCTACATTTGCTTTATGAAAATATAAAAAAGTATTTTCCGTCTTTGGATGTCTCATCGATGGACTGGGTGAGAAATCCTTTCATTGACTCAGCATATGAGACTGCATTGTTTACCACTGATGAAGAAAGTGAATTGATTGATTTAAAAAATGACCGTGGTCTAAGCTACAGTATTCTAAATTAGTTGAAGATACTGCGAGAAAGTTAAAAAAAATAAAAATAAATGTAGATGTCTCATCTTTTTGGATAAATCTATTGCAAGAGTATCCCAAGATTTCAAGAAAAGCTATGAATGCGATACTGCCTTTTTCTACATCCTATATTTGTGAAACAGCATTCTCTTCAATGAATGCCATCAAAACTAAAAATCAATCACAACTGAAGAACTTGGAAGACGACATGAGGGTGTGCTTATCAACCATTCGACCACGAAGGAACCTAATAATGAAGAGAAAACAGTCCCAAATTTCTCACTAAGATTAGGTTTTTTATAAAAATTGTAATGTATCTTGTTTTTCCATTTCAATAAATTAAATATTTAGGATAATTGTAATAATATTTTTTTCTATCCTACCATTTTAAAATGTTTGCTAGAAATATTATACTGATATACAACTACTTTGGTATTAATAATTAATATGATGAAAGTCTAGTATAAAAAAATGTGTATACATAAATAAGTCAGTGATAAGTGTGCCGCGAGGGAAAAAGGTTGGGAAACGCTGATATAGACAGTGGCGACTCAAAAGAAGAACATTCGAATCACCTGATTCACAAAAAACCCGGTTGAGTGGATCGTAGGTTCCTGGGTATTCAGAGATGTAATAAAAATTAGGTATTATGTTTTTACAAAATAAGTCATTAAATAAATTTAACGGCTTAGAGAAACAAACAGATATCAAATGTGACGAACCGAAAAAAAAAAACGGGAAAATGTACGAAATATATTAGTGAAATATTACGATATTTTTTTTTTGTGGACAACTTTTCTTCCAGCAATTTTGCTCCGATTTACATTGATAGCACTTTTTCTAAAAGGATAGCTGACTAGAGAAGTACTTTAAGAAGGTCATTTTTCGATTTTCCCAAGAGTTTTTCCAGCAAATGTAAAAACCGGAGAAAAACACGAGAAAACTGAGAAAAACATAAGAAAAATGGGAAAATCGGATCAATATTATACAAATATTATTAAAGAAAATACATAATGCCTAATTAATTATTTTACCATAATATTGACGTAATTATTGTTGACATAGTATCACTATGAACTGAACTCCGCTCAGAATCGTTTATTCGTTAGCAATGGTGTATCGTTGCTTACAGATATACAAATAAATTCAATTTCCGCTCTACTACCTTCCCAACTACCCCACCTAAAAAAACAGTGGCTGCACCTGTCCCCATTATTCTAGTACATTTTTTTTTTACTGCATTTTATCATCTTCAATAAGTATTTGTATGCATTACTTATTGGTTTCCATAGATAAAGTGTCAATTATTTTATAATTTTAGATTTTAAATAGCATTTTACTATTTATGTTTATTACGATTAATAATCTATTGAAACAATTAAAAGCAAAATAATATATATATTGAATATGTATATTTTTATATGACCCAGTAAAATATTTAAAATGGCTTGGTTGAAACGTCACACACTCGATAATAAAATTGAAATGACGCCCCTGAACTATAGACCAATAATTTCTCTATCCTTAATTTTATCAAAAATATATGGAAAATGCATGAAAATTAGAATTACCTATGACATTTCTAAATAAAAACTCATTCTTCTCTAATAATCATTTGGATTCCTCGAGGAGAAATCTACGAATGATGTTAATTTTTTTCTTAATAAATATGTAGGTACCTATATGAAAAATTAGGCCAAAATAATAAAGTAATGAGTGTATTCTTTGATATTAAGAAGTAATTTGATTGTCTTAATCATCAGCTATTATTTAAAAAAATGTAATATCACATATTAGATATGAGCTAATTAAATTAACTCACATCTAAGTGATAAATACCTAGCATATTATAGTAAAGAATAATAATAAACTGAGTTAACCCTTATCAGTTTATTAGTTATTGAAGTACCTTTCACAGGAAACAGTGCTTGGTCCGATTTGGTTTAATTAATTAATATTGAAGAAGAAATAATAATGTAAAATCATGAAACCGTTATGCCGTAAATATTTGTCCGTTTAACCCTAAGTACGGTTTTCCCAAATTATTATAAAAACCACTGAGAAAATTAAAAAATAATGTCCCTAAACTTTCAGAAAAGGTGCTACACTTATTATATCGGAATGAGTTTTCCAGGAGACATTTTGTTCATAGTATAAAACAAAATAAAAAAAGCAAACTTCATTGTTAAACAAATAAATTTCTCGCGTTCATTCAGAATCTAAAAAAAAATGTAAAGCTATATTAAAGCTATTAACATTTAAAACTATCTCAACTTTTTAATGCAAAGTATTGATGATAATATTCATTACCTACGATTTATCATATTAATAATATTGGTACTTAAACCAGAGAATAATTTAATACATATTTAGGTATGAACAAATACTGTTTAGATATAGATACTTACTTTAAATATGAATATAAGTGTTTGAAATGTGTTGATTTTAAATATTGAATTTAGTAATTTATAAAAATATAGCAATAATAATAATTTATATTTCATAATAAACATTTAGTCGTACCTAGGCCTATATCTAAGGTAACAAAACAGAAACGAATAATATTATGACATTTCAGAATAATTAAAATAGGTAGGTACATTATTATTTTTCTTTTATACCTGTCGTTACTAATTATGATATTTAGTTATCAAAAATAATTTGAAAGTAGTAATAATATAAAGTATACCTAACTATTTTATGGGATGTTTAAAGAGACTTTATAATTTGGTATTAGCTTGATGTTCAGTTATGGCCTATTACAATACATTTCAACTTTACTTATCAATTTAAAACGTACTTAATAAGTATATAATATATATATATTAATAATAAATAATATCTTCTTCTTTTCCTTCGCCTCCATTTCAATTATTTGGCTTTGGCCTTCCATATATATTAATCTTTCACTTGACCCGATATCCTACCTTGCATATATCGGCTGTCTCAAACGCTCAATTCTCTAATACGTCCAACCGGCAACTACATGATTTTTAGCTTCCCTTCCAAATTTATTTTTATCAAAATTCTCTCTGCTCCAGATCACTCCTAATAAATTTCCTACTGGGGTACACAGAAAGGGGATAGGGGATTATATCCCCACATTGGATAAATAATATAAAAAAATACGAGTATTTTAATTATTTATATATTTCAGCCAAGTTATGATTAAAAGCTTGATGTATTGATTAGAAATTGGTTTTTTTTTAGGATCTGGATTTTAAATTCTCAATTTCCTTAGTCGAGTTTTGTAAAGATTGTAAAAATTGTAAAATCAGATGATTTTACAATTCTTATTTATTACATCGCCTCACTGAAAATTCTTGGGCACACCTCTTGACATACCTAGGTATCTCAGTCTATTTTTCTTATTTTGTCTACTGTTGAAGCCACGCCTAACTGTCTAATTTACCTCTTATGTACTCATTTATTATCCTATTGACCTATATTGACTTTATTTATTCATCTGAGTATTCCCATGTCTATTACATTTATTTTCTGTTATATTTTTCTGTCTATTGTATAAAATTTCAAACTATACAACAAAGTAGGTTATAGAGGTCTCAACAAACTTTTAAAACTTACCTTTAAGTTTCATTGGAATTTTTTTGTCATACAAAAAAACCTGATTTTCATCTCCACTTAAACCATTTTATCATATTTAATCCAATGTTTCATATCCTCGTCAATAGGGGTAAAAAGACTGGTGAATTATTTTGAATAAAAGATTCTAGTTATCTAAAACTTTCAACCTCGCCTTTTATATCGCAACTTATTGTCGAGAACTGTCTTGTCCTGTTCCTCCAAACGTATATATATTGAAGAAGAAACAGTGAAAAAAATTGTTCTTAAAATTAATACTGAGAAAACAAAGGTAATGGAACTCATTAAGAGTGGGGAGAAGCCCAGTGATATGGAGAATTTCACATATTATAAAAAAGTTAGCGGTTTTTTTTGGGGGGGGGGGAGAGGGCAGCAACGTCCATATAGGTAATCCAGGACAGAGAAATGTGGCGAAGTGTAGTAATAGCGGCGAAAACTCTTAGACTTCTTATAGTGTAGTCATACCAGAAGAAGAAATTTATTTTATCAAAGATATAATTTTAAATTTAGACCTATATCTAAACTAATTGTATTATGAGTACAAATTATCAGTGTACAACTTCGAATATTTGATTCTAATATCGAATATTTTATTTTATAATAAAAAAGAATATATCATTTTGGATTTTATGTACTTTTAGTACAGTTTGAGTTGGTGATAAAATGTCGATGTGTTAATTGGTAGGCCAGTAAATAGTATAGAAACACTTTAAAATAAAATTTCAAATATGTTTTAATACAAACTGTAAATTTAGTGAATTTTGTGTTTTTAAAAAAATTACTACTCAGGCTTTAGATACACAAGTAAAATATGTTCCATTAATGCTATTATTAATAAATCAAACAAAATTATTTAAGTAACCAACACTCATAATGATTCATGATGAGTACAATGATCAAACAATGACAAGAGAAATTAACAGACGTATCCTTTAATTTATTGCAAAAAAACATTATATGTATATTAAACCAAACAAATTAATTGTGACTGTTACAACACAATGATTTATAATTACAACAAAGATCAATGTATAAAGCTAGAAAAAAACTATCGAAATTTAGCAAAATCTTTTAAAGACACAAAAGACCAACTAAGCATTATGTATATCAAAGTAATAAATGTTGTTTTGTGGAAATGATGAAAGCATATTTATATTTACATGTAAAAATAACTTAGAATTACTAAATTTGACAACACGATTTTGGGGATGAAACTTTTAAATTTGCTCCTACTCATTTTGTTCTACTTTATAGGATCCACATTTTTAATATAAAATTTAAGTACCAGTAGCTTATTACTTTTTACACAATAAATATACAAATAATTACAAAAAAAATTAGCAAACACTACAAAATATATACTTTCAAATGACTGGAAATGAAATTGATTAGGTACTCAATTTGCTTATTTATTTTGAAGAAGCAGTATATGATGTCATTCTGCACATTTTTCCTAAATGTAACATTTTTGGCTGTAATTTTATTTAAAACAAAATTGGTTTAAGCAAATACAATAAAATTAAATGTTATTAATTGAGTACTTAGGAGGTTCGTTAATTGGAAAATGGTTGAAGTATTTTGATGATCCAAGTTATTTACATGACAATGAAGTTTCAGACTGTTTCATAAATTTAATGACCATAGTACCTGCAACCTGCAGATGAATTTTTTTTATTCACAGATTATATTTTAAAAAATTATATTGACTCCGACAACAAGATTTTATGGGCTTTTGATCCAAATGGTAATCTTAAGACAACTAATAGTGCAGAAAGTTTTCATAAATATTATAACAGAAAATTGTATACACTGCATCTACACATCCATCAATTAATACACTCATGCAAATCCAAAATGAAACGGATTTAAAAATAAATTCCATAAAAAACCAATGTAATACATTTTAAAAGGAATGCAATTATAAATAATGAAGAGAACTTACAAAATATGTGAACTAAATATATAAATAAAATGTATACAAAAAAAATTTGAAATAAAGTACATCACACAAATCCAATTTAATAAATTAAATAATAATGATTTTAATAAAAACTTAAATTAAACCCACACACACACACACTCATACATTTTTAATCTTGCCCATTTGAAGCAAACAGTACTAAGCTTGTTAAAGTGACAAGGAAAATGTCACATCAACACATTATTTGAAAAATTAATATTAATAACTATTGTATGACGTATAGGTACCTACCAAACACCTGTGAGCGCAAACAAGTTGTAATTTTAAGAATTTTTGTGACAGGTACATAAAATTGATGTGCGCAATGAATTGTGTTTTTTTGAGCTAATGAATTGTAAAAAAGTTAAATGAGCACAAGTGAGTGGAACCCATGAGTGCATCACCTCATATGACAGGTAGACAAGTATCTTGGCCCTTGGGAGTATTCTAATTTCCTTTTACAGGGAGGATAACACTGTTAACAATAAGATGAATTCTTCTACCCTACAGAAAAAAATATCCACCTGGGCTTTTCACCAGTAGGAGTTCAGTGGCCTAGGTTGGCTAAACATTTACCATAGTATGTCCCTCAGAGTTTAAATTATAAATAATAAAATAATAAAGAAAAAACAAAATTATTAAAATGGTTAATATTTGTAAATAAATATATAAATAAAAAATGTATATATTTATTTACTATATTAAATAATAAAAACAATTTGTTGGTGTATGTTTATATTACAATGTTTTATTTGACCAGTCATTAAATTAATACACAAAGGACTTTACAACATTTCAATATACTGTATAGTGTTTGTAAGTAGTAGAATTCTGTCAGTTTATCAACAGACACTCTATGGGACATTATAAAAATAGTCCCTAATTAATTGAATAATAATAATAAATTAATTAATTTTACAATCAAAATAATACTGATTTCTAGATATACTAGGTAAATAAATTATTATTTTAGTGTGTTACACTACTTAAATTTAAAACATTATTTTTTATAGCAGGCATGTATACTAGAGATGTAAATAGAAACAAAAACAATGGGTTTTTTTTCACTTTTAGATTTTTACTAAAAGAAGTGCAGGTTGCCTAAATATTTTTGGATTCTAAAAAACCTATTATAATTTTTCTTTACTATTGAGCTTAGCAGTCTTATAAATTAATAATTTTAATTTATTGTTTATTCATAGTTAGTATTAATATTTTCTTGATAGCCAATTAATTTGAAAACAAACTTTTTTTACATCTCTAGTAGGTACAATTAAATATTAATTTTATTAAATAAAATTTGCACCAACTCCGAATTGAAAACCATGGACAATTTTATCACCAATTTTATATTGAAATGGTGTGCATAGGTTAAATTCAAACCTTATTGAATTGCCTACCCTAGCTACTAATCCAACACCAGTAGATAATCTGAAGTCTTTAAACATCAATCCAAAACAAGTTTTTGTATCTTTGTCTAAATAAATATATATTATAAAATTGTATTAAATATTTATGAACTAATATTATATACAAATATAATACATTACCAAAAAAAGATATATTCCCTGCATTGCAGAATAATTGTAACCTGAATGTCTCATTTATTCGGTTATTTCCAAAACATGGTTTTACATAAATATGAAGGGCAGAAATCCAATAGCTCTTGAATGTGAATATAAAAATAAATTTAATGCAGACATAAATTTATTAATTATGATTAGTTGAATTAGTTTAAATAACTATTATAAATTACCGTTACACTAGCTATCATATTTTTATTTAAGTCACCAATTCCCCTAGATTGGAAACCCCGTAATGTCAATGGACCACCAAGATAAAATCTATCCATTACATTTATTTTTTTGAACCTTCCTAAATCGGTTAGAATTCCTGCACCAAATGAACCTTGAAAAACCTACATAAATGACAAAAATAACATGAAATAAATAATATGAGATCATATAAACAATACATACAACATCTTTACTAATTTTTGTATAAAATTGACTGATAAAATGATTTCTCAAAAATCGAACATCACCACCAAAACCAGCAATTTCCATAACCATTTGGAAAAAAATTCCTTCATTGGCTAAAATTTTGTTATCTCTAGTATCAATTGTTGTTATATGTTTGATAGAAGATTTAATGGATAACCCAGATTCTTCTCGCAATTGAAATGGACTATTTTTAGATAACATATTAACATCACGTATTACACCTTCATATTGTAAATTTTGACTGAATTGACTCTAAAAATAGAATTAATAGTATTTAATAAAATAATAAAGTAAAAACAAAATAATTAAATGGGTTAATACTCGTAAATTAATAAATGCATCACCTGGAGTATTATATGTGTAATTTACAGTTTCAAATCAAAAATTTGTGTTGGTAATTATGTTTATTTAATGAAATACAAGCCTATAGAATATTGAATTAAAAAATAATATTATTTTAAAATAAGGGTGATTATAATCATATGGCACCTACATAAACTGATGCTATAATACCCTTAGATCATATTCTATGATATATGATCTAATATAATACCAAAACACGTGCTCAATATTATCTATAATACAGCCCACAGAAATAATTTAAATTTAAATACTACTGAAAAAAATGCATAAACATATTAAAGAAAAAATGATACACTGATCGCCAAATAATCTTATTAACTATTGTAGTATGAAATATCAAAATAATATGTCTAACAAATTCACTAAAATTCTGAACAATAACACAAAATATAATGTAAAAATCACTTTTAAGACTAATAATTATTTAATCAAACATGTAAACAAAGAACTACAAATTTCACAAAAAATCCTACTTCTTTTGAAAATGCTGGTATATATAAAATTAAATGTTAATTTAATAAATTTTATATAGGTGAGGCAAATAGAAATTTTAAAATAAAATATAAAGAACACATTCCTGAAATAAAATTTAAAAAGTCTGCACTTAATTCAAATTTCGCTAAACATATTTTAGAAAAAAATCATAATATAAGCTTTGATATTAACACAGACTTAAAAATATTAAAAACCCAAAATAACATTTACATTAATTCAGTTTTAAAAGAATTACATATATACAATGAAATAAAGAAAACAATTTTAATAAGATTTTAAAAATAATATCTTATTACATAAATAAATTTCAGATAATAAATAATAACAAAATAATTTATATTTATTAACATATCTATGTCTAATAATAACTAATTTTAAATAATCAGTCCTATTAAAATAAATTATTTCTATGTAAACTTACCAATTTGTATAATTTTTTCTCTATGTATTCTTTCATATTTGTGCTGTTTACTTTCTGATTTTGTGATTTTACATACTGATGGATTTTTAATTCGAAACCATACAATACACATATCATAATACTTCAAGTGATGCATTCATTTATTTATTTATATATTTAATAGTATTTATAAATAAAATAGAATCCTCTTTAAATTAAGACTAATAAGTAATATGAAGTGCATTAAGAAATTTTAAAATTATTAATTCAAAGACAAAAGTATAATAAAATAATTTAACTAGTTTCAGCATGGGCTATCTTCAAGTCACCTAAGGCTCAAACTAGTAGTTACCTTAATTATTTTATTATACTTTTAGGCTTTAAATTAATAATTCTATAATTTCTTAATATATTAATCAAGTATAAAATTTACCCTTATTGTATAATAAGTATAACTAAATAACGACTAAAACTATACACATTTTAATTTCACATTATTAATGTAATAATTTAATACTTTTCATACTATACAATTTTAAGAATGTATGTTTGCTCTTTGGAGTGTCAATAAAACATTTAAATAGAAAAAAAAATACCCACTTAAAAAGTATTCAACTAAAGCAAGAATGAAAAAGACCATATTATTTTGAAAACATTGTAATTTCAGTTTAAGTTCAATTAATATCATGTCTTAAATAATCTTTTTAACAAGTAGAAATAACAAAATTAATAATAAGAAAAAATTGTTTGTATGAAATATTAAAACATTTCTAATTTTATAAACTTGTAAGATTTTTAAATAATGAGAAAGTTACATATTTATTAGTAATATAAATAATCTTACTTATAATAAATACAATTTTACTAATTATAATACAAATAATAATATTTGGTGGACTTACTTTATGAAATGTGAGAAACATTAAATCAAATAGAATACCCCATTCTTTGTAAACACCATGTACATTATTCCAAAAAGATTTCTTTTTAAAGGTATGTATAGAAGTGCTAAAATATGTTTAATAATTAAATAGGTAATCATAATTTGACTGTCAAATCCAATTTAAACTGAAATCATACCACGTAGATATACTTCCAGGGATATGTTTTGAAATACATGCATCATATTTTTGAGTGCCATAATTACCAAGGGATGTTTCTATTTTAAAATGATTTGCATGGCCAGTAATGTTGTTTATCTTGAAACCCAAATTTACCAACCCTTCATTATCTCGAGCTATTGAATGTAGTATACCATCTGCAAATTTTAATTCTTGGATATTAAAAGTAACCTATAATTATATAAATCATAAATACATTGTAATTAAATTGGATACATTTGATTTTATATTAAAATACCTTATATCCATTTGGAGTTGAATTTGATCCATTATTTACATCAATATTAATATTTACACTTTCAAAACAATTCATACTCATTAGGTTTTTATGCACAATTGCTGCATTTTTTATAATCTAAGATTTTGAAAAAAATAAATACAATTTGAGGAATGTATTGAATGGTCTTTAAGCATAATTTATCACATTAATGAAGTATTTCATAAATACCTGAATACTTAAAGAAACTTACATTATTAAAAGAATTGGATTTGAACATTAAGTTAACTGATGATTGAATAATAGAATTGTTTGTGTTTTTATGTCCATGTACAAATACACGATCCACTCTTGCCTGTAATTATATTTTATGATAAGCAATGAACATTAATAAAATAATACAAGATAAAGTTATTATTATTATTTTTCAAAATGTTAACATTATTTTAATATTAATTAGGAGTATCCTGTTAACTAGGACATTTTTTAAAATATTTACTTCTTTATTTTCAAACTTAATATCTTGTAGTGACAGCTTTTGATTGAGTTCATAGTTAGGCTAAAAAACGTAAAAAAAAAACCCTATTAATTCCAAACAAACAATTTAATATATGACTTAACATTAATATTAAGATAAATAAATAGGAAATGATTTAATATTAAACATAAATTAGAATAATAAAACTAAATTTATTAATAAATTTGTACTGACACATCAGTGCTTGAATTGGAGTGATAACAAGTGAATGGGGGCCCTTTCATTTTTGCATAGATTTTTAATATATTACTTCATTTAATTAGGATCACTATGAACGTTTTTGCTTTCTGGAGGTGTCTGCCTTTATTCGCAAAGAGCAGCTGTCTATTATTTTTATTCAAAATTAAAATTTAGTTATTATTACTGGCTTTTAAAACCTAGTCTAAATATCGATTAATATTCCATATGACTTATGTTCATATGTCTTCACATATAAGGAATTTGTCATTAGATTGTCAATTTTCATTGACCTAAAAACTAGATATTAACCTAGATTTTTTTTTTCCTATCAATACTTGATTTTTTTTTCTGTTTAACAAAAAAGATTTAATAGGTATTTTTGGTGTTAATATTGTTGATAATAGTACCACAGAATATAATAAGTACCTAAGATATTTATTTTAATCTTATATATTTTTATGTTTATTGCAAAATCAATTACTTTATTTATATCATGTATGGAATAATAATTTTTAATCTAAAACCAGCATCTCTCCTCATTTGTTTTCCAATTCAAGCATTACAACACATGGTCATATTAGAATATGGGTAATCAGTTAATGCAAACATTTATGGATACCTATCTATAACACACATGTATGATTCAATTCTGTCTATTTAGGTATAAAGGTATAAGAATATACCTAAGTATAGGAAATATAATTTTTTATTTTGTTAACTTTTAAATTTCTGTAACTGTGAGTAATTAAAATCATATTTATTTCTTTTTTTTTTTTTACCAAACTAAGTATGATTCACATTAACTCTAAATAATTGTACAGATTCCTATGCAAATATAAATATGAAAAAAATGTACTTGTACTTACTTTTTCAAACAAATTACCCATTAATATTTATTATGAATGTACAGTTAACAAATAATTGGTAGGTAATTATAAAATATATTTAAATGTAAGCAAAAAAAAAAAAATAATCCACTATATAAATGTGTGATGAATAAAGAAACTGCTTAGTTGAAATTGGATGCCCATTGATCAATAAATCATTTCTAAGAAAAGATCTACAATGAAAATATAATAATAATAAATGTAGGTATAAATCTAATAATTAAATATAGGTACTAATTAATATTAATATCAGAGAAATTATTAAGGATAGGTCAAAAAGCAGGTCAGTGATAATCCGATGTACTAACACTAACGTGATAACTGCTAGAATAATAACAATGATAACAAAACCATATTAATAAAATTATAAACAAAACAAAATTAAAATAATATATAGGTGGTATTAGGTACCTACCTAAGACCAATTATAAAGTATAAAATGTTTGTTGTTACCTGATTTATGAAATCGAAATCATTGTCAGTTGTAAATAAAATACAACCAATACCTAATACTTACCCAGGGATTAGTTGAACTTTATTCTCTTATATTATAGATATTTATTTTATGCAGATAGGTAAATGTTTAGTGGGCGATTGTCTCGATCTTGTCGTTCTTTCCGGACCTTTTCATTATCACAGTTACTTATTGTACTTAATTCAAATTACATATTGTAAATAGATATATTTTTGTAATAAAAAAAAATTAAGTTAATACATTTATTAATACATAATTAAGAACATAGTTCCATAGTTGTCTATAATTCGTTTAATGTATATTAGACAATTTATCTCTGTTATTTTTTATACCTAATTACCAATAGGTACTTTTATTTAAATATCCGTCATATCGTTTTTACCTTTTGTCAACATTTTTATCTCTTGAGTGAGATCATCTCCGTTATGTCTATCATATTTTAAGTCTGTACTTAATATGATCGTTATTGGGACTTTTATTTCTGTAATTTATTCTATCTCTTAAATTAACTCCTATCTCTATTCCATTTGTCATCGGAGTATTTTCTATCATACATAGTATTTGATTATTCATAGTTATTCAAATTACAGTTTCATTATAATTTTCCCCCGAACATTTATTTTTATTCTTTTAAATTTTATTTAGCACTTATCGGATAAGTCAGCCTCTTTTCAATTAAAAATTGTTATTTCTGTATTCTGTAAAACACGGCTTCTTACGAGTAGTGTAAATAAAAATTATTATTTTTCATATAATCTATCATAAACTTCAATAGAACCGTTAAAATGTATTAATGTTTAGATATTAATATTTCCGTATTTTAGTTTTGAATACAAATTTTTGATAGGTAAGTACCTACCAGCTAAGTTAACCTCTTCGGTTCTACTCTAACATAAATTTGTACCTATTATGATTTAAATTATCGTACAAGTTTAAGTTTTCTTTTAAGATTTCTGAAAAGTTATAGGAAATTAATTTATTATCTTCAGTTCGTTCAGGACTCGAATGTCTCGATTATACCAGGCAATCCATTTCATTGGATACACTCATTATTAAGGAAAGTATTATTTCTTTTCGGATTATATTTTCTAGAACATTTAAGAAACAAGCAGCTGTACAATTTTATATTTATGTTATTAGAGTTATATAGTGGTGTATTATTAACATCGCGCGCTGTACTACCACCACACAAATGATACTCCACTACTCTCCTCCAACCCAAATTCAAAAGCGGAATATCTCGTCAATGGATAGACGGAAATCAAAAATTTCAACATTAAAATTTATTTTAACCAATACTCCATCTATTTATGGAATTTCTAATGTAGGTGGCCATTTGAAAATCGATAGTAGGTAGTGATTTTACCACCAAAAATAAAGGTGACAAAAAATAACATAAATTTAAAATTGTAGAGCTGTTTGTTTCTTAAATGTTCTAGAAAAAAAATTCCAGAAAAAGTTAATACTTTCCGAGATAATGAGTGTACCCACTTAAATGGATCGCCTAACACATGCTGTTTATTTTATTTGTAATTTTATTAAATCAATTTTATCAGTTGTTTTATTAAATATTTTATTTGTCTGTGCTTAAATCGTCATCTATGTATTTATAGTACCTATTCCATTTGTTAATAAAAAACAACTTTTAATTTAATTATCTCATTCAAATTTTGAAATATAGGAATTTAAATTAAAGATGTAATTGGGTATATGTTCTTAACAAACATATTCATTTTAATTGAAACCAAAGATAAACAATAATATTTATTGAGAGTTATTCTCTCAATTAAATTTTTGATAAATATGCAATACTAAAAATAGGTATATATTGGAACCTACCTACATTTTTATTTTTTAATAAAAGAGAGAAAATCATAAAGTATGTTCCTATACTAATGATAATGTATTTTTCACTCTGCAGACATTTGCATACCGTACTAAAATAAAGTGAAAAAAAAACGGGCATACTTCACATGTGGATGGGCCACTATTACCGAGTAGAAATTGGGAAGATAGGTAGTAGAGTGGAAATTTAATGTATATCTGTACACGACGATTAACCATTGTTAATGAAATAACGATTCTGAGCAGAGTTCGATTGATAGTGTTACTTTGTTAAGTACGACTTATAATGAATCTCCTGTTAAATGTTAAATGCAAAATTAAAATGTCTATAAATAACTCAAAAATTGCTTGAATGTTCTAAAGTTTTAATACGTCTAGAAGCAATAAATATAAGTTTTTTGTCAACATTTTAAGTCTCTAATATTAAGTTGCCGTAAATATTAATCAACTTAAATTTTTAAGAAAACTAATTTTGATTTGAAAAACGACTTGCTCTGTCAGTAGCAAAATATTAATAGAAACAAAATTTGACCTCTTGTCATCTCTAGGTCTTTAAGTGCTATCGAGATTCTATATCGTTAAAATAATAACTTATACATATCATTAGGTAGACCTACAACCTATATACTCTGAGGTACCTATCTATTAACATTATCAACGAACAATATAGGTACATAATATTATGTCATTCTAAAAATTGTGTGCCTCTGGGGAGGGAGGAACTCAAAATACTCCTCCCCATAAATACACCACTGTACTTACTTATTTTAATCAAATTGAATAAATCTGTCATAGGTAATTGATGCTGTACCTGTGAAAACCAATAAGCAATGTATACAAATATTGAAGATGATAAATGCGGTTAAAAAAGAAAAAGAAAAGTAAGTAAAATACATAATAATCACATTATAATTAATTGTTATGTATAACTTTTGCACAATTCAATGATAAATAAATAATATTTACATAAGATTCCGGCGTTTTTCAAGTTCAACAAATACATCAAATGCTTTTTCTAAATTGATATTATTGACTTTTTCTGTTTCAACATTTACCACCATAAGAATATTTAGCTTTTAATCATCATCCATAGAAGTGTGTAGGTAAATATGATTTTACATTTTTGAGTGATTAAAAAACCTTTTATTTGATGTCTTTGTAATTGGTAAAGTTTTTATGAATGAAAAAATGTTCACCATTTCATTAATAGCAACCATTCAAAAGCGAAGTTATTTAAAAAAATTTTATTTCAACTACTTATATAAAAAATAGTGCATTACTTCAGTAGGCCATTTGGAAACATTTTAAAAGTAAGGAGTGCAATCACACACACTGCTCTCCCAAATGACCTCCAATTACTCCTGTTTGATGGACGATAACAAACAAGTACCAAAAGTAATATTGTTAATGAAAAAAAAAATGATAATATTTGTGGTTTCCAATAAAAATGCATTTAATGTCATTTTTATTGTTTCCCTTCCATCTTCTTTCAATCCCAATGCTAGTTAATAAATTCTAAATTCTAAAATAATTATGTGGTAAACCGCATATGAAAAAAATTGCCCTTTTACTCTTTTGAGGTACTTTACTACTACTAATTACTACAACTGTAGTGGCCCTTTTTTATTCATTTGAATAAACTATTAATTATATACACATTTTTTTTTTTATGTAGGATTAAATTAGTACTTTAAGTTAAACATTTTAAGTATACCTATTTAAAGAAAGAAAAAAAACTGTAATAAATATTATTTTATAATTGAAATATTAATACAGTACATAATATAAATTGGTTTAAAAAAATAAAATACACGTACTCACAAAAACCTTGATAACCTTTAACATTATATTATTGGTTGTGTTTATTTAAAACCAGTTTCAATTTCATAAATCAGGTTCCTAATATTAATATTTCTTAAATTCCAATTAGTATTGTTAGGATACAGTTAAACAATCTGGAGGAAGCAGTAATATAAATAAATCGTTATAAAGATCAATATCTTATTTTATTTGCTCATATTAATCATTGTGATTATGACACAATATCTCAAATAAACATCATACAAAATTATGAAACATAAATTTAAAATATTAAAAATAAAAATATCCAACTCTTTAAGATAACAACTATTGTACAAATTAATTTAAAATACTTAATATTTTTAAAAATAAATAAAACTAATTTGTATACTTAACATTATAGTTACAAAAAAAAAAAAATAGATGAGCTCTTTCTATTTCTGAGATAGACTCATTTTGTACAAACAAGTAAATAATTGTAATATAATTACATAAAATATTTAATAGGAGGTTCACAACAATGTATTATGCATTTTTATAGACAATGTATTAATATACATTAGCTTTGGTCTTAAAATAAATTATATGGCAACAACAAATCACAAAATGTTTGAGTCAAAAAAAAATCTATGAATTTTCTTTTTCTTTCTTTATTAGGCGAGGTCGGCCTCTTGGTTTTCGTTCAGGTGGGGGCTCCTCATGCATTAGCACAGACAGCGAGTCCTTTACTGCATGGTACATGATATTCTTGATCTGTAACTTATCTTCATGGTTGCTGTGGCTGCTGGACAGATCCCGGAATTCATTTGTAAGCTGGAAGCACTGGGCTAAGTTTTCAGGCGAGACAAAGTCCTGGGCCACCTTGATACAATTGTGCAGGTTTCTTACCTGTGGACAAAAATTGTAAAACTCACGGCCAAAATAAACACACACAATATAAATTTGGAAATTTGTTTACTTTTAACAACCCATCACATCCTAATGATGTTTTAGATTTAGATTTATTGGTTTTACTACATGTGTTTTCATTATTATTATTTTTTTTTTGTACTTGTAAGCAACTTTTAACCAGAAGTCTTGCTCCAATATATATGTATGTGTAGCACCTTTACTGAAAGGAAATTTTATTTAATCATTGCATTGGCCATGTAATTTTTTGATACACCAAGGAGTTTTCAAAATAATTGGGAAAAACCAGAAAATGGCAAATAAAATTTTTTTCAAATTATTGCATAACAATTTCATTGTTTAAAATTGTTAAGATTATATTCTTCTAAAAGAAACCTATGTTCAAATATCAAGAATAGCATATTTTCTAAAAAAATAATGTTGTCTCATGTCCGAGTAAGAAAGTTGTTATTTGCTTTTCTGTATAGTTTTTCTAATAATTTTAAACCAGGAAAAACTTAGAAAATTGGCAATACAGCATTTGGGTTTTTCGTTTTTATTCGGTTAAAAATTGTAAACCTGTGTACAAAACTGTTTTTAGGCTATTTATTATTTTTGTGTTTTTATATGTATTTTTATTTGGTAGGTACCAGTTATTAAAATAACAGTTAAAAAAAATAGTATCCCACCTTCTCACCCACAACAGTAGCAACACCTGTCACCAGTATCAGCTCTTTTGTTTTGTTTATATGCACATAAATAAATAAAATTAACAATATTTATATTTAAATTAATATCATATACCTACTTAATTAACTACCTATTTAATATGGTAAAAAGTTATAATTTATATTTATTAATAAATTTATGATTTCTTATTTGATGTTTAACAAGAAGGGTGTACTTGTTTTTTTTTTCTTGATATTCACTTTAATATTTGTTTAATTTGATATGGGTTATTGGAGATTGACTATTGAAATTTGCTTTGCAACGAAGAAAGGTCTTGTGATAACAAATGTATAGTGATAATGAATAAAAGAAATCAGTCAATAATAAAATTAAATTCAGATATATAGTAGTCATTGAACTATAGCAGGTGATTCATTTAAGTAGGTGTACTCATTATCTTGCAGTGTTAAATTTTTTTGGAATTTGTTTCCTTGTACATTTAAGAAACAAGCAGCTCTTCTATAATTTTATATTTATATGTTATTTTTTTGTCACTTTTATTTTTGAGAGGTGGAACCACTGTCTTCTTTTGATTTTTAAATGGCAACCCATATTCAAAATATCTTAAATAGTTGGAGTATCAGTTCAAATAAATTTTAGTATTGACATTTTTGATTTCCATCATAAGATATTCCACTTTCAAGTTTGTGTGGAGAAGAGTAGCGGAGTATCATTTGTATAGTGGTAAGGTGCGTGTTAATAATTCACCACTACTCTCCTCCAACCCAAACTTAAAAGTGAAATATCTCATCAATAGATTGATAGAAATCAAAAATGTATTTCAACAATACCCCATCTATCTATTTATGACTTATTTTAGGCTCAGTAAATAAAATATAAGTAAGATAAATGTACCTGATGAGGCGCTCCAGCCGGAATTAGTATGGCATCACCCAAACACTGGAGCACTGCATAACCTCGGATCCCATATTCATGGTAGAGCCTGGTTCGGAGTTTCTCATCCAAATATGAGGATTGGTCATGTATTGGGTCATGATTTGCCTGAAGCTTTCTGCCACGCTCATCGCTTACCTTATTCAAAAGATCGCGTATTGCATCTGAGTCATTAGCATGATAAATGTGCCACACTGCGCCTGGGTATTCATTATGCATGCGGGCCCGTCTTTTGCTCTCCCTATCGCAACCAGACTGATCGATAATTTTATATGCTTCTGTAAGTTAAATTATTATTGAAAAACATTGTATCATATTCAATACTAGATTGTATTAATGTTTAGGTTATTTTGACATATTCTTGTCTGAAAATTGGTGCTAAATCAGGTGGGCCACATCTAGAATTGAATTTTATGACCAGATGATTGCTTTATTAACTGAGGACCAAGAATGATATCCACACAATAGAGAGAAAACAAAGTGAGTAAAAAATCCATTATTTTAAATTTTATACAAACATTTCATGAATTATTTTTCAATTTATACAGTACAGTGTAATATTTTAGGATTTGGTAAGTTCACAATTACAGTTTGAATTTAGTCTATTTTAATATTATAATGCTTTAAATATTCAGTCATAGCAACAAAAATGTTTATTACTGTTAAGCTTCCTATATTGTAAAGAAAAATACATAAAGATGTTGAATATTAGTGGATAGAAGATGAATATGAAGAAATTATTAAAGGTCAAGATAATCCTGGGTTAATAAGTGAGTCCTCTTTTGTATCTTTTGTACATACTACTAAGTAAAAAACGTTAAAATTATGTTTTCTTTTTAGATAAATTTAAAAACTAAATAATGTGCAATTATATGAGTGTAGTGGCATTTTGATTGGTTTTATGTAGATTAAATTGTTAGTAATTAAAAGTTGAATATAATGTAGATTTTTCTGGGGGTTTTAAATAAAAAAAATTAAAAAAAATAATATTATTGGCGCATACAAAAGACATAATAAAAACAACTTTATGTATACTATCTTCACACCTATATCAGTAGCAGATCCATTAGTAGTATTAAACTCACCTTCTACAAGACGGTTGTTTTCGGATTCTGATTTGGATATTGAAACGAACGCCATCACATTTACAGCATCAGAAACATCCAAATGTAAGTTTGTTGTTCCCAGAAGTCGTGTTTTTGGATGACGGCTTGCAGCAGCATCACCATATGCAGAGTACATTTTAGGACCAAGGTCTGGTTTTAAAAAATTATCAGGTAATCTGTTTGCCAGGTTGAGTTTTCCCTCTCGGTGTGTATAATCTTTCAATGGTAGTGCAGCCATTAAATTTTTAAATCTATTCAAAAAATTCATAATATTAAATCATCAAAATTATAATTTTTTCTTACTCACCTCTTGGGCATCGTTTCGGAAAAGTCAGCAGCTCCCGGCCAATCTTTGAGTTTCAAGAGCATAGTTTTGCCAGAAGAATCCTTCATACGCTTCTTTTCATCCACAAAGCCTTCCCAGAATACCTTCATTTTTTCATTTTCAACAATCTGCCCTGTGATACAGTCAACCAAGTCATTTTCTAATTCACCAAAGTCACGAATAAATGATTTTGGTGTCCACAAACGTTTTTTCAATTTTTTATTCACGCCGCTGACCAAAACTGGTTGACCTCTTAACCATTGTTCCTGTAAATTTTTAGGTTTAACTTATTAAATATGTCATTTATAATAAAATGACTTATTATTATTATACATACCCGAAACATTGAATAGTTGGTTGAATCATAGGGATCTAACAATCTTAACAATCTCCCATCACATAGCCAAGTGTGAGGATTGTTTGGGTAAATCTGTTTGCTTTCCTCTAATGTCATTGTTCGCTGAGGTAACTGATTATTTGGAATAATTTGTCTATTTTTTGTTCTGATGAAATGTTTTAGTTCTTCATTGTTGGAGGACCTCTGAGAAAAACTCCGAATGCTTATCCTTCTACTCGCCCTCGAACACTGTCAAATAAAAATGAAAATTGATTAATTAATAATAGATATAGTCATTATGTTTAACAACTATCAATTTTAAAATATTTGTTTGTCATGTTATTACCCCAGCTATCTGTAGTTCAGGGGAAGCAGCAGCAGTATTTGAGTTTTGAGTACTGGAGTCCATTTTTGATTTTTTAACAGGATTGTTATTACTGTCATCGGAATTGGTTTCATACTTAATTAAATAAAAATAACTTCAACAACCAATAAATAATTAACTTATAGTAAATAGTCATAAATGAAAAATGAAAAATTTTAAAAAACATGATTTTTTTAAAAAACCCATACTAAAAATAATCTTTCAAAAATAAAAATGTTTATTGTTTATTTGTGATAAACTAAAAGAAAGGAGAGATAACTATACTCCCATCTGCTGTAAAACTCCTTCATTAATGTGCATTCCCACCACTATTTCAGCACATTGTACTTTGCTGATGGTTGCACAATGGCATTCAGATATCGATAACCGCATGGTAGGAAATGCACTGGCGAGCTGTGGTTTTAGTTGTAGTGAATAAAGTATATTTCTTTATAGGGGAGACACCTAAATCGGATCATTTTTTAATAAATTGATCTTAATTATTGATGTATACTTGCATTAAAATAATACCCTAAAATGTGAACTGCAATTAGGACTTTTCATAATAATTTGGAAAACGCAAGAAAAAATGAGAAAATTTACTTATTTTTCTTAGTGATGGTTTATCATTGCATACAGATATAAATACAATTTTCCTCTATATTCTACCTTCCTAACTTCTCACCTACAACAATAACCAAGTATGTCAGTGTTTTTAGAAATAGTAGGACTATAGTAATATACTATTAACAACCACTATAAAGGATTTAAATAAATGTTCAAACTTAAATAAGAAAAATAAATAATGAATATAGGTATTATAAAATAAAAAATAATGTTACAATAATTTATGGTTGATTTCAAAGTTCAGTGTGAGGTTAATGTTATGCTTATTACAAAATGTGTACTATCAAAAAGTAACTGAAGTTAAAAACAAATATGTGTTATTTAAAATTTGATGGAACTCTTAAAATTGATTTGTCCAAAATAACCTGCAGAATTGAGAATTATTGAATATAATAAAATATTTAAACAATTAATTTTCTTTTTTTGTATGAGTACTGTAAATATATTGAATACAAACATCTAAAAAAAACAACTTTTTACTCAGAGTTAATTTCATCCTTATTACAAATATAATATCTTTTAAATGTTTCAATAATATTCAAATAATTTGTTTTTTAGATTCTGAAGCATTTTATTTTATAATTGAACTAGGAAAAAAGTTTTTAAGTTTTTAAGTTTTAATTTTTTAGTTTTCTTAATTTTTAGCTACTCTGTATTATAACTTTTACCTCTGGAATAGGGAATCCTGGACAACCACATTCTAGTAAGATTTTCCACTTGGTACACACTGTGTGCAAATTGTTGAATATGATGTTCAAAGAATCTCCAGCCAACATCTGTGTAAACATTAGTTCAGTTATTTCATGGGGTTTATTGTCGGAGCATATCATCCATTTATATGCATCTTTTTGGTGTAACGGTAATGTGTGATTATTGGTGACCAGTACTCGGTTAGGGAATTTCAATTTATTGTCAAGGCGATCCTGTAAGACAAATGGATTAAATTATTATAATTTATAATAACGAAATAAGTGAGCTGTAATAATTTACTACATATGGTAGGCAAATGAATAATATATACAGTGAGTATAAAAAGTATTACATTTTTAAATAAATATATATTTTTCTCGCTAAATTAACACATGCATATTATTCTTTTACGATTTTTAATTATATTAAAAAAAAAACTATGACAACAGTTTTATTAATAATAATATTCAATAATATATAAAATATTAACAATAAATATTCATACACTAAAGAAGTTTGTGAATATTTTTCAGAGAGATTCAATATTTCATGGTTTATGTTGATAAATTTCAATTGAAAAAAACTGCAGATGCGCCATTAAGTGGCAGCAAGTTTTGTTTCTTTTGGATTCATTACAAAATTGCCAAATGTAAAAAAAAAGTTTAAAAAAATATCAAATCAAAATAAAGAAAACTTGTAGAGATTCTACAAGAATGTGTTCAGTAGAAGTCATAGAAGCCAGGGTTACAAATCATTTTTCTCTTCAATGCTGAGTAATATTATCAGTCTCAATACTTTTTGATTAGTCCTCATATATATATATACTATAGTAATTAATATTTTGAATAATTTGATAACTAAACAACAAATTTGCCTGTATTGTGTTTGCAGATTTGATAGTTTTATTTTACTTGAACAATTTTAAGTACAGGTAAGACAAAGAACTAGATGGAATGTATATGAGTATCTTTAAGGCAACCATTTACTTTCATTTAAAATTGAATAATATTAAAACTGTTGCTTTGAATAAGTAAGATTCATTGTGCATTAAATACAGAAAATAATTGAAAGAATGAAAAAGAAGATGATTTAAAAAATGTATCATATAATTTTATAATAATGTGTTGAATTTAAATAAAAATATTAGAAAAAAATAGTTTAATTACAATAAAAATTAGGATTGGTAATCATTTTTAACATCTGGATTTATAATTAAAAGTATTTAAAAATAAACTTACTTTAGCGCAGTCTGTGCAAACATCAAATCCACATTTTTGGCAAGCAAAATGGTAGTTGAAAATGGTGGTCACACAAACATCACACATTAACCGCACACCATTGATTGCTTTCTTCCAAACAATTGGGTAATCTGTAAAAATCATTGTTGTATTAAAACAAATCTATTTTACTTTTGTTTTAAACACCTGTTTTTTTTACCTTTTAACCTTTTTACCTTTTTAACCTTTTAAACTATTTAAAATAGTTTTTGTTCATTAGTACTATGAACATTGATTTAATTAGTAAATAGTTGATGAGTTTACAAAATCATAAGTATATTGAGATTAGTAAAGAGAATGAAAGAACATAAGAATATATCACCACAATCATGTAGTCAGGTAAGGTTTTAATTATTTAATTTATTCTATGATAATATAACATAAAGACTAGTAGGTACTCAACGTTTTTTTATTCTTATTTAAGGCAGTCTCATTCCACATTTTTCAAAAATATTAATTGAAAAAAGAGTGAAAGTTAATAAGAGGATTGGAAGTTTCTATCATTTTTTGACAGATATTTTTGTATGTTGGATACCCATTGAGGAGTAAATGTTTATCCATTTTTACATATAACTAACATGTTGTGGGAAGCAGCGAGAAATAAAATTAAAATTAAAATTTTTAAAGTATTTATAGATTTGTTGACAAATTGTTAAGTTTTCATAAAAAGTCAATTTTCAATTTAAAAAATTAATATACCTCAAATAAATAAAAATGTAATTTAATATTTTCAAAAATAATAGTTTTGAAGGTCTCAGAAACTTAAATGTGGAAATTGACTTCCTAAGAAACTTAACACGTCAAACATTACTGCTATAGCAGTAATATGTAAAATTTCATATTACGTCAATACTGCTGAAGCAGTAATCTTTTTAATGGATAAATCATAGAAGACAGTGCCATATTACAGCAGTCCACACTGACAATTTACATAGATTTTGGATGTAGTTATAGCACTACTAATATATTAGTAAACATTATATTACAAGTGTCCGCCAATGTGTTAAAAAATGTATCATTAAGGTATACATATTTTAAAAATTTAACCGGTATGCTCATTAGGGAGTATATCTAATTTCCCACCTTTTATTAGTCCAAAGAATATGAAAAGTAGGATTTTTTTTATAGAATAGTATATAGTAATAGATACACAATTATAAATAATGATCATTCATTTTTATTATTTACACTTAAACAGTTTAACACTTAAACAGTTTAACACTTAAACGAAGAATAAAAAAAACAAAAATATTACATCAAATTCTTATATAGATATAACATTGTAAAAATTTTTTAGATATTTATTATTATTATAAGATACAATCAAATTTTTAATTTAACTATTAATATTTGTTCATTTATTTATTTAAGTATACTTGATATTTATATACTCAGGTAAAATTACACACAATTTTTTGACAGAAAAAAAGTTTTAAATATTGTTTTAAACAAATTTGACAGAAAAAAAGTTTTAAATATTGTTTTAAACAAATTTGACATTTAAATGCAATTTAAAACATGTTTGTATATAACATGCAACCCTGATAAAAATGAAAAACAAATTCATATATTTATATTTTGGTTAGTTTAATTTATATGAATTTTATTACCGTTGTTAATGTGCGATAAGGTTAATGTTTTCTTTTCTTCTTTCACCAAGTTGCAAAATTGCTGACCTGCTTCTTGCAACACTCTTTTTGCTACTTTAATGTTCATCTGTGGAGGACAACTTGAATTGGGCATCCACAGATTTAAATCATCCTAATTATTGAACAAAACAATTAAAATACTTTTCATTTGAATCTAAAATTATTTATTTTGCTATCTTACCACTTTTATATCCTTATAAGGATCAGGAAATCCGGCATCTATTAATTGTCCATCATTATTTTTAAATACTAGACGAAACTGATAGAACCGACAATATATTTTATCAATTTCAGATTGGGACGTAAAGACTTTTTCTTCATCACTTATTAGTTCTTCTTCTTCTTCTTCAATTTTTAGAAGACATTCACGACATTTATTTTCTACGTCCTTCAACGAAGGGTTTAAACATGGGTCTGATTGAAAAAAAACCTCTTCGCCATCAGTAATTTGTGATCCTAATGGTATTTTTACCATAATAGAGTGTTTATTAGGATTATTACTTTTTTTATTTTTGGTTACACGGTTTTTTCTATCAACAGCGGTAATAATATTATTAGCAGTAGTAGCAATATCATTAGCTTCAGAAGCTGTAGTACCAGTATCACTATCAATTCTTGTTATGATTCTACTTGTTGAGTCAGGAACCCTTCTTTTTTTGGATGGTATGGGTTCATTATTTTCAGGCATTGTTTCTCTGGCTGAACTGCTACTTTGTGAGTTTGAAACATTGTTTGATTTGTCTCTTTTATTACCAATTTTTTCACATTGTAATACAGGAGGTATATCATCTATTTGTGAAACCGAAGCAGTAGATGTACTAGGACCCATATAAATACTTGATTCTTTCTGGTCTTCACTCAATGTGTGTCTCTGTAGCCAAGTTTTCTTCAATTTATGATGACTATGTCTAATTATTTCCGGGTAATCAGCGGGCGTAAGTACTGGAGGAGGAGTAGCTGGAGTATTATAAGTTGGAACAGCTGTAGATGTAATTTCAAAAAAATTAACAGTCTGTTTGTCTGATAAAGTAGCTGTGGTAGTGACAGATTGTGAAATAACAGTTGCAATATTTGCAACATTGGAAGTTAAAACAGTAGGTAAATTGGCAGTAGATTGAATAGGTTCCAAAACTATAGGTGGAATATCCACTAAATCAGCCGAAGTACTAGAAGAGTAGGTTGTTTGATCTGCAATTAATTTAATTGATAGTATGTTTGGTGGTATCAAAACTTTAGCAGATGTATTTAAATTGTTAAATTGATTCATTTTGGGAAAATTGATTCTAGAATAAAATTTTAAATTTGCATGTCCATGGGGTGTATATGATTCTGTACTGCATACCACAGCTAAATCTAAGGGTTCCGTTTGTAAATTACTTGGTTTGACATCAGCAGGTTGAAATGTCCGCGATGTACTAGTTGACATTGTATTGGATGAATGAGCTTGAGGAGGTGTGTCTTCAAGTTCTGTATTATTAAAAAACAATGAATGACAAATGTAAGTATTTAACAATATCTTAGGGCATTTTTTAGATTGTAGACAATCGTCCTTACCATCATCTGTATGTATATTTTCAGGATTTTCAGCAAATAAGCCTGACACTGATTGTCTATTATATTCATCATTCTTGCATACCACATCCAAGTTTTCAAGAGAATAACTCAAGTCTCCACCAGTTTGATTTGAACCATATGCTTGATGCTAAAACATAAAAAAATATATACATACATGTGAATTGAGAACTTTTTTGAGATTAAAATCATACAATATTACTTCTATGAATATTTATTTAGTTATTAATTATTGATTATTGTAAGTTATTTTCAAAACAAACACAAAAAAAACTAATTATTAAATCTTTTCAAAAACCTAGAGTGTTCTATACATAAAATATTCATGGAAATCAACAGCAAAATACATTATTTTAGAAGAAAACTCTTTTAAAGAACAAATCTTAAACTTGCAATTATTATTATTACTTTTGCATATATTTATAAATAATATATTTACATCAGAAGATGGTCCGGTTGGTGGTGTCATTTTCGATAATTTTATTTTTTGATTCTCAATCGTGTGAAGAGGAAGAGATCTTTTGTTGGACAAATCTGGCGGAACTTTTGTTTCTTGATTTGTTGGAAGAGTATGCAAGTTAGATGTCCAATGTGTTCCCTATTAAATATAATTTAAATATTAAAACACAATAAAATGTCTTGGATAAAATAATTGTTTTACAAACTAATTGTATAGGTTTAAGAGTAGTCGAGGAGTTGTACCTGCATGATTTTATATACAATTCATTAAAGTATGAGATGCTATACAAAATAAATGAAAAAAAAAAAATATATAATAATAAAAGAAAGTAGGTATCACAGTTAATACCTGAAAGCGACTTTATTCAATATGTGAAAAACATAATGATGCTTATTTGCATGTTATCATTGTTATCATTTACCTACTCTTATTTAATTTTAATGTTATCATAAAATATACCCGAGCAAAAATTATTTTTATTAACATTATCCATTATCTATTATTTTATTTAATTTGTTTAAAAGCCTAATACTTAAACATTTGTTTTTATTTAAGAAAAATGTGTTAAAACAGAAATAAAAATACAATATGGAGTCTAACCGATTTACAGCTGCTAAACTGTGAATAAATAGGTTAAAATAGAAATATGAAAAAAAAAGTATCTGATGTCTAGGCTAAAATCATTAGGTAATATTTATTATATTGTCACTTAAGATTAATTAATGAGACAAAAAAATGTGATACACAAAATTTTGTGAAAGAGATATTCAAAAGAGTAATAACCTAATAAAAAAAAAATTTAATACTAAAATAATAATAACTAATGTTATTACATTGGACAGTTATTAAAACTTGCAAAATGTATACATAATGTTCTTTAACAAAAATCAAAATAAATCACCATTGCTGCAAAATTAGTAAATTCCCCATTCTACTTGTACAGTGATGTAATCTCTGTGTTTAACCTGTATTTAGTCACATAGAGTAAATGATTACTCTAAACATATTTATATTGTGCATACAAAATAAAATGAGAGATGTGGATGTTTATCAGCTTCAACAACTTTGAATAAAACACCTACTAATAGACTGTACCCGGTTTTATGTTATTTTTGTATGTTTGGTATTGTCAAGAGCCTATTAAAGTTGCAAAAATCAATATCTGCAAATTATTTACCCGATCAGGTTAATTTTTTTATTGTGTAATGTGAGCATATTGTGTTATATTATTTTTTTCAATATGGAGGAACTTCAAAAAATGACATACTTATTGAAAATTTGCTTGATGAGCAATATGATGATGAATTATTGGGTAGTTTATCTGACAAAAAAATGATGATTCCATACTGGTAATTATAATGAAAATAATATATAATACATATTATATATTCTTATACATATTTTTAAAGCACTCTGTCACCATAAGTACATAATATGTAAAAATACAAAAGTAACAAAAAATAATAATAATAATAAAATATAACACAGACAATACAATGTAATTGTTACTGAAAGCGATTATTATACACAGATGTTGGCTTTAATTAGAAGACAATTATATTATTTTAAAAAAAAAAAAAAAATAGAATAAAATTAAATTCAATCACACTACTCAGTTCTTAAAACAAACGAGAAAAAAAATGTAAAAAAATGAAGTTCAAATTATAGCATAACATAATAAATAATTACCACAGGGTAAATATTTACCATGTGTGACTAAATAAGACATCTGAAATATTAGTATAAAAAACTATAGTTGACAATTCAAATTTCTGAATGATTACACTATAAGACTACTAAATCAAAACTCAAAAAACATACCAAGACATTAGTTAACTTTTAAGTGAATTAAATTATAAAAAAAAAAAATAAAAAGGACGATGCACATGCATTTGTCATTTCCGTCTTACGAACGCACAATATAGTTAAAACATGCTTATTTAGACTACAGTGAACTCGCCGAGTTTTAGTTTTAGAGTAAAAGTACCCATTGTGAAATTAATAAAGATCAATATTCCGGAGGGCGGGACGTTGCGTTTTTTTGGAAAAGTTATGCACAGGCACCTACTTAATATATCTATTTCTCAGTTTCAAATAAAAAAACAAACACGTATACCTTTGGCTGCTGAGCTAGTTTTAAACTTTCCTCGAAATGCTGCTGGACAGCGGCGGCGGCTTGTAGTTTTTCCCTCTGTTCTTGACTGTCGCCCGTCGGTAGCTGCAAGGTGTTCGTGCGGTCCACGTCCATTTGTTGTCCGTACCGACTAGGACCGCCGCGGTTATCGTCGGAGCCGCAGCTCCTTTTTCCGGGCGACACATATTGCTGTTGTTGTCCATGAGACATTTGATTTAATACGCCGCAATCGATTACATCGTTCGCGGAGTTTTCTCTGTTGGCGGAAAACAAAAAAAATTGAACCGGACCGACCGTAACGCAACAAAAGCGGGACGCGCAAATAAGTGTACTGAGGTGTATCAAGTACAAATATAATACGAGTTTATGACCGACACCGAAAACGCGTACGTGCGTGCGTCCCATGTACACAATACGATCAGTGTGACCAACCTGTTCAATAGTTTGTGGCGTGGGTCGTTCGGAGGATAACCGCTGTTGTAGAAACTCCCGGTCGGATTTATGATACCGCTTGGCTGTATTGTCAATGGTGGGGGTAGCGTCGCTGTTTGTTGATGCGGCGGCGGCGGCGGCGGTTGAAACTGACCGTAGGACATTAATTGTACTTGCGGCAGTTGTGGAACGTTTGACGCATAGAGGTTCTGGTGCTGAACGCTGTCCACATGTCGTATGGTACCGTCGGCCGACTGGAAAACAGGTACAATAATTCCGGGTTTAAGTATACTATTATACTATTATATGAGGTTTTGTAAATACACGTATATAAATATATGTATTTATAATGTAGCCATGCAGACGCGTATTATTATAATAGGCATAATAACAATAATAAAATCAAACAACACTTCACTCGCGGGGAGGCGACTGGCGTACCTACCTGATTAGAAAAAAAAAAAAAAACGAACATTTCAAGAGCCGAGTGCGTGTATATCGAGCGTACTTACCTAATTAACAATAATCGTTCTTAGACTAGTATTCCTATTGTAGGAAAAACAGTGAAAAATATAACGTGTTCCATTTAAGTGGGTACCACTCGTTATCTCGAAAGCTATTAACTTTTTTCGTAATTTTTTTTCTAGAATATTTATAAAACAAGCTGGCTCTACAATTTTATAATTATGTCAATTTTTCGTCACCCTTATTTTCGGTGGTAAAACCATTACCTACTTTTGATTTTTAAATGGCAACCTATATTAAAAATTCCATAAATAGATGAAATATTAGTGGAGTATCATTTGTGTATATGACTATATGGTGCGTGGCGTGTTAAAAATAATTCATCACTACTGTCCTCCAACCAAAACTTAAAAGAGGAACATCTCGTCAACGGATCGACGAAAATCAAAAATTTTAAAACTAAAATTTATTTCAACTAATATTCCATCTATTTGTGGAATTTTTATATACCCGTCCTTTATGTACCAATATCTCAGTTCGGCGACATTAGATTGAATCGGGGTTTTCGGGTGGTGTATGGAGTAGGTACCGAAACATACACTTTGAGATAGCTTTCAGTTTTTAACCCTTTCAGTGCGCACACGTGCAATTAAAATTAATTTTTTTGAATAGCAACCCTTATTTCGTTACCACACGTATATGGATCATTTTTTTTCCAAATTAATTTTGATCCATTGACCACGGTCCTAAACCAAAAATTGACAGAGTTACAGCTTTTTAAACTTTGGAAATAATACACTTGCAGTATTGCACAGGTATTCAGTGAATCATTGGTAGATTGGGAAATGTGTATCATGAAATAAAATAATATAAATACTTTGTGACATACCTATTGTTTTTATTTATGTTTAATTTCTATCTTATAAAATATTCAAAATTTCCTCCGTTATTTTCTAAATCCGCTTGTTCCAGACGAAAAAATCAAATTATTTTCAATTGTTTTCGCACGCGGTTTCTACAAACACAAACAGTATTTTCGAAATCCCCGCAGGGGAGTACTATAGGCCGGATATCCGGCCCCGGACTGTCATCGAATCCGTAGTCTAATGATTATGTATATATATGTATAAAAAAAATAATAATAATTAAAAAATAATAATATTAAACACCAAACCAAACAAACAAAAAAAAAAAAAAAAAACATCAATTTGTATTATTATTATTGCCGTACCTGGGAACCGTACTGCGCATCGTCAGACATGTAGAGGTTCAGGTGCTGAACACTGCTGACGTGTCTTACGTGACTATCCGGGGTCTGGAAAACATCACGAATTCGGCTCGAGTACAGGTCAAAATATTGCTAAGCGTACCTACTAAGACGCGGCCGTTTTGTCGTGAAACAGACTGAACTCTGAGCACGAAGCGCGTCCGATCATTATTCAGATAACGTTTTTTATTTTATAAATATGTAAATTCATAGGCGCAACTAGAGGTGGGTGCTAGGGGGTTTTTAGTGCCCTGAAGTTTAAAACAAGCACCTCCCACAAGAAAAAAAAAATAAGCTTTCAATAGTAGCAACTAAATATTTTATCCACGTATTTCATAATTTATTAATGACCAAAACAAAATACTGATTATCTACAGACAATAATGTACGTGTATGAAATATTCGTGTGTATAAAATTGTACGTTAAATTTGTGGTTGCATATTGTATACAGGGATTGTGGGGACATAGTCCAATAATCTTTGATGTATCCATAATTTTAGCATCGCCAAAGTCTAGTTACGCCTACGGCCTATGCATATTACAATACATATAATACACAATAATAATTTATGAGGAATTTGTTTCGAACGGGCGGCTTTCCGTTTCTCCGTTTATAAACATAATATTTTAAAAGTATTGATTTTTACTGAGAGGGGGAGGAAAAAATAGTAAGTTTCAAACGGTTATAATATTTCCGATCGAACGTGCCTAGATGTTCACCTACAATAATACAAACAATTATAGATACATGTGAAAAATGCATTCTTATACACGATAAAGTGCACGTGAAAACTGAACATATAAAATATAAAAAAGAAAAACTTGATAAAACACTATCGCTATTTTTTATTTAATGACAGTGAAATCATATTGGTTCATTTTTTTTTCATTGCAGATATTTCTCTGTAGACCCGACGAATATTTAGAAACCGATAAAAGAAATATCGGTTGTGCATGCGACCCAGGGGGTGTAGACCCCCCAGACACTGATATAATTTCAATAAAATGTCATCCAAAATAGAGGTATCTATTAATAGAGAGATACCTTTTAAATGCATATTATTTTTTAGTACCCCTCCCTGAAAAATGTTGAAAATCCGCTATTGTTTACACTGGACAACAAAGTTGTGTGGTCAGCAAATCAATAGTGAATTGTATATGGAATTTCGCTGCTGATTCCGAACCCGGTCTCAGATTTATTGGATTCGCTGTAATTGTTGAGACAATCACTAATTCTTAAAAAAAAAAACCAAAAATTATGTAGTTAAATTCTAAATTTGTTTATTTTTTCCATAAATTTAAATTAATCGTGGCATTTAAGAGTCGTGCAAAATTTAGAACTCACTTATTAAGTTGACAATCTGTTTTCCTAGCTCTTTAAAATTGAGTTTGATATACCTAGTTATTTATCAAAAAACTAAACTAAACTTTTCACTATAGCTTTTTTTTTTTTTTTAGTTTAATTTACAATAACGAAATAATATTAAAAAGCAAATTTTATAAGAATTTTCAAAATATCATTATTGTGTTTGCTACATTACTAGGAGTCGACACAATCGCTGTCAATAGAAACAAAACATGTGAAACTTTGAAAAATTCGTTTTAGGTACTGTAAATTATACTGTATTATTTTGTTACGAATACTTTTCTATCATATATTAGATTATTATACCAAAAGTACCCAAAGACCGAATTAGTAATAACGATTACATATTATAAACATTAATACGTAACAATAATATTTGTATAACAGTAATACCACGATCCGCAGTAGATTGTCCGAAAATATTTCATAACATTATTTTTATACACAGAGTGTCTGACGAGAAAATAATTACGATGCTCTTGGAATCAAGATGAACCTTGGAAAGTATTAACTTTATTCGTAATTTGTTCGGGTTTTTGCAATTTACGAAACACAAGTACTTCTGAAAAATGTTACTTTACACGTATCTTTGAAGGATTCCCTGTATAATAGCAATATAACCCGAGTACTCGTTATATTTTATATTTTTAGCGCAGCGACAAAGCGACTACTTTTTTTTCTGTTTCTGAGAGACTCTGAGAGACAAGAGAAATTTCGTTCCGATCGAAAAACAAGAGCTTTTTCGAAGCCTTTCGCATCTAGTTGGCGCATTGAAGAAGTCGATTATTTTTTTGTTTTTCTAATGGATTTTTATAATAATCGAGAGTAATTTACAGCGATAACGCGGTTTCTGCATGTTGTTGTGATTCGTTTAAGAATAATCATAGAAACGCACAATTCGCACAGAATACTTATATTAGTCTTTTCTAAACGTGCTCGAATTTGAAAAATGTTTACAAATTTTTCGGTTGTTTCGATTTTTTTATTTTAGTTTTTATGCGAACACGGTCATTTTTTACGATAAAAAAACGCGCGCGACATATTGCATATAACACGTATTAATATTATTATAAAAAAACTGTTACAGGACGCCGAGTTTTAAAAATATTATTTAATATTAATACAATCGGATGCACCGCGTTCCTTTCTAGAACGTTCTATAGCAGTGTCTATATCTATTATTATTATTATGTACGATGGTCGGCAAACTGCGCTAATAAAAAAAAAAAAGAAAAACTCATCGAAACAACAAATTTCACGCTATACACAAACACGTTATACACGTTATATTATATAAATCTGTAAAATAATAATAAAAAAAAACTCTCCAAATAAAACCCGTGTACAATGTATTAATATATTTTTATAGATTCGCCGGAGGTATAATAATACTTATAAAAATAATAACACGGGTGAATGAAAAAATTGAGAAAATCCCGTTAAAATATAATCTTAACGCCTCTGAGTTCGAATACCCGTCACTTTTATTTCGGCGCTCGAAACCTTTACAATTTCCGGTGCACGGGGAACAATATTAATTTCGAACCTTTGAAAAATAATGTATGCGAGTAAACGGTTATTTCGAAAATGTTTACTTTGTTTTATATTTCGACGGCGAAACTCTGTGAGTCTTAACCGCCCCGCGGCATTTCATAATAATGTACGAGGTTAAACAAATATTTAAGAATTCGCGTACAAGCCATTTTAACGCCAACGTTTATAAAAGCCAAAAAACAAAAAAAAAAAAACAGTGGCAGCTTATCCATTTATGATACGAACAAAATTAGGACAACGACGTTGCGAGTTATACACTGCTGTGCCGGCGCTAGGGGAGGACAAATGCGAAATAAGTCCTGGCAGAGCCCCGCAATTGTTTTTAGGTTTTAATGGTCCCTGCGGTATATTATCGTGTAGGTATACTGGCACGTAGCCAGAATATTTTCTCTAGGTGAGCTAATATTTGGGAGGCCCCCCTCGACATTTTGTATGTTGAAAAAAAGGTTACTTAACATTATATAATTTAATATTACTTTTGTATCTTATTGACAGATTTATTTTTTGATGATAACGCCATTTACCGGACAATATAATATACAACGCAATATTATACTGCTGGTATGATAGTAATAGGTACTATAGCCTATATGCATTAATCACTTATCATTAATCAGTTTATATCACTATACGAGAGTTGAGTAGGATGATATTTGGTGGTATAAATTTAACACAATATTATATGATAATGGACCCCAATGAATATTTTGAGTGGACCGGTCTGAGGCCGGACACATTTTAGGATGGGCCAGGTACACCTGACCTTCACTTAGCTATGTCCTGCGTGCCTGTAGGTATACAATCATTAGTTAAACTATAGCTGCTAAATTATAGCATTGTCCAGGGCCTTGCAAAACCTAGCACAGGCACTAAGTATACGTTTTACCAAACATCCGAAACAGAAAAAAATCGTTGGTAAATTTTCAATAAGTTTATACCTACGATTGTTTATTTTGATTATTTCAATAATATCGTAGGCTGCAATTCACTACAAACGTTACCGAAGTTCCGGCGAAAGTTTTAAGGGGTAACGCGAAAGTTTTGACGATCGATTGTATTTTGTATACGTACCTATATATATATACGAATGTAATATAATGCCCGTGTTTTGTTACAACCACTTGTGGCACAAACGGATGAAAATACAAATACAAACTATGTAGCCCAAAGTTATATTAATCCAGGTTAAGGTTTATTTATGTAGGTAACTCTCTCGAGTTGTCAAAAGGCAGAGAATGCGATGAAAATGTAAATAAAATGCACAAAGGGGAAAGGAAGACTGAATCAGAACAGCTATATATGTATAGAATGGAGACTACCAACAGGTAGAAGGCCAATGAGGAGACCGTGCAAAAGCGTCGGTTGAATGTAATTAGAAAGAACTAAGAAAACTCGGAGAAAATGGGAATAATTATTGATTGGAATGTATTGGATTTAAGACGGATGATGCCGATGGAAGAAAGTTGACATGTTGATGGCAGTTAGGGTTCTTGAAGAGCTTGAAGACATCTCGAGCTAAAAATAAATCGCACAAGTTTTGAATCCCGTCTCTATATGAATGATTTAATTATTATTTTATAAAAAAAAATCTACGATCTGTTATACAAAATCGTTGGTAAAAAGCCGTGAACGCATGCGATAGTTCATTATTATACTGTCGAGAGACTGTGGGAGTCAGTGCCGGATCTAGGATATTTGATGCCCGGGGCTAAGTAAAAATGTAGCGCCATTACAAAGTATGAGTTACGGGGGTCGGAGTGCGCGGATTGTTAACACAAAACAAAATGATTAAATAGGTACAAATCACAAAGTATATTTTTTTATATTACAAATATTTGTATTCAACATTACCTTAAAATTCGGTTTTCTAGGTATTTTTGATACGAAAATCAAATTATTTTCGTTTATTTATGAGTTACCTACCTTAGTTTCTTTTGCACGAGTAAAGCTAGAATTAGAAACATGTTTTTAGCAAAAAAAAAAAAAAGGTTATTCGAAGCCCCTGAATTCTAAAATGTGAATAATTTTCATGATATATAAAAATATTGTAAACGATTATTTTATATCCAATGTACTAAATTTTATAAATTGATTTATTAAGCAATACAATTTACAATTTATTTTATTGTTATAAAAAAATTAGAACTCAATTTAATTTAAATGTTTGAAACATGTTTCAAATAAGAGTTGAAAATAAAATGTTTTAAACATTTCAACCCTGATTAAATGTATTCAATTTAAATATAAATAATAAATATAAAATTTACTTTGATAGATGTTAAAATTGCAGCTTACCATTTGTTTCTGATTTTGAAAATAAATTTATGATTTTCTGTAGTTTTTGTATATTTTTTTCAAGTTTTAGTTCTTTTTTTGTATGTTTAGTCCTATTAAGCTTTTTTTTTTTTGAATGTTAGGATAAAAAAGATTGTAAAGTTTAAATAAGTCAGACGATTGTTGGCTACTCGACAGGAACAAATTAACGATAAAAATATTATCGTACATTCTAACATCGTGAGTACTTTAATTTAAAATAAAAAAAAAAATATATGGACTTACATACTTAAAATTACTAATTAGTTTACCGACGATTATAATGAAGTATACGTAAATTGGATGATTACACTTTGTGATAACGGTTTGTGTACAGGCGATATTTCAATCATATGGTAAATATTAAAAAAAATAAAAAAATATATAGCATTAGCCAAAAATCGGACACGGGGCGTTGAACAGACTCCTCTATGCACATGCTCATTATTTATAATTTGCCGCTAATGATCAAAAATAATTATCATAATAATTTATTATGATGATAATATTATATAATGACTGCATCAGTAAATGCATAGTTTATCGTTAATAACACGTTTAGAAAAAAAAAATAAAAAAATAAAACCCGATACATCAATTTGTATCAACTCTCTACATATAGAGTGATTTCTTTTATCATAAATCAGCAATTTTCTCAGAGGATTTTAAGTAAATTTGACTTCTGTTTTTTTTTTTATTATTATTATGGAATAAGTTAATCTTTATTTTAAAATCATTTTTAATTTTTGACCCCTTCTCCATACATCTTATATAAGTATATATTTTTGTTTTTCAAATAGTAACCTCCCTTTTTGAACATAGATTTAAATAGAGAATATTTTTCTAGACATTTTAATATGCATACCACTAGTATATTGATAGTTTATAAGTTATAAACATTTAAAGTTTAAACTGGAGAAGTAGGATAGAGTGAAATCATGCAATTTATTACCCTTCCCTACTCCTTCAGTCTAAACTTTAAAATATGGTTATATAACTTATAAATTATAACCCATAAACGGTAAATCTGATATTTGTGTTACGCATATTATCAAAATATCAAGAAAAATATTGTCTTTTCTAATCTGTGTTAAAAAAGGCGGGTTCCTATTTGAAAAACCAAAGTATGTACTTATTTAAGGTATATGGAGTAGGGGTGACAAATTAAAAATGGTTTTAAAATGAAACTTAACTAATTACATAATGATTAAAAAAAAAACAGAAATCAAAATCACTTTAAATCCTCCGAGAAAATTGATAATTCACGATAAAAAAATCACCTTGTATAACATTTTTCCTAAATTTTAACTCAATTGTAAAAAACAAGGAATATTAAAACATGACCTCTTCAATGCTGTAACTAGACAGAGTTCGCTACCGAAAAGTTCCTATTATGTTTTATTTTCGGTTGTTTACGAGCTCCCGGTTTTTGATTTAACTACACTCGCTATATATTCAAAAATGTATTGACTAACTGAGGTCAATACATTTTTGAAGTTCACCACTACTTGGACGGCTGTTGACAAAGGCTGTTACGTCTCTTAAAAAGAAGAAAAAAATAAAAATTAAGAATAATGGTGGAAAGTTTCTACTAGCTAAAAACAAGATAAACAAACAAGAGTTCGTAAAAATTCACATCATATATAGTACTATTGTGGCAACTGCCATGCTACAAAAATGTAATTACTTAAACTTACCAACAAACAATGTAACGGCGTTGGAATTTTAGCATTCCCTGTCGGCGAATTTTCGAGACATTTAATAACGATACATAATATGTGTCGATAGTATAAAATTACAAAATCGTAGTGATGAAAACAAAAAAAAAAAAAATAATAAAAATGCTTAAGACGCGGAAAAAAAATGTTGATCCCTTTGTATTATATATAAACGCTATTAATATATTGTATATACTATAATCAAATTGATTTTTTCCCCTCTATGGTTTCAATTTTTATTTTTTCCCTTTATAAACGTTTCGTTTTCATTTTAATTTCCATTTTATCAATAAAAAATAAATGCACTGCTTGTTAAAAAAGACTAGAAGAAAAAAAAAACAATTTAATCCACGTCATCGTCGGGTGTACGATCTGATTTCACTAAAAATAAAAAAAAAAAAAACAAAACAAAAGAAAACACGCGTAAATGTTAAATTAAATAAATGAAAAATTTTCGCACGAATAAATGAATATTCAAAAGACAAATAAAACGAATAAGAAAGTACAATAAAAATAACTATCAAGCATGTGACTACTGGCGAAGACACGGAGTTAATGATGGTTTTTTGTTTTTTTTTTTTCTTTGTTTAATATAAATTTAAAATGACAGATTTGCATGTCGAACAACGGCGATGCGTAATTCCGTTGACGTTTAGGGAAAATTCTCTAGTTCGTTCGGCGGCGGTTGGAACGAAACGAATAATCCGAGAAATCGAAAGAAACGAATGGTTAACGCTCATTTGACATTTTATTTGTTTATTTTTTCATTTTTTATCTGGCGGAACGCAATATCGCCTGCCAAACATAAGAGACAGCGTATATATGTATGTATGGAACGGATAATTATTATTTGAACGGGACTGTATTTGTGTGGAAACATCCGCGTGTCTTTGGAATTTTATTTCAAAATCACAAACTACGTGTCAACATATTGTACAATTAACTATCAGTCCTTTTTTTTTTTTTTATATTAAGGGGCCGCGTGAAACTGGCAACGTTTTTTTTTAGTCAAAACATGTTCTACGTCTACAAAAAAAACTCTCGTGCTTCGTATCGCTTATTTTTCCACCGGGAAATGTAAAACTTCCCACTAGACTTTGATTTTTGATCATGCAACTAAAAAAAAAAAAGGACAGACACTTCACACGACTTCGCACGTGGGTGCAGTCACTTTTGTAGGTAGGAAATTAGGAAGGTAGGGACGTCTGCACAGACGGAAATTGAATGTATGTCAGTAAGCAATGATAAACCATTGCTAACGGAAAAACGATTCTGAGCGGAGTTCAGTTGATAGTGTTGTTTTGCCAACAATATTTATGTCATATTATGGTAAAATGATTACAACAATGTGCGTTTGCATGTCAACAATGATTGTTTAAAAAAGATTTTAAAATAATAACAAAAAATAAATAAAAATGGTTGTCAATGACAACCTTATTTTTAATCTTTCAATCTTTTTTAACCTAAAGAACTAGGTTTTCCTCAGAATAGATGCTATACTTGATAATCAGAGTATTCTTTCTGGTAAAAAAATTGTTCACATAAAAAAAAAATAAACATAATTGTAAAACTAATATATTCCTCGCTCCACTCAAAATTTAAAATGAGTTAAACAAATAAAATTGTGAAAATTGGCTATATTCGAACTCTAATTAATGTATTTAGAAAGATAATTTTCAAATATCGAGTCTAAATCGTTCGGTAAAAAATCTTCTACTTTTCAATTGAAAAAAAAGATTTTAATGAAATCGGTTCACATTACGAGGCACGAGAGATTTTTCCGTGAGTCATTTTTTTAAGTAAAAATAAAGAATTAAAATATCGAAACAGTACTTTTCAGGAATCGTTATTATCGTATTAGTTAGACTGGGCCATTGGATAAAGGAGAAAAAAAAATAAATTATTGTTTTCGTTTCAGAATTTCCCTATTTTTTTCATTGCTATAAGAAAGTACAGTAAAACTTCTGTTAACGATCACCTTTATATAACGGATATTTTGTTTGGTCCCGTTAAGTGTTATTGGAAAATACATTAATACGTCTATAGGGTGATTTTTTTTATCATGAACCAACAATTATCTCAGAAGATTTTATTTCAAGATTTTAAATTCAAGAATTTTAATTGAATTGAAATCTGTTTTTTTCCAATCATTATGGATTTTTTTAAGTTTTACTTCAAAACCATTTTTAATTTTTTTTAAATAAAGCTTAAAATATTCCATGATGATTAAAAAAAAAAACAGAAATCAAATTCACTTAAAACCCCCCCCTCGATAAAATTGTTGGTTCATGGTGAAAAAATCACTCTGTATATATAAGCAGCGGGCACTCTAAATAACGGTCAAAATGTAAGATAAAAAAAAATAATAGAAAATATGTACAGAAGTATATAAAAAGCGTATAAGAAATTATTTAAGGTGCCTGGTTTGCCCAAATTATTTAAGGTAGTTTATCTGTAGTTATCTTATCGAACTTTTACGATAACGTTGAAATTGAATATAAAACAATTGCATAATCATCTTTATTAATATTTTTAAAATTATTTCTGGTGTTTAAACGAGGAATGTATCATATTATTTTCTATATTTGATTAAAGGATTAGATATTAGATAAAGGATATTAGATATTCGATAAAAGTGGCTAAAATTATGAGTATGTCATAATGGATGTAATGGACACGTCAGTGGAAGAAGACAATAAGAGTTTGGGCCGAGGACACTTCTTTTACAGATGGAAAATGTAGATGATTATTATTTGTGTAAAGACATGCGCGCGTAAAAAATCATTAATTTTATTCAGAGCCGAATTATAGGAGGGGGGAAGGGCATCTGCCTCGAGACGCAAGATTTTAAAGGAGCAAATTTTTTAAAGAATGTCCTTTTTAGGATTTAGAATTAGGACAGTGTACCTACTTTGCGCGCGCACTCACTTACGTGTTTCCACAAATTTACTCATATCCGATTTTATTACCAACTACGAGTTACAGTGTCTATTTTATGCCGAATAGTACACCCAATAATATCAATAAAACGATTAAATGACTGTAGATAACGTCATTTCCATCGACAGATTGCGGGCGATTATTGAGGTTTCCATACGCTGCGATAAAAAAACGACGGTTTACATCGTCAGTTAAACCCGTCGTGTTTAAAATCAACACTTGACAGAAATAAAAACGGTCTTGTTTTATCGTCGGGTTTTGCCCATACACTTCGATTTTTACGGACTTGTTTTATCGCGACGACGAAAACCGTCGTTTTTTTTTTCGTAGTGTATGGCGGCCTTTATTCAAACGTACCTATAAAACTAGATTAGATTATCCATTGTACGCGATAAATGCAATATGAGCGAAACGATTCACTTCGTTCGAATCGGCCGCTTGTTTAGAAAATCATATTGTTTTTTGCGATGATGCACACAAAGATTTAATTCAAAAAGCAGTGCAATAATTGAGTTTTATTTTATTTTCTCAAAATCAGATGAATCGAACAAAGCTAAACCAAATACACAAAATGTATTGACAATGATGAGAAAAAAAAAAGTTGGACAGTTTATTTCATAATATCGAAAGAATTGCAATCCGATTGTACTGTAATCTGCCAACAGCTAACTGTTTCGGCGAGAGATCATTTTTAGCCTTAAAATGAGTCAACAACTATTTTCGATCTACTTTTCGAAAAAAAAATTAAATTCATATTCTGGTGTTCTTAATATTGAAAATATCGTACTTGAATCTATTTCATGGGATGAATGTATTGATAATTGACTAATTATTCGCTAAACAGTAGTCAAAGATAGTAATTTAAAAAAAAAATAATTCACAATTATAATTCACAAAAATGTACTTACGTAATTTACCCAGTATTTTATATAATAATTTTAATTAATTAATTTAACTTCAATTTTAATCGTATTAACAAAATTTACAATACTGTTATTTTTATAAATTTATTTACATTTTTATTGTGAAATTCGTATTGTTTATTAGTTTGTATAGTTCTATTAAACATATTGATAACATATTATTTCATTATTTTTTGTATGACTTTTAATAAAATGTGTGGTAATTCAAATACTAATTAGATTAGATATAAATAAGAGCATAGGTTGAATAATTTTTAAGGAGGAAGAGGGCTCTATATTAATTCATCACTTATTTTCCATTAGAGAATAAAATTAATAAATATCAAATTTAGTTAAACAATTTCATGTTTATAAAAAAAAATTCTGAATCTTATGGAGGTTTAAACTATTCTATATTTGATTAAAGGATAAAATTAGATATTCGAAAAAAGTGGCTAAAATTATTGTTAAATTTAAAATTATGAGTTTGTCAATGGATACATTTGCACATACCTATGCTTCGGGGCGCAACATTTCTTTATCCGGCCTTGATTTTATATAAATACAAAATTTTTGGAAAAGGACCTTTTTTTTGGAAATTCGCTTTTTATATAGAAGGGTTTCTTTTGGTATAAAACAATTTATCGTACCCATCTTCATTTTTTTGTCAAATATGTTTAACCAAAAAATTGTCAATTTTGCAATATAAATTAAACATTTAAGTCTTATTATTTTTCTTGGAAAATAATAGATTAATTATTTGATAAGACAATTAAAGTCTCATACATTCATGCGATAATTGCTTATTATTTTCAGTTAAAACTATTCTCTTTTATAAATATTCAAGTCTCTTGCGGTACGACAAGGGGGCGAGTCATTATTATAAAAATTAACCTAAATTACTTTCTTATAGTAATAAAAAAATAGGAGTGGTATCCTGACACAAGCATTCGAAAGTTCAAAAATAAGGACCTGTCTAAATAATTGTTGTAACTATAAATTATTATTGTTAAATGTCAATGGTTTAAAAAAAAAAAAAACTGTCTTAAAAATATTTTGGACGTGACGTAACAGTCTTCTAAAAACCACAATGTATCGAAGGTGTTTTGTTCAAAGGGAATATATCACTAAAACACCCTTTTTCAAGAGTCAAAAAAAAAAAACAGCAAAATAATACCTTGTACAAAAAGTATACATACATTAAATGTGGGTTTAAGTAATCTGTGTTGATTTGATTATATTTCAGAAGGGCACGGGCGTTTAGATATCTTTTCCATCGACATTACCAACTTAATTTTCTGTATTAAAATACACCCTTTTACCAGTTTATGTTCATAATTTTTCTGAGTTTTTGGATCCCAAAAATGTTTTTTTTTTGATTTTTAGTGGTTTACGCCCTTTGTACAAAACCCGGAAATATCATTTGGAAAAAATTTTATTTCTTACAGTTTTATTCCTATCGTGATACTGAAAACAAAAAAAAGCCGACGACGGAACCGAAAACAGCATAATTTAAGGAGAATGACAAACTCTATTATAAAAACAAATAACGAAGGTCGACAATTCCGAAGAATCTCACCGCGATTCTTCTCGCCTGAAAATAATATGCTTGATGAACAGGTTTATGGTTGTACTTTGTTTCGGGGACTACTCACTCGCATCATGTTCGGATCTCTCCAGACGGATCCGCTGAACGACAACGGTGGCTGTTGCTGTTGCTCGTTGCGAACGATCGTTGACGGAGCGACGTTCATATGTTCCACTTCGGCTACCGTGTTGAGAGGACGGGACATGCCTGGCGGCGGCTGCACCATACCCGAGTTGAGGGGACGTGATAAGCCCGGCGGCGGCTGCACCATACCCGAGTTGAGGGGACGCGACAAGCCCGGCGGCGGCTGCACCATACCCGAGTTGAGGGGACGCGACAAGCCTGGTGGCGGCTGCACCATACCAGAGTTGAGGGGACGCGACAAGCCTGGTGGCGGCTGTACCATACCCGAGTTGAACCTGTCGAACAATCCGGACGCGCTGCCACTCGGTGCCGCTGCCGCTGCGTAGGAAGACTGTGGTGACATCAAAGTCTGCTGTAGTTTGGACTGCAGCGGATACGAGACCATCGTCGGCATGTTTGGTACCGTGGTGACGACCGTGTTGGGATACATGAGTTGCATCCGCAGTAGATATTCCTGCTGTTGTTGGTATTCGTACTCTAGATAACGACGGGTTTGCTGCTGCTGTTGCTGCTGCTGCAGCTGTTGTTGCTGCTGCTGTAGCTGTTGTTGCTGCTGCTGTAGCTGCTGTTGCTGTTGCTGCTGCTGCAGCTGCTGTTGCTGTTGCTGCTGCTGCAGTTGTTGTTGTTGCTGCTGCAGCTGTTGTTGCTGTTGCTGCTGCTGCAGTTGCTGTTGCTGTTGCTGCTGCTGCAGCTGCTGTTGTTGTTGCTGCTGCTGCAGCTGCTGTTGTTGTTGCTGCTGCTGCAAGTGTTGATGCTGTTGCTGCTGCTGCAGCAGCTGTTGCTGCTGGTGCAGCTGTTGTTGCTGTTGCTGCTGCTGCAGCTGCAATTGCTCTTGTGGCTGCTGCTGCTGTTGCTGTTGCATTTGCTGTTGCATGCGAAGCTTTTGTATTTCGATTTGTTGCATCCGTAGCGCGTGTTGCTGTTGCAAGTGTAATTGTTTCTGATACTGCTGAAGTTGTACCTGTCGTTGTAGTTCCTGCCGTTGCAGTTGCTGATGGCGGACCTGCTGCTGTTGCATCTGTTGTTGCTGCAGTAATAATTGATGCTGTTCCAGTTGCTGCTGTTGTTGGAAATTGTGTAGCTGCGGCAGCATTCGTGATCTATTGTTTCCAATCTCGGGGTCGTCCGTCGGCATGACAACATTTTCCTCTACGAAACGCGGTGGTGCCCAGCTCATTGTGTTCGCATAATTGTTATCCGCCATAGGAAGGGCACCAGGCCTGGACGACGAAGCGGCAGCCGCAGACACCGCCGCCGTTGCCACCGTCGCCACCGTCGCCGTCCATGACGCATGCCGATTCTGCTGTTCGTGTTCCGACGTGTCGCTTGACCGATTTACCGACGTCCTATCCGAATTTTCCGAGTTGTCGTAGTTTTGCTGCTATGAAAAAAAAAAAAAACAAAATCATCCGGTTAGTTAAACATGTAGAACACAGTCGGCGCAGAATAAGTTCAAGGTCAATTGTTAGACGAATATGCGACATGCATATTCAAATTAGCTTTCAAATAAATTTACGTGGTCGTTATCACGAAAATGTACAGCGTGCAATCGTGTCATTTGACTACGAACTAGAAATCAATACGTATACTGCGATTTCCACATACCGATAGGAGATCTGCAGCAACGCAATATATTTTTCAAAAACTCGACGCGATTCGTCTATTTTAGGTGAAGCGTTCAAAAAGCGCGTTAAAACCCGCGAGTGAGATTTAACGGGTAGCCCCTTTGTGAAAAGAATAAAAAAAAAAAAAAAACACAGACATAGTCACAGATAACGCGTTCTCTTCCATAAAGATATTGTGCAAAAATATTAATGTTCTATGCGTGTGTGCGGCGTTCTCTTAATTCGCGTGGCCGCTGCATTTGGCGGCATAATCGTTCGTCCGCACTGCTGAATAATATACGAAATAATAATATTCATAATCTCGTTTGATCCATTTTCGATGCGAGTCTTAAAAAACATTACACGGGTACTATACCGTTATCAAGCAGGTGCTTATGTTACGTTATCCGGAAACGCCCGACTCTTGCGGCCAGCGGGTACAAAGCCGTTATTCCGTATAGCAGTGCTCGCACAATATTACCCTCACCACCCCCTTACCCCGGCAGTTTATTATATCAAGCCGTTTTTCTTCTTTACGACAACACAGACTATACGGGATGATCGATCTATCGTAGGGCACTCGTTATCTCGGAAAGCGTTAACTTATTTCGAAATTTATTTTAACCTAACCTCTGCGACAGTGACTAACAATATTAGTCACCGTTAAAATATATAGAGTTATTTTTTTATAACAAATATACATATATTTTAGTATTTACCTATAATTTAAAAATGTATTCGACACGATTATGTATTAAATATTGTTTAAAATGAAAGTTGTTTTTAATTTGTAGTATAGAAGCATGGTTGAGGAGAATTTGAGATATAGGACAGGCGTATACCTTTTTTTGTTTGTTTTTTTTTTTTTATTCTTTTAATTAGGCCCGTCTGAATTATTTGCTTAAGGCCCGCGAAGTATTTAATCCGGCATTGGCTATAGGTGCAGGGCACGCAAAAGATCCTTACAAGGAATACCGCATATTTTCGGTCCTATAGAGCCGTGGTGACCAACTACTACGGTCCACGATCATTTATTAATCGGCCCATTTAAACATTTAAAAAATAAATAACTTCAAATTTCAAACGAACATTGACGTTAAAAAGCAATAACAATACATCATAATACATAATAAATAATTAAATATATCAGTGCACCTGTATATACTAAGATGTACCTACAATAAAATATAATATTCTTTTAACATGAAAAGTTTGAACTCTTGGCCCACCAAAGACTATCGTTATTTTTTTTGGTCCTCTGTAAAAGAAACGTTGGTCACCACTGCAGTATAGAGAGCAAAAGAAAAAAAAAACATTTATCTAACATTACCTGGTGTATACCCCCTGGTGCTTGTAAAATACATTCTATTTCAAGGAACGCGCTTTTCGATTCGATTGACAGCGTTGTTAGATTGGCATAGCGAAAAAACCCCGTGGAGGTGGGAAGGGGCGTAGTCTTTTGTACGTGCGTCACTTACCTTACGCGTTAATTATATTATTTATAAAAAGTTTGGATCGAAAACTATAAGCGCAAAATAAATACGAGCGGAAGTGTAAACGCCAAACAATATTATTAATATAAAACAATTTAAAACTAATAACATTTATTGCGGGTTAGAGTGTGATCATTAGCTGATTGCTTGTTATTAGCTTTTGCTTGAGGAAAAACACATCGTTACCACTCGCCGTGGGCGTCAGTCGTTTCCGACAAAAAACTTGATTTTCGTTTCCGTCAATTATTGTTTTCGCCAAAATGAGAAAGGTTCGATTTTCGTTTCTATTCAATCTATTTCTATATATAACTACCTAAATTATAGTTTGAGATCCATTTAGAGTTATCCAGTTAATATTTAATTGATTGGACCGATTTGTAAGAAAAATTAAATTCGAACCTTCAATTAGAATCATCATTTTTTTACCACGTTTACTCGTTATGAATTCGATTTTTTTTAAAAATATATAAAATCCAAAAAAATTAAATTAATATATATTTATATATATTATTCATACGATTCATTATCGATTTACTCGGGGTTAATGAATTCACACGGCTACGTTATTGTTATACTTGACATTTCGTCGTTGTTGTCACAACATTCACAGTTGACTCTGAGCCCGATAACACGCACACACACACACACACATACTCACACACACACACACTATCTACACATGATATATAGATTAGATTTATTTGTATTTATTTATAATAGGTAGAAATTACTACGTGTAAAATCACTTATCTTGACATGAAATACATCGATGATTGATAACATTGAATATGACTTTTAGTGCAATAATTAACTAACCCAAAATGGATATAAAGATGGACTAATCCGCTTTAGTATTTTGCTTAAATTCTTGCTATTATTCATTACATTAAAATGCAATAACGGTTTAGGTTCTGTCATCTAGTGAATATTAAGTAAATATGGCTTGGACCGATTTTGCTTTAAATTGTATGGTTTATGGTTAATATTAAAGACATTAACTCAATATGAAAATGCTTTAGATTAGTCCATTATTGCACTGAAGGCCTAATATAGACTAGGGGATCTCAAACTCCATCTCAATAATATAAGTAGAAATAGATTAATCGGCGGAAACGAAAATCAAGTTTTTTTGGCGGAAACGATGACCGTCTCTCGCCGTAATATGGTTATTCATTCAACCATGACAGTAAGGAGATGCCTATGGATTATTTTTCATGATTTATTTTATGATGTTTATAAAAAATTGATAACGAGCAAATTGCTGTCAATTAAATTGAGACAAAAAAAAATTGGTGTTCATTTTTTTTTTTATTGTTATTATTATTATTTTTTTGTGGACAGTTTTTTTACCAGCAATTTTACTTCGATATACAATGATAGCACTTTTTGAAAGTAAACTTGACTGTGGAGGTACTTTAAGGAGGTCATTTTTTGATTTTCTCAAGAGTTTTCTCAATATATTGGAAAATTCTGAAAAAAGGGAAAGAAGGTACCTACAATATTAAACAAATATTATTGAAGAAAATGTTTAATGCATGCGTAATCATTTTACCATAATATGACATATATACATTGTCGACAAAACAAAACTATCATTTGAACTCCGTTCAAAATCGTTTTTTCGTTAGCAATTGCTTATCGTTGCTTACAGATATTCATTAAATTCCTGCCTGTATCCTACCTTCAAAACTTCCCACCTTCAACAGTGGCTGCACCCACGTGCGAAGTATGTGTCCGTCTTTTTATAATTAAGTTATAAAACCGGGTATACACATATTTTGTAATAATTCAGGGGTCACACTTTGGTTTTAAGGGACAAACTGTATTAGGTTCTGATACCCCCGCCATAATATAAAATAGTATATACGATTACGGATGTCGAAATAATACTGAGGCTAGTTTTTTTTTCTTTTAAAAAATCGAATCGTCTAATTAATCGATACACCGATCCAACAATATGATCATAGGTATTATCATATTACAATATGTATTATCCTCCAGTGTATGGGGTGCTGCTAAAAGTCCGATAAAAAACCTCGGCGAAAACATTACGGGGTCCTGCGCGCGGGAACTTTTTATGATGCGGTGTGTGAAAAAAAAAACAAAGCTGCACGCCGTAAAGTTTTTTTATTAGAACGCATTGTTATTGCGCGCCCTAACCGAACGTAAAATATGTATACAGAGTGGCGGAAAGAAAATCGCGGTACCTGCAAATAACGTGCAAAACCACTTGTCGTTTTCGTTGAGTTTTCGAGATCCTATGTTGCACTGCTGTATTGTGTCTATAGCTGTTATAGATTTTATCTTTTTCCACGGTATACTTTTGGACACTTTTAACGACTCCCTCTGGACCGAATGAGCTGAATCCCGGGAATTAAAGTAGGTTTTATAGGCGTATTGAAGTGATAAAATCTATCGTGTCGATATTTCAAAATTAATTTCATCCCGTTGTTTTGCGGGAGGACGGCGTTTTTTCAGCTTTAAACATCTCATACGGACCTCTCCCTCCGAATGACGCTACGGGAATGTCATCCATTGTAAATAGTAATTCATGGCGTTACAGTATCAAAAATGATGTGCCTTTTGGGAGTTTCAACTTTTAAGCCCCATTCCTAGCGTTTTTTTTCTTTTTCATAATATTGTACTATATATTAAAAATGTATATAGTCAAAAGGATTAGATATTTAGGATTAATATTGGACTGTAATGTCAAGTGGAACATGTATATAAATAGTTTGATACCTAGTTAAATTGCGTTCTATAATGTTTAAATTGCATAAACTAAAATATATAATTTCAGCTCATATTCCAAGGATAGTTCATTTTTTCTTTATATTAATTTACAGATTAATATGCAATATGGTATGGTGATTTGGAGCGGTGCTTTTAATATTCTTAATCCATTGAGAGTACAACAAAACAGTATAATTCGTACATGTTTAAAGAAGGACAATCTGACTGGTTTACTTATTCAAACTATAAAGACATACTTCGCACGTGGATGGGCCACTGATGTTGGTGAGAAGTTGGGAAGTTTTTAGATGGGAAATTTAATGTGTATCTGTACGCAAAGATTAACCATTTCTAACGAAAAAACGATTCAAAGCGAAGTTTTAAGCGATAGTATATAATATGTTAATGTATATGTTAACTGTATGTATATAAAATACATACAGTTCTGTAACTTTAATAATATCCGTTTCCTTACGTTTTTTCCTAATTTTCCTATTTATTGGGAAAACTCCTTATTACTTTGTATATTACATTTTATTAATCTAATAATAAAAAAAAACTTTAGAATAAAATAAAAAATTATAGCCATCGGTTGTTTATTGTTTTGCGTAGAATATTTCTAAAATACAAAACAGATGGGGGTTAGGATGAATTCGACTTTAGCGACGCAGTATTTATTGAATAGTTTAAGCGCTGCGGGGAAAAAAACCAATAAAGAACAGTTTCGTTGTCACAAAAAAAAAAAAAAAAAAAACATCGATTTTAATACCTACTTATATACAAATTAATATAAATAAGCAAACAATTTAAAATGTCCGATGTAATCGAAAAGTCAACTCGGTCGAATAACATTACCGTTGAAGATTTGAAATGATTGGCATCAAATATTGTAAATGATTTATTTTCGATCGACAATTTTTTCTGCTAAATCAAGTTCTTTGACTTTTTCCTTATGTAAAATTAACATACATAATCTGGATAAACGATTCTCACACACAATAGATAAGCGCGAGTCAGCTGTCCAAAAAAAAAAAATACCCGCAAATGATCGGCTGTAGGGGGTGGTTGGTACCAACTTCAAATCGTAGGGCATAAATCATTGTAATATTGTGATAATACATTAGCGGAATTCTATTATCACGAAGTTATCTAACTTACCGACTAGGTACCAATCGAGATGTAATTTTGATAATTGACATCAATAAACCTTGGTACCAATAATGAATTTTGAGATTTTGAGATATTGAATTCGGATATAATTATTTTGACCGACTGGAAAGCTATGGCTTTCCCCTACCCCCTCCCCCTAGTGGGCGCCCTTTATTCACGTATAATATTAATACACGTGCGTTTAATATCCGTGTACACGTTTTTCAGTGTTATTCACGGATATTAAGAGATCGTTATGTATAGTAGGTACTTATAGCAGGTACTGCTGCAGCGCGAATATAAATAAGGGATACCCGGCCCTTTTATACGCACTGCCAATTTCTAGTCGATTGCTGATTATTATTATGTACACGTCGGGAATTCGGTGTACTCGTTTATACTAAAATACGTGAATACTCGAAACACATGTACACGGATCTGTCCAGTTCACGGTTTTACATATAGAAACGGAATACACGCGAATACGTGAATGCGTGTACACGTTCTCGTACTTAGTATGTTAGGGATTGTTGTGTATATATATATATATTTGTACGTCATAACGCACAGTTTGTATAGGGTAACGATTTTCAGTTTCACGGCAGTTACACCGTAAACTATCAAATCAAAGAGCAACGGAAATGATTATCATCGTGTTTAACTTTAATTTAACGCGGGTATTTGCGTTTATAACGGATATAACATACCGGGGAATCTAAAATATTATATTAAAATACGCGTAGTTACCGGTTGGGGGGGGGTGTATGTGTGGAAGGGGTGGTTGAAAGTGAAAATGCAAAATGATTTTCAAAATTATAAACAAACAAACACACACACACACACGAGTACCTATACACCTAGTTATAGGTAACTATAATGTATATATATTTAATATTATCTTATTGCGCGCTTGTGCGCGTTCGCCTCGCGAATTCTTTGAAATATTAGATTTCGACAAAAATGTGAAACCTCTCCCCGGACGACGACATGAAACGAAATATTATATTATTATTATTTTACCGTGCGTACCAATACCGCCTTATCCACCTACCTACCTACCTACCCATCTGCCCGTCTACCCCATCTACCCGCCTCATATTGTGATACACAAAATATTATATTATATATATATAGTGTATACTATATGAATGCGAAAATTTTCGTTTCGAAAACTTTAATAATATCGAGTTTGGATTCGAGCTACCTGCAGGTATCTAAATATAGAAATTCGAGCAGAACTGCGCAATATTATAGGGTCGTACGGTGACACGATGACGAGGGGGTGTGAAGGAGGGTGAGGGTGAGTGGGCTATCGTAAACAAAACGAAACATGCGTTGCCGAGGATATTCCCGGAGCACCCGCCCGCCCGTCATGTTCGTGTAAGGTAATAATATTATTTACCCAGGTTATAAATATTATGTGAACATTTTGATGTTGTAAAATAATGTTGAAAAAATCTTGTTAGATTTCGTATTTTTTACGTACAATAATTTGGGGCGCACCGTGGTCTTTTTACAGTACATCACCTTAACTCCGCGTACGAAGATTTTTTTTTTTTTTTGTAACATCCTAACTTCGCACTTTAGTTTTCGTGTGTACCCGATTTTTGAATTATTGTCAACGCCAGTTTTTTCGTTGACTGTATACAACACTACAAGCAACTACTAGTTAGAGAATATTTAAAGAACTCAAATCGTCCCGAAAACGTTACACACAGGGAAAATAAATAATATATTGGTTAATAATTAGATACCGGATTCATATTTTCTTAAAATTCATAAAAAAATCTTTTGAAAACGTCAAAAAGCTTTGAAAAAAGAAAAAAAACACCTAGTAAATATATAAAAACACAAAAATAATAGATGGGTTTAATAGTCCCTCCTCTAATGGGTTTAATTTATAAATACAATTTTTTAACACTACAAAAATGATTAATAAAAAGTATTTTTATTTTTTTTACAATACATATGATTTTATTTAAAAGAAATTATTTTGTGTTTATCATTTTTGTAGTGTTAGGAAATTAAATTTAATAACTTAGTCATCAGAGGTGGACTTTAAAATCTCTCTATCGGTTTTAAATGTTGTTTTACCGGACTTTTTTGGTTTTTTTAAGCGCCTTTTTGTGGATTATAAACCAATATGAATCCGGTTTCTAGTTATAACTTATAATGTTATTAATTTTATCAGTTTAATGGCACGCAGATTTTTGGTGTGATTAAAATATTTTTGTTCATGCGGAGTTACGGTGCGTCTAATAATTGCGTTGTTTAAATAACAGTATAATGTAGAGTATTAGCCAGGTATTGTCAAACTTAAAGTTATGAACATTATCTGGTTTTGTGTACATTGATTTTTTCTCGATACTTTCATTTCCAAGCGAATTACGGATTATTACAATTATTTGAAAACCGTCAAATCTTGCTTAAAAATTAAAATATCTAGAAAAAACCAACACAGACGACGTTCTTACCGCTAAGTTGGTATAGAAAACTAGAAAATATATTTAAAAAACTGGATAAAATTCAACCCCACCATATAATAAATTAAATTATTAGAATAAATACTGACAAATCGTGTTCTTACCAACCTGTAAAACTGTACGAAATGTTTTCGAAGACCCGAAAAACCATTAAAAAAAAAAAACACTAAATTGTAAATTAAAATCGTATTAGATTTTGAGAGGAGCGAGGAATATATCGATTTTACAATGTTGTTAGTTATTATTATTTTTCGTAATATGTGAACAACTTTTTCATCAGAAATTTTGCTCCGATTTACAGTGATAGCAATTTTTCTGAAAGAAAATTCTGTCTTGAGTGGTATTTTAGGGAGGTCACTTTTTAATTTGTCCAGGAGTTTTCTCAATAAATAGGAAGAACCGGGAAAAAATACGGGATAACCGGGGAAAAACGGGAAAATAGGTACAATATTAAATAAAATATATAATTCATATGTAATTATTTTACTATAATATGACATACATATTGTTGACAAAGCAACACTATCAATCGAACTCCGCTCAGAATCGTTTTTTCATGAGTAATGGGTAGTCGTTGCATACAGATATACATTTAAATTTCCGCTCTACTACCTTTCCAACTTCTCATCTTCAAACAGTGATGTTTGAACTCACCCACGTGCGAAGTATGTCCGTCCTTTTTTGTTTCTTTTACTTTTATTATTATCTTTTTCTACTCTTACAGTCTTACTCGCGATATATCATATCGACACGATTGATATTTTCTCGTTATACAACAAAGATTCACTATTCTAATTTTCCAATTCAGCGAGTCCTAAAACCAATATTCTAACTAGACCTTTTCTTTGAAAATCCTCCATCGACGTCACACCGGTACTTGCAGTAATCCCTTGGGATATTAAAATACGAGCTGGGAATTTTTATAGAAATAAAATATCGGTAATAGAAATATACATAATATAGACGAAAAAACCGCGTTTTTTTTTTTTTTTTGGGGCAAAGGGTTTTTTTTATATACATCCGTATGTATAATATACGAAATCTGTACAGAAAAACTAAAAAAAAAAAAATCGATTTATAAAGGTACCTATATAATACAAGCCTGTGTACAACTACATGATAATAACGCGCACCTCTGCACTTCATTCACCACATCCACGCCAACAGAAGCGTATACACGATAAACAAAGCGGTTCGTATTTTTAGTTGTTTTTTACGGTCACGTGAAAAAGTGTGCATACACAGTACATTTTAATTATAAATTGCGTAAACATAATTATTATTAATAGACATGTTATTATAATCTCTTTTATAAAATCGAAAATATTATTCAATGTGCTATTGCAAGTGTATTATTATTTGATTGTGTATTAGGCGTATATATTAATTGCATTCTATTATGCATATCCACGTCGTGGCATTTTACTGGAAATGAGATTAACAATTTGGGTGTTTTATTTTAATTTATTTTTTACTTTTTACACACAGTACATTTTGCGAAATACACTGCAGAATAAGTTGGTCAGTGTAATGCTTTGGCTTTGTGCGATTAACTAGCCGAATCCCATTTTTTAAACATTTCCAGGAAACAAGCAGAGAAATTAGAGTATTATCATTAATTTGTAAATTATAATCTCAAAGTTTATTAGTATTTTGCAATTTTCATATAAAATTTTAAAGGACTTCGTAACTCAGTACTTCAGACGTTGTGTGTATAAGCTAATTTAACGAAACTCTCGTTAAACAAATCAAAATATATTGCCTAGGAAATATACAAAATTTCCTATACCAAAAATAATAAATTTACAGTAAATTTTAGAGAAAAACTTGAAACGTGTGAGGTTTATTGTCTTGATGATATATGTACCTATAAAACGCACTATATGTACATGAAAAATGTTTTTCAAATTTGAAAAACAAAAAATAATTAGACTCTAAGACAATAATAATTTTTTTCATAGATATAGGTCTTATTTGATGATATCGAAAAAAATAACAACAATTGAAATAACTTTATCTGCGTTTTTATTGTGTTTATTGATGAAATTATTATAAAAACAGTTTAATTTGGGTATTTAACGTTTAATAATGTTAAATACCCATGATGTGATGTGCTTTTCGGATGATCATAAAATAAATTTTAATCGAGTTTTAAATAAATAATGCTTTTAGGTTACTGCAGATATCCAATGATTTTTTTCACGGTTGCACAATATATATACTCGTAATGGGATCGATTTTAAATTTATTTTAAAACTAATTTGAATATTTCCGAGTTAATAAATACTCGTTTTAAACGCAGCGAGGAATGTATTGGTTTTATTATATGATGCGTGATTTTTTTTTCTCTGTCTGTAAACAACTTCTTTAATAGAAATCTTCAATGAAAAAATTAAATGAGATCTTGTTAGTAGCATTTTTGGATTTCGTCGAGGCTTTAAGGAGATCGGTATTTTCTTTGTAGTTTTTTTAATAACTGGGAAAACTCCGAGAATAAACGTAAAAAAAACAGTACAGTTTATACAAAATAACGGAATCATTATTAACAGTGTTTTTTTTTATTATTTTTTATTTTAATTTGGTATAATTAATTTGGTAAAATAATCGAAGAGATATATATTATATTATAATGCTTATATTAGGCTTTTCTATATGCCTGGTAAAAAGTTCAAAACATTTAAACATTCGAACGATTTTTGAGTTATTTATATGGTCTTTCGTAGGCTTTTTTTTTTAAGTTTTATTCAGTTTTATATAACTGTTTTGGACGAACATGAATGCTTGCCAATTTTACACAACCGGTTTTTTTTATGTCCATTTCAAGATCATATTTTAACAAAAATCGTCATTTCATAATATGTATAACCGAACTTCGCTTAGAATTGTATTCGGTTAACAATGATGATTTATCATTGCGTACAAGTATAAATGAAATAATTATATGTCCTATACCTTATTAACTTTCTACAATCAACAATCAGCAGTATATCAACCGTAAATTTTCCAATAATTTCGTTAAAATTTCCAAATCGCGATCTCTTAAAAATCGAGTGGGTCATTAATAAAGACCGTATAGCACGGTACCGAATGCCCGATTGAGCAAAGACAGACGTTATTAATTATTGTATTTGATTGTTTTTAATTAAATTAAATTGCTCGTTATATAAATGAGAGCTAGCTAAAATTAATTTATGTATATTATAATATATTGAATATCACAATTTTAATGAAAATTTATTAAATTAATATTTCATTAAAATTTTGATATTCAATTATGCAGATTATTCGACAAAACGTTTACAACAATAGACTCATTTATAAAATATTAATGTTTCATCGACTTTACTTATTCCATTCTACGCAGGAGTAGTATTTTTACAATCATTTTCTAATTATCCGACGAGAGCACTTGGCTCCGTCTTCAATAATCATTTTATACACGATATTTTAGCCACGGGGTTACGAGTATTGTTTCATATATATATATATATATATATTTATTATTATGTCGAAAACGAAAAATAATATAACATGTCGACTCATATAAAAGTAAGGAAATAAAAAAAAACACATAGTTTCCGAGGGGAGTGCATTATATAATATCCTTCAACTACCCGTAGACATTATTGCGAGATCGTAAAGTCTACATGTACAAATATTTGTGAAATTGTAAAATATTGGAAATTTAAAGTGCAGGATAACTGTTAACAACGACATTCTTTGTATATTCACTGTCAATGTTTTAATTGTTTAAAACAAAAAAAAAAAAAACAAAAAAATTTTAATTAATTTATATCTGTTCTCAACGATAAACTATGGCCATTGAAAAACGATTCTGAGTGAAGTCTACGTAAACATGTTTTGAAAATTATTGATTTTCATAATTTTGTCAAAAAGTTCAAAAAAAAAAAAAACCGAAAATTAAAACGAGTGCCTATAAATTGCACAAAAACGGTCCGAATATTTTAACTATTTAAATACGTATAAAGAAAGTATAGGTATGGTATATAAGTATTCTGTTATAATGAACAAAATCTAAAATAACAGAAACCGTATTATTGCGAACATTTGCCAGTTTTTACTACGTATTTCCCTGGTTTAGTCGTTATGAAAACGATAAGGAAAACTAAAAAATGAACCAGTAAAAAAAATTCTCAATCAGAAATCAACGTCTAAAGTTGATAATCGGAGTAAGTTTTTTGGTAGAAAATTCGTTCATAGACATGAAAAAAAAAGAGCACACATAACCATTACAGTAAAACCAATATATTCATTGGTTACGTTCAGAATATGAAGAAAGTAAAATAGCCGCATTAAAATTCGAAAAAAAAATACAAACTATGACATTGTTTCGAATGATTTTTATTTTTTTTTTATAGAAATGTACCCTTTAAAGAAAATATCATATCCATAAAATTTGTACAGCGGGAAAGTACACCAGTTGTGGAATTGATAATGTGGAGGGGGAGGTTATTGAAATTCTACGAGTAAAATAAAAACCAACGTATATATTTTTATATTGAATATATGCAGCTAACAAAAATAACAATAATAAAAATAATCTTCTCATTATCATAAAAAAATACTATCGGCGGTTTTGTATTTTCATTGCAAAAAAAAAAAAAAAAAAACCGGAAAACTTGCTTACATTTTAACTTTTTTTTTATTCTTTTCACATTGCAAATATATGTATGAAAAAAAAATTAACATTATTATTAGTATTTTTAAAAATAAATAAATAAAAATAATAAAATCTGATGAAATGTTTATGTGTTTCAAACTTAAATTTTTTTCTTTTTCGGTGAGAATTCTTTCGTTTAATTTTTGCGATAAAAACAATTAGGTTCTCCGATAAATTAATGATTATTTGAGGGGATTGAAAGTTTTAGCGTGCCCAGGAATTTTCAATGGGAGGGTACATAAAAAATAATAATCGTGAATAAGAGTAAAATTGTCTTCTCTACCCAAATTGAGATTGGTAATTTAAAAATCGGATCCTAAAAAAAAGGCAATTTATAATCAATATCTAATCAGTATTCTTTTTTAGAATGGAATTTTAATATTAAATTTTGACGAAAATCGTTGAGTAAAAATGTATGTGGAACAAATCTAGTTTATTATTTTTTTTTTTTTAACATATGTTTATTGCTGATTTATGAATGATGGTGAAGTCCGAATTGAGCGGACAAAGTTTCGAAATTATAGCTGAAAAATCGTAAATCACGAAGAAAAATCAGGATAATGTACAAAATATATTAGTAACATATTACGATTTTTTTTCTGTAGATAACTTTTTTACCAGCAATTTTGCTCTAATTTACAATGATAGTACTTTTTCTAAAAAGGAATATGACTGAGGGGGTACTTTAGAAAGGTAATTTTTCGATTTTTCCAAGAGTTTTCCTAGCAAATGTGATAATCCGGGAAAAAACATGAGAAAACCGGGAAAATATTAAACAGATATTATTAAAGATAATATTTAATTATCATATTATATATATATATATATTGTTGACAAAACATCACTATCAACTGAACTGCGCTCAGAATCGTTTTTTCATTGGCAATGGTTTATCGGTGCTTACAGATATACCTTAAATTACCTATAACAGTGGCTGCGCCCGTTACATTATCCTAAAACGTCTTCTTTCCTTTTAGGATTAAAGGGAAATAAAATCGAATTGCGGGAAAGTCGATCTCAAGTATACTCGACGAGTCTACTAGTTTTTTTTATCAAAACATTCGTGCGTATACGTGACACCTGCGTATATTATAATATAACAATATGAATAAAACGGTATTATCTTGAATTGTTTAAAAACAGAAAAAAAACACTAGACGACTAGGGATATTATACACTGCGACCGCAAACACACATACATTCGTGCACACTGAAAACTTTTGGTAAGTTCGTGATTTATCGACACACACTCAAATGAATATAATATTTTTAATGGAACCGGGGCACGGGCGGGTGAAATACAAAATGTTATGTACATTTGTAAATTACATTCGTGTTTTTTTTTATTGTACATTTTGGAAACGCCACCTTACATGTGACAAACGCACATTTGAGAGGAACTGGGGTAGTACGCGTGTACTAATATTAAATGTATTATTATTGCGAGTACACCTATAGGTATGTATATATATACATACAAGTACAATAATATACGCATAACCCATTAATTTTATACGGCTGCTCGCAAAAGGAAACACCGAAATCATATTATTATTTCCGTAACTTCCTCTTGCCACGGCGCGTCGGTTATTTTCGACGGGGGATGTTGGAACTGCAAACATTTCCATAATAACTTTTTAAAACGAATCGACTCGCGTATACATTATATTGTATTATAATTATTTACGTATAGTTTCGTATACGAGTACGTAAAGTATACCGCGGGAAAGCTACACAACACACACC